ACCACCTGCTTTCAGAGTTCCCTGATAACGTTGAGGAACACTGGACCAAGCTAAAAACATCCATTATTGCAGCCTGTGAACAAACTATTGGATACCAAACCAAGAAACACCAGGACTGGTTTGATGAGTATGAAAGTGAGGTTGAACACATTATTGACAAGAAAAGGAAGGCCTTTCAGATCTGGCAAAGAGATAGAAACTGTGCAACTAGGAAGAAACCTATACCAATGCTAAGGCTGAGGTTCACAGAGGAACCAGAAAACTAAATAACTCCTGGTGGATAAAAAAAGCTCAAGAGATCCAGCACTTAGCCGACACTCATGATGCACAAAGTTTCTTTAAAGCCACAAAGACCATCTATGTGCCAATAAATCATGGCATGTGCCCCCTAACCTCAACGGACAGTACCACACTTCTAAAAGATAAAAAGCTAGTGCACTGCTCTGGAAAGAACATTACCAGCATCTCCTTACCTGCAACTCACTTGTAGCTGCTGAGGTCCTTTCACAAATTGTGCAAAAACAAATTAGAGATGAGCTTGCAGAATCTGCAAATCTGGGAGAGTTGTGTGCAGCAACTAACTAACCAAATGAAAAACAACGAAGCCAGCGGACCTGATGGGATACCTGCCAAAGTCTTCAAAGTGGGAGGAATTGAACTTACACAACTTCACAAGCTCATCAAAAAACTCTGAGAGAGAGAGGAGATCCTAGCAGACTTTAGGAATGCCAAAATTACCAATCTCTGTTAACAAGGTGATAGAACAGATTGCAGAAGCTATTGAGGCATCTAATTATTAGCTGCAGCTAGCAAAATTCTTGCAAGGATCTTAGCACTGTCTCCTAACAATAGCCAAGGCTGCCCTTCCTGAATCCCAAAATGGTTTTCGACCTTCTAGGGGGACAGTGGACATGATTTTCACCTCTCGACAGCTTCAAGAAAAATGCAAAGAGCAAAACCAGCCCCTGTACTGTATATGGGTTTTATTGACCTAAGGCCTTTGACACTGTAAATTGTAATGCCCTGTGGACTGTCCTTCTGAAAATGGGCTGCCCAGATAAATTTGTGAACATCATTCAACTCCTCTGTGATAATATGACAGCAACAATCACAGTTAACAATGGCTCTCAAAGTGGAAGAGTAGGATCAGGTGTTAAATAGGGTTGTGTAACTGCCCCAACTCTATTTATTATTCTCATTGCCATGATCCTATACTTTGTCGAAGGGAAACTCCTCACCGGAGTAGAAATCATATACTGAACACATGGTACACATATACTGAACACTCTTTAATCTGAATAGGCTGAAACCACAGTAAGGTTATCATAACTTCTGTCATAGAGCTTCAGTATGCTGATGAAAATGTAGTGTGTGCACGCTCAGAGGATGACCTCCAAACCATACTAAATATCTTTGCAGAAGCTTACAAAAAGCTTGGCCTATTGCTCAACATCCAAAAAACCAAAGTGCTGCACCAAAAAGTAAAAAAACAGCCCCTTTGCAGTGCCACAAATCCAACTCACTGGTGTAATGTTGGAAAGTGTCAGTTACTTCTCCTACCTAAGCAGTTGTCTTTCCACAAGGGCAGACATTGATGCTGAAATCCAGCATTGACTGAGCTCTGAGAGTGCAGCTTTCTCTCGATTGAAGTGCAGAGTGTTTGAGGACCAGAACTTTCACAGGGAAACCAAAATGCTTGTTTACAAAGCTAATGTATTACCAACCTTACTGTATGCTTATGAAACTTGGACCACTTATAAATGCCATCTCCAACTCCTTAAAAGATTCCATCAACGGTGTCTCTGAAAATTTTTACACATCACTTGGGAAGACAGGCAAACTAATGCCAGTGTACAGGAAGAAGCAAAGATCACCAGTGTTGAAGCAATGATTCTTCAACATCAACTCTGTTGGACTGGTCATGTTGTTCAGATGCCTGATCATCATCTTCCAAAGCAACTACTCTATTCCGAACTTTAAAATGGAAAGCATAATGCTGGTGGTCAACCAAAGAGGTTTAAAGACTTTCTCAAGGCAAATCTTAAAAAATGTAGTGTAAACATTGACAACTGGGAAACACTGGCCTGTGAGCGCTCCAGTTGGAGAACAGCCTTTGCCAAAGGTGTCATGGACTTTGAAGATGCTCGAACTCAGGACAAAAGAGAGAAATGTGCTAGGAGGAAGGAACGCTTGGCAAACCCTCACAGTGATCAGCTACCACCCAGAAACTTATGTCCCCGCTGTGAAAAGACGTGTGGATCCAGAATTGGCCTCCACAGTCACTTGCGGACTCACTGTTAAAACTGTGTTTATGGAAAAGAATCTTACTCGGCTATGAGTGATCACCAAAGAAGAATTACATACTCTAGAGAAGACAACGAGAGCTTAGGTAGCAATCATGTGTATACTTACCTGGGAGTAACCTCTACTGAACATAATGGGATTTCTGAATAGACTTGTACAGGGGTGTGGTGCTAATTTTAAATCAAGGATCTTTATTTTGCAGGCTCTGCCGCCCTCTTGTGGTGCGCTTACAATATTGCCTTTGTTTCATTTTCCTAGCAAAAATCACCTCTCCCTCAATAATTGCTGTAGACCAACTATCCAGCAGAGGCAGATTTATGCATCCCCACCCCCACCCCCTTTTTTTTTACATAGCAAGCACTTTTATGTGGGAACTAGCCTTTCCTTTGTGTAGATTTTAACATTTATGCAGCTGCATGCAAGTGAGAAAGAAAATCCCTTGAACTTCTGTCTGGCCCAGAGACTTAGTCTCAGGAACAAAGGTGACGACTGCAGTAATTTCTAAAATGGAACATTTTTAGAGCAGGTTTGGAAACACTATCACTACATTTAGCCCAAATGTATTGTTATGAGCTTTTTGGGAGGTGGGAATCAATCATTCTGAATGGCATCCTGGGTCCCTTCGAATTCTTGGGATCCGCTCATAATTTCTTACTACCATATTCTTCCATGTATAACATGCCCCCATGTATAAGACAACCCCTATTTTTCAAACCCCAAATTAAGAAATCAATATTTTGGGGGAGGGGAGGGGAGATCGCCCTGAGTTATGAGGGTTTTATGGGAGGGGGGAGGAGGTCACCCTTCAGTTGTTGAGGAGGTCACTGCCACCAATCGCTCAAACACCTGCCCGCTCGCTGCCAATTGCCCGTCTGCCTTGCCTCTGCAAATTGCCTGCACACCCACCTGCCTTGCCAAAGCTGCCAATTGCACGCCCACACGCCTCACTGTAGCTGCAAATTGCCTGCCCGCTCACCACAATCACAGCCAATCGCCCGCCCACTACCCCCCCATGCATTCACTATCCATGTATAAGACGACCCCCGATTTTTGCCTCTTTTTATAGTGAAAACCATTGTCTTATACATGGGAAAATACCGTATGTTTTTCTTCTATGTATTGAAAATATTTATGTGTCATCACACTAAATAGGACCCTCGTACCTACGGGACCGCCTCTCCTGGTATTCCCCATGGAGAGCCTCAAGGTCCATAAATAGCAACACCCTAGTGGTCCCGGGCCCTAAGGAAGTTAGATTAGCCTCAACCAGAGCCAGGGCCTTTTCAACTCTGGCTCCGCCTGGTGGAACGCTCTGCCTCATGAGACCAGGGCCCTGCAGGATCTGATTTCTTTCTGCAGGGCCTGTAAGACAGAGTTGTTCCGCCTGGCCTTTGGCTTGGAGCCAATTTGATTCCCTCCCCCTCTTTCTTTTTTCTTTTTCCTTTCTCCTCCTGCGATGAGGCTACATTTTAATATTTTAATGTTTCAATATTTTAATGTTGTATTTTAATTTTGTTTTTAAGTTATATTCATTCAACTTGTTTTTATTATTGCTTTTTAGCCACCCTGAGCCCGGCCTTGGCTGGGGAGGGTGGGGTATAAATAAAAATTATTATTATTATTATTATTATTATTAAATCTCTCTTGGGCATAGACAGGTGGCGCTGCCGTATATGATTGGTCGCATTATTTTCAGGTAAATGAAATGTTTAAAAAAGATATAAAGGAAAGTGGTTATGCAGAAAAAGACTCTAAGTTCCAAACAGATATAATAAATAATGAATATAAAATTTTGTCAAAAATGTATAAGATATTGTTGGAATGGTGTACGAAAGATGAAGAAGTCAAATCGGTAATGATACAATGGGCCAAAGATTTTGGATATAATATTCAATTTGAAGATTGGGAAAAATTATGGAAGGAAAATTTAAAATTTACTGCATGCATGGGGTTGAAGGAAAATGTGATGAAAATGTTTTATAGATGGTACATTACACCAGTAAAACTTGCAAAAATGTATAAAACATGTAATAAGTGTTGGAAATGTAAAGAAAAAGACTGAACGTTTTACCATATGTGGTGGGAATGTAAGAAAGTGAAGAGTTTCTGGGAAGCGATATACAATGAATTGAAAAAGATGTTAAAATATACTTTTGTTAAGAAACCAGAAGTCTTTCTTTTAGGGATCACAGGAAAAGAAATAAGAAGAAAAGACTGTAAATTATTTCAGTATGCAGTTACGGCAGCAAGAACTTTATTGGCCCAGAAATGGAAACAAGAGGAAATACCGATGATTCAAGAATGGAGAATGAAATTGACGGACTATGCAGAACTGGACAAATTGACTGGGAAAATAAGATATGTTCAAAACCAAAAGTTCATCGAAGATTGGGGAAAGTTTGTAGATTATCTGAAAAATGTATGTGATGTGCAAACAACGCTAGTGGGGTTTCAAGAAGCACTGTAAAAGTTTAAGATGTATTGTTAAAAAGAAATAGAAAAGGGAGGGAAGTCAAATGGCAATACAATGAAGGGAATGTGTATTGAAGAGTGATTACGGATGATTACCAGAGAAAATGAAGGAAGTCCTAAAAGAGTAATTTGTTAAAATTTGGATAAATTGTACAATTGTGCTGGAAAATTAATAAAAATTTATATGAAAAAAAGACAGGTGGCGCTGCAAACTGCAGCATGATGGCAGCTTTCAGAGAAATGCCAGGTAACTGCAGCAAGTTCTGAGGTGAGCGGCAGTGGCAGCAGGCAAGCCACAGAGGAAGAATTATGGCAGGCCAAGGAAGCTTCTCAGAACCTGAGGTTATGGCAGGCCTACCCATGAGGCAAGGTGAGGCAACCAGCTCAGGCAGAAGGATTCACAAGGATAGCAGGGCCTTTGGCCTCCAGGGAATCCATCACCCACTGCTGTTGCCACTGAAAGCTGCTCTTTGAAAGCCATTTCCTCTTTGACAGCCCTCCTACCCCATGTCACCTCTGTGGTGGCCCCTTGGCGAGTAGGAGATGCTGATGGTCTCCTCCCACCCCTAGGGAGGAAATGGCAGGAGCTGCCCTCTGGGGTCTCCTGGGCTTGGCACCCACCCAGAGTAATTTAGAGCAGGCTATTTTTCTGGCTTCCGTCACAGTGTCCCATTCTGCCAGAAGCAGTTTAGTCCTGCTGGTCATATGACCCGGAAGCTGTCTGTGGACAAATGCCGCCTCCCTCAGCCAGAAGCAAGATGAGTGCCACAACCCCATAGTCACCTTTGACTGGACTTAACCATCCAGGGATCCTTTACCTTTTACCTTACTTTCCTTCCCACAATGGCCTTCAATTCCCACTTCAACCATCTTGAATCTTGATTTTATTTCCCCCCCTTGTTCCCAATGTAGATCTGCCCACTGGTGGAGGAAGAGGAGTGCGGGGGGAGCGCACCGCCTCTGGCAGTGCGATCCCGGTGGGGTGCCATCATGGCTGCACCCCTGCCCACGCTGGGTGCCATGCCCCCACAGGTGTCACGCCATGCTCCGAGGATGCGCGACATGCCCCCAGGACGCATGCCACGCCACACTCACGCCTGCTCTCCACCCCCTGGTGCCAGAGTGTGAAGCTCCGCCACTGGATCTGCCTTCCACTTTTTTTCTGGGTGGCGGGAATCACTTTGTGGCTTGCCCCAGGTGCCAAAATACCTTGGGCAAGCCCTGCCTGAACTGTTGCATAATTGCTATTGCTATCTATTGGGTTTAACACATTTTATGTTACACGGCGCGTTCTAACCAATCGTATAAGCGTTGGTAGACGAACATTCTAATGGCAAGTAAGTGCATGCACTTTCAACTGTCAACAACGGTCAGTTAATACTCGGCTTTATTATTGTGTTGTCCAGTCAGTTCGGTTCTTGTTTTCCTATGAGTGAGCTGTTGTCACTCCCAATTGTTGAATAAGCGTATTTGAGGAACTTATACTGCCTTGGGCTTCTGACTTTTTCCGAACATTTATCATTGGCAACAAAGGTGGGATTGATGAGCTCCCGCAGGCTGCCAGAGGCCCAAGAACGCACCACAGCACTGCCACCTGCCGCCTCGCACTAAGCGCGACCTCACCGCCACGCTGGACTCAGCAAATAGTCCCGGAAAAGAGACCGCACCTGCCACGTCTTCACAACCACCCACAATCGCACAAGCGACTGCTCCAGGTCTGAGGATGGCCACCAGTCATAGTCAGCCGCCACCGGACTTCGATTAATTATTTTTATTATTATTAATTATTTATTTATTTATTTATTTATACCCCGCCCATTTGGCTGAGTTTCCCCAGCCACGCTGGGCGGCTCCCAATCAAGTATTAAAAACAATACAGCAATAAATATTAAAAACTTCCCTAAGCAGGGCTGCCTTCAGATGTCTTTTAAAGATAGGATAGCTGCTTATTTCCTTCACATCTGAAGGGAGGGTGTTCCACAGGGTGGGCGCAACTACCGAGAAGGTCCTCTGTCTGGTTCCCTGTATCCTCACTTCTCGCAATGAGGGAACTGCCAGAAAGCCCTCGGCACTGGATTTCAGTGTTCGGGCTGAACGATGGGGATGGAGACACTCCTTCAGGTATACAGGACCGAGGCCGTTTAGGGCTTTAAAGGTCAGCACCAACACTTTGAATTGTGCTCAGAAACGTACTGGGAGCCAATGCAGATCTCTCAGGACCGGTGTTATGTAGCCCCAGCAGCCACTCCCAGTCACCAGTCTAGCTGCCACATTCTGGATTAATTGCAGTTTCTGAGTCACCTTCAAAGGTAGCCCCACGTAGAGCGTATTGCAGTAGTCCAAGTGTGAGATAACTAGAGCATGCACCACTCTGGCAAGACAGTCTGCGGGCAGGTAGAGTCTTACCCTACGTACCAGGTGGAGCTGGTAGACAGCCACCCTGGACACAGAATTAACCTGCGCCTCCATGGACAGCTGTAAGTCCAAAATGACTCCCAGGCTGTGCACCTGGTCCTTCAGGGACATAGTTACTCCATTCAGGACCAGGGAATCCCCCACACCTGCCCACCCCTGTCTCCCAGAAACAGTACTTCTGTCTTGTCAGGATTCAACCTCAATCTGTTGGCCGCTATCCATCCTCCAACCGCCTCTAGCCACTCAACCAGGACCTTCACCGCCTTCACTGGTTCTGATTTAAAAGAGAGGTAGAGCTGGGTGTCATCTGCATACTGATGAACACCCAGCCCAAACCCCCTGATGATCTCTCCCAGCGGCTTTATATAGATATTAAAAAGCATGGGGAAGAGGACGGAACCCTGAGGCACCCCACAAGTGAGAGCCCAGGGGTCTGAACACTCATCCCCCATCACCACTTTCTGGACACGGCCCAGGAGAAAGGAGCAGAACCACCATGTAACAGTGCCCCCAGCTCCCAGCCCCTCTAGACGGTCCAGAAGGTTGTTATGGTTGATGGTGTCAAAGGCCACTGAGAGATCCAGCAGAACTAGGAAACAGCTCTCACCTTTGTCCCTAGCCCGCCGGAGATCATCAACCAGCGCGACCAAGGCAGTTTTAGTCCCATGAAGAGGCCTGAATCCCGACTGGAAAGGATCCAAATGGTCCGCATTCTCCAGGCGTGCCTGGAGTTGTTCAGCAACCACCTTGCCCAAGAATGGTAGATTTGAGACTGGGCGATAGTTGGCCATATTGGCCGCATCTAAAGATGTTTTTTTAAGCAGCAGTTTAATGACCGCCTCTTTCAGCGGGTCTGGGAAGGCTCCTCCACAGAGGGAAGCATTCACCACCCCACGAAGCCCATCGCCCAGCCCTTCCCGGATTGCTTTTATCAGCCAGGATGGGCAAGAATCAAGGAGACAGGTGGTCGGTTTCACTTGTCCAAGCAGCCTGTCCACATCCTCGGAGGTAACAGATTGGAACTGATACCATGTAACATGACTAGACAGGACTCCAGCACTCTCCCACCCCAGCCCTGCTTCCACGGTGGAGTCTACCTCCTTCTGAATCTGAGCGACTTTATCTGCAAAAAACTTTGCAAAAGCTTTGTAGGAGATCTTGGGGTCCCAACCAGGCCCTGGTGATGCAGGTGGTTCCGATAGATTGTGAACCACCTGAAAGTGTCTCCTGCTGCTGTTTTCTGCAGATGCAATAGAGGCGGTGAAGAAGGCCCTCTTCGCCGTCGCCATTGCCACTTGGCAGGCTTGATGTTGAGCTCCAGCCCGTGTCCGGTCTAATTCAGATTGAGTTTTCCGCCACCGGCGCTCTAGCCGTCTCAACGATTGTTTCATCGCCCCCAGCTCCGGGGAAAACCATGGGGCTGTCCGGGCTCCATGCGGAGGGCGCTTCGGAGCCAGACAGTCAATAGCCCTGGTTAACTCCGCTTTCCAGCGGGCCACCAGGGAATCAGCTGAAAGGCCATCAACTTGGGATAAAACATCCCCTACCACTCTCTGGTAGCCAATTGGATCCATTAAGTGGCGGGGGCGGACCATCCAAATCGGTCCCACCTCCCTGCAGAGGGGAAGGGTCGCGGAGAAGTCAAGTTGCACCAGGAAGTGATCTGACCATGGCACTTCTTTTGTTTTGCTTTTAGTTAGTGTCAGATCACCAACATCCGTAGAGGTAAACACCAGGTCTAAGGCATGTCCTTGGCCCATGAGTTGGGCCAAACTTATTCAGGGACAGCCCCATGCAGGCCATGTTTTCCACGAAGTCCCGAGCCATCCTGCAGAATGGCCGCAGTGGCTCCACCGAATAAGGAGCTACGTCCGACTACAAGGCTTCACTAGGGAGGCAGACAAGGTGGGTGTGCTACTGATGGTGCTGGGAAGTTCTGCCACCACTCTACTGGAAGGTCTGATGGCACCCAGGGACATGGAGGCATGCACTTTCCATGAGCTGACACAGGCTATGACAAGACACCTTACGCCTCAGCCAACTAAGAACCACCACCCTTACAACTTTGCACACAGAGAGCAACAAGCACAAGAGTCAGTGAGTGAATACATCACAGCGCTCTGGGCGATTGCAATGTATTGCCAATTCAATGACATCGAGGGACTTCTCGAAAGGTTCGTCAGACAGCCGTCTCTGACAATATCACGATGATGGAAGCAATGAATATGGCCACAGCCTTTGAGAAGGATAATGCCCACGAGGCGGTCCACAACCCACATAAGGAGAACTCACCACATCCAGCGAGACCGGTCGTCTTCCATAGATTCCCACAATGAGGATGTCCACCGAGCTTTGGACTGATCCGACCGACACCACTGCTCCCAAGCTACAAGAGCATCGTCGAACCAGCGATCATCTGACGCACCTTGAGGAACCTGCGCCAGCTGCGGAGAAAACCAAGAGCATCGGACATGCAGATCCTGTGGCTGAAAGACTTACCGGACCAGCCCTTGCATGTGAAGGACATTGCCACCGCAACCGCAAAGGATAGGCTGTTGTCCTGCGTCTTGGACTGGGTGGGGAGGGGGTGGCCCGGGAAGCTGGGTCCAGAATTTTCATGCTACACAGCCCGCAAGGATGAGCTGTCTACTCACCAAGGATGTGTGTTATGGGTAGCCATGTCATAGTCCGTCCCCCCCATTAAGGAAAAAAGTCTTAGAAGGGCTGCACATGTCTCACCCGGGGATTGTCCGGATGAAGGCATTGGCCCGTAGCTATGTGTGGTCACGGCCAGGCATAGATGCGGAGATAGAGGGCTGGGTGAAACGTTGCGAGCCCTGCCAGGTCTCCCGGCCGGATCCACCCAAGGCACCAGTACAGTCCTGGGAGTCCACACAGTCCCCATGGTCTCGGGTGCACATGGATTTCGTGGGGCCTTTTCAGGGCCAACACTTCCTAATAGTAGTCGACTCTCAGTCCAAGGGGCTCAAGGTGGTGCCGACCTCAACCATGTCCGCTAGAGCGACTATAAACACGTTCAGGAAGCTATTTGCGACACATGGCTTGCCAGACATACTGCTGAGTAATAATGGGACCACTTTTACTTCGGCGGAATTCAAAGAATTTGTAACCAATAATGGAATCCACATTCGTTCTGCTCCTTTTCACCCGGCTGAACAGCCAAGCTGAACACATGGTCCATACTACAAAAGATGCGCTTAGGTGCATGGTGCATGGAGACTGGACTCTCTGGTTAGCAGAGTTCTTATTGGCTCAACACATCACCCCAAGCGCAGTGACCGGCTGGAGCCTGGCGGAGTCGCTTATGGGGAGGAGGCTCACTACCCTCCTTGATTGTATGCACCCTGACCGGGCTCTTGAGCAACGGCCATCCACTGTGGTGCAGGGGGCTCCAAGAGGGTTCTCCCCGGGGACACAGTGTACCTCCAAAACTATGGGTCTGGACAGGGTTGGGTCCCGGGTATCATTGCCCGCTGTACAGGTCCGGTTTCCTACAAGGTAGGGTTGGAGGGGGGACTGGTTTGGAAGAGACACATCAACCATATCAGAGCCAAAGCACCTCCGAACACGGAACTTCAAGCGGAACCAGAGGACAGAGAAATGGGTACTTTGGGAGATTCTGTGCCCAGGCCAGGGTGGGAACCAGACGGGTTGCTGGTGACTGAGTTACCCCAGCAGGGCGATTTTAGGCTGGAATCCTCAGTGGCTCCATCGGCAGTGACCCCTTCGGAGCTGGCCTCGCTGACTGCCCCACTCAGACTGCGGATACCGGAGGAACCTCCTGGGTCACCCACTCGGGCAGAGGAACCACGACAGTCACAGCAGGAGCGGAAAAGGCCGGCACACCTTGATGACTATGTTTGTTCCTTTTGTTAGGAAGTTGGGGTGGGAGGAGTGTTATGTATTGGGTTTAATGCAGTTTATGTTAGAAGGCGTGATCTAACGAATCGTATAAGCGTTGGTAGACGAACATTCTAATGGCAAGTAAGCGCATGCACTTTCAACTGTCAACAGTCAGTTCATGCTTGGCATTATTATTGCGTTGTCCAGTCAGTTCGGTTCTTGTTTTCCCATGAGTGAGCTGTTGTCACTCCCAATTGTTGAATAAATGTAGTTGAGGAACTTATACTGCCTTGGGATTCTGACTTTTTCTGAACATTTAACAGCTATCACATGCTGTTATCTCCTAACCTCAGGCAAGGTGTGATGCCTCTCTGCCCCCTTTCCCAGTATGTTCAACCAGTATAGCAAGTAGTTTTCACTAGATGAAGTCTTGAGAGGCTTGCCTGTCTTCCCATGCCTGGTGCTGTAAGGTAAAGGAAAGGTAATCTCGCTTTCAGGCTGAGGGAGACGGCATTTGTCCACAGACAGCTTTTCGGGTCATGTAAGCAGAGTTCGTCCAATGGGTCACTGGAGCGCCAAGTGGTTTGCTGTTCCTGAAAAAGTCCTCACTAGATGGCGCTGCAGAACAGCTGGATGAAAAGTGCTGCAAGCCCAGCCTTCCCCGCCCCGCCTTACCGCTGACTCTGCCACCAAAGAGATAGAGAAATTAGAATGCTACAAGCAGCCCTCCGCTTCGGGTTTCCATTTCACCTCCAATTTAGGTGGGGGAACTGATCGATCCTATGTCCTATGTCCTTTGCGTTGGTGCCCCCCCCCCCCCCGAGGCTTGGCTCCAGGCTGAGGATGCCAAGGGCCCGTATGGGCTTATTTGGCTGCAGCGGCAGCATTAAATGACCTAATTATTAATTAATACAACAATCCCATTGACCTCTCGGCAGCTTTAATACCGCCAAGGGCTCCAAAGCCTCGCGAGGCCAGCCTACATGCTCGAGGCAGCCCCGCGAATGGCGCCTGGTGAGCAAAAGGCGCCTTCGCCGGGGAACCCCCGAAGTGTGGCTCCGAAGTGTCGCCTCCTACCTCTCCGGGTCCCGCCCCACCCAGGCGCTGGAGTCGAGTTCCGAGCGGGCTCCTTGCCCGCCCCGCGCCCCGCCCCTGCCTTCCAGCCTCGCTAAATGGACCGCCGATGTGCCTCCGCCGCCTCGCCAGGCCGGGCCAGGCGGGGAGAAGATGGCACTGTCCAGGGGCCTGCGGTGCTGCCAGCGGGTCTTCGGCTGGGTTCCCGTCGCCATCATCACCCTGGTGGTGCTCTGGTCCTACTACGCCTACGTCTTCGAGCTCTGCTTGGGTGAGGCTGGGCGTGGAGCGCGAGGGGCACGGATTCTCCCTGGGCGTCAAGCCCCACTGGAAACAGGCGGGCTTCCTCATGAGTTGTAACCGGGAGGGAAAGGCAAGGGGAGGACGCGCAGACCCCGAGCGCACTTTGCCCCCCCCCCCCGCCCGCAGGGAGGCAGGTGGGCTTCCTCGTGGGTAAACGCCTTGCCTGGGAGTGAGCCCCTCTGAACGCACAGGGGTTTCCCTCTGAGCAAAGGCAGGAAGGGGGCTGCGCGGATCCTGGGCGCACTTTGTCTCCCAAGGAGTAAGCCTCCTAGGGCACAGGTGGGCTTCCTCCCGGGTAAATGCGACGCCGCCAGCTCCGCATCTCCTTCTGAAGGGGTGGCTGAAAACCTCCCTGCGTGCCCTTGCTGGGGTGCAGGCAAGAGTCCACTGCTCGTAATCGAGGGAGTTTGCGAGGTGAGGCGACCCTGCTGCCTGGGGCAGCAGACCCCAATTTCGGTCTCTCCCCCCCCCCCCCGCGCCACCTCCCATGTTCCTGATGTGGGATTTCCCCGACCCCCTTCCTCCCTGATGGGGAAAGGGAAACCACAATTTTGGGGTCCTCAGGTGCCGAAATGTCTTGGGCTGGCCCTGAGTCCTTATACTGTACAGTACTGCGCAGCAAGCCCTAACAGAGGTTTCGTAGTTCAGCGTTGCCCCCTCAAGACACTGAGAGGGTTATGAGCTCTCAGCAGGAGCGAGGTTGGGACAAGGGACTTCCTGGTTCTCAGTCTTCAGTGGGGTGAATTCAAACCCAATGCTTCTCTTTCTCTAGCCTGACCTCTTCCTTTTCTGTTTTTGCTGCGATCCTGCCACCCTCTTGAGCCAGCCTTGATTGTGTATCACAAAAACCTGAGGCAGTTGTAGCAGGGGAGATAGAGCCTGGTGTGAGGCAGGAGAACAAAGCTACCTAGCTCTGCTAGAGAAGCTGTGGTGTTTCTATATAAAAATAAAATGGACTTTCTATAGAAATGATAATCATGATTTTTTTAAAAAAGAAACACTACCTTGGTTTGTAACTGGCCAAACCATCAGTTTCTGTCAATGGTCAACATGCTTATTTATCACTCATCCAAAACAGATCAAACATATTTACCATCAAGTCATAATACTGCAGATTATACTTCAGCTTGCATTCTGTTGACTTTGTTTTTATCACCCCTTCGGATTATGTTACAGTAATTGATTTGTGAATGAAATGGTTGGCATTATAATTATGATAATATGATGGGGATAATAATAAGTCAGATTTGGAAATGGTTTGTCATTGGGAATGGGGTTAGCGGGGAGGGGAAACGAGCCTGCTTAGAGGGAGGCTTGTGTTGGAATTGGGTGAAAGCAAAGCTAGTGATTTGATGCTAAATGGAGGAGAAATAACCAGTAAGCTTCAAGGCCAAGAATTTGGCTCCAGGTCTCCCTGGGCAAAGTCCAGCACAGTGGCTGTGCTGTACCACTCTGATAACATGCCTGCCTGCCACACCAGTTTAAAGTACAGAGCTAGTAGTTTCCAACAATCCAAGGTGAGAGAAGGGAGAATATATTGATGCTCATTCCCTCTCCTACCAACATGAACTAGCTGGCCTTTGGTCTAATACAGCAGGGATTTTCTTACATTATTAGGGTGGAAAGGATGATGTTTGGGAGGGTTGGTGCTCTTTTTGTGGTGAGGAAGGGAGGGAAAATTTATATATTTCCTTCCAAGATTATGCATATAGCATAGGAAGTAACATACAGAAATGATATGCACTCAGGAATGCACTGTAATGCAAAGCCTTCATCAGGACTTTCTTGGTTGTGGTCATTTCCCTGTGGAAGAGCCTTCACAGAGAAGCCCACCAATGCCTCTTATTACAGTGGTACCTCGGGTTACGTACTTAATTCGTTCTGGAGGTCTGTTCTTAACCTGAAACTGTTCTTAACCTGAATCACCACTTTAGCTAATGGGGCCTTCCGCTGCTGCCGCGCCACCACTGCATGATTTCTGTTCTCATCCTGAAGCAAAGTTCTTAACCTGAAGCACTATTTCTGGGTTAGCGGAGTCTGTAACCTGAAGCATATGTAACCTGAAGCGTATGTAACTTGAGGTACCACTGTATAGGTCTTTTGGTTGACATTTGGGTAAATTGGCATGATTGCTGTACTGATTTTACTGACTCTCATTATGGTTTTATCACATTTTTGTCAGCCAGACAGGGGAGACATCAGATACATTTCAAAATAAATAAAACACATGCCTTTTAAAGCAGGAGTAGTTGCACATGACCAGTCAAGGCAGCTGCTTAAGGCCCAAACTACTGCCAGTCACCTGTAGTTCTTTCCTGCACCCACCCTTTTCCAAAAGCATTCAGGCCAGATTCTGTCTTGAGCAAGGAGATGTGAGAGGCTGCTTTCACTTCTGGAGATCATGCTGCTTGGTATTGCCCCCTCCCCAGCACACATGTTTACTTGTAGAAGAAACTTCTTTGTTTTCCCCAGTCTAGTCCTCACAGCTCTCCCACAGCTGCATATGTTATTTTGTTGTTTATGTTGCTTTTCTAAGGAAGATAAAATGTGAGTAAATATACGTGAGCATCAGATATAGGCTGAGCCTCCATCTTATTGAATCAGCTCACATTACCTCCACTTGTGAATTCTTGTTTAAGAATAAACAGATCAGCATTTTTAGCACAGATTGTCCTTTAGCTTGTGCCAATGCATTCACAAAATCAGTATATACATCACTGAGGACTTCTCCATGATGAAGCTGGCACATGCAGAGGGGAAATTCACATCTTTCCCCCCCTCTGGAGCTAATAAAGCAGGCGGAAGTAAAAATTTAAATCCTGATAGCTGATTTATCAACAACAGTACTGTACTGGTCTTTGATCTGCCTTGCTGGTAATACTGCCCACTGAAGTGTCTTCTTGGATCCTTTTCTGAAGTAGGTGAGAAATAGGCGTGGCACATACCTTTCCAGAGCATTGTTGACTTGGTGAAGGTATGTGGATTTTGCAGGGGGTGGGGGAGTTGTGTGTGTGTCAAACATCTCAAAGTGAGATGTTCCAGGTGCTTACCCAGGTTCTGTTTCCTTGGAATGAAGGTCAGCAAAGACTGTGGTGTCTTTCAGATATATTTATTTACAGATGTATACAACCTGAATATAGGACTGAGGGCCTCACAGGATTAACACCCCAATAGATCTTGCTTCTCCACTAGTTGCAGTCGCAGACCCCTGTGTCTGTGTCTCCTTCCAGCTCTGTCCTCAATATAATACAGTGGTACCTTGGGATGCGAACGGGATCTGTTCCGGAGGCCCATCCTGAATAGAATGTAAGACGCGACTGCGCGGGTTGCGTTTCGCCGCTACCGCGCATGCGCGTGATGTCATTTTGACCGTCTGCTCATGCGCAAGCGGCAAAACCTGGAAGTAACTCGCTCCATTACTTCCAGGTCGCCACGGAGCGCAACCCGAAAATACTTATCCTGAAGTGTATTTATCCCAAGGTATGACTGTATTCTAGCTATTGTTCTCCTATCTAACAGGAGGGGGTGTGGAGGAAAGGCCCCACCCATTACATTATTGTCTTACAGAGAAACTTGTCTGGCCAACCTCCTCCATTAGATTATAACCCTCACTGGTTATTGTCCCCCACGAATTGGAAGGGACTCAGTGCATCATCCAGACTGAGCTCCCCAAACCTACAACATAATTAAGAAGAGGCAAGCACATCAGTAGGTAATTATGGAAATGCGCAGAAATCCTTCCTCTCCCCTATTTTCTGAGCCTCTAGCAGAGTCTGCTTAGACATTGTCAAGATTTTCTCCACAGCTGTAAGAGCTAGCAGTCTTCTTCAACAGAGCATAGGGTTTTCTGAGCTGGGGTTCATGCATAGATTTGGAACCATTTGGTCTGCTGTGAATCAAGACTTGGGCCGGTTAACCCTTGCTGGAATTAGTGATTACCGAGGATGTATAGCTGCAGCCCAAATCACCTGCCTGGCTTGTAAATAAAAAAAAAAGTGTGTGCTGTGATATTGTGCTGCTGTGAGTGTCCCCAACCCACCTCAGCTTCAGTTCTTAGGCTGTCATTTGCAAGGCTGAGAAACTAGAAGCACAGTACAGTGGTACCTCGGGTTAAGAACTTAATTCATTCTGGAGGTCCATTCTTAACCTGAAACTGTTCTTAACCTGAAGCACCACTTTAGCTAATGGGGCCTCCCACTGCTGCCGCACGATTTCTGTTCTCATCCTGAAGCAAAGTTCTCAACCCGAGGTACTATTTCTGGGTTAGTGGAGTCTGTAACCTGATGCAGCTGTAACCTGAAGCGTCTGTAATCCGAGGTACCACTGTAATGACTGTTGATGGGAAGGGGAGGGAAGGCACATGGTGGCAGCTTTTGGCAGCAGCCATACATCCTATTTGTTTACTAGTAATAATTGTTTAATTTGTGGTGTTGTGGAAATTGAGGGCTGCCTATAGGATAGCTTCCTTCAACCTGGTGCCCTCTAGATCAGGGATGTCAAACTCAAATTCATCGGGGGCCGCATCAGCAGTTTGGTCACCCTCAAAGGGCCGGTTGTATCTGTAGGACTATGTGTCCACTCTTTATTATCATAAATTATTGTCACTGCATTCAATTATTACTGTTTTTTGTAATAATGTAAGTAATAACTAGCTCTGAAAGCAGAAACATAGAATAATGGCAAGTAGATATTCAAATGTACAATTATTGTACAATTTATTGAAAAATGATTTTTGGTAACAGACAGTAATTATTTTTTTTAAAACATACAAATATTGCCAAACACTGTTTATTACACATATGGCAAACACAAGGCATTAACTTTTTTTTAACTTTTCTGACTAGATGGCTGACATCGTTTTCCTGAGGTCAGTCCATCGATGTCTGGCATTAGGTCTTGTGCTGTAGCAATCCACAAAACAGCATGGAGGTTATCATCAGTGATACGTGATCTGAGCTTTGTTTTGTTTCTTTAGCCACAAGATAGCTGGCTTTCACTGCTGCATCATTTTTTGCTGTCATTTTTGCAAAAATATTCCGTTGAGAATGCAGGCTACCTTTTAATTCTTGGACCTTTTGTTGCTTTTCCTGGTGGCTAAGGTTAGCAAATTTGGCTCCATGTTTGGTCTCAAAGTGCCGGCGTAAATTGTATTCCTTCATCACTGCCACTGCTTCATAGCAAATAAGACATACCAGCTTGTCTCCATTAATCACAAACATGTATTCACTTTCCCATCTCTCCTGAAATTGCCTTCCCTCTGCATCAACTTTTCTTTTCTTGGACATTTTTGGGTTATTTGATTGTAGTTTATGGTCCCTATACCACTGTAAAGTGACACGGAAGTGGTCGGTATATCCATAGTTTACCGCTCAGACTTTTAAGCAGTATAATAAGCAGACCCTCCCCTAATAAGCAGATCCCCTTCCCCCCCACATACATCATATGTACTTACAGTACAGGAGAGAAGGGTTCAGGCAGCCGTTGGATCTGTCACATCACAGGATGGCATGCGCTCAATATAAAAACAAGTGGAGGTTTCCTGAATGCATGTAAAGTGGAGGTTTCCTGTGTAGAACAGCCGGCACCGCTAGAGGGCAGACGTTCTCTGGCTTGTAGGCTGCCGTGCATGCGCTGAAGAGGCGCCTTTCTTGTGTAAAAAAAAAAAAAAAAGCAAGAATAAAAGGTGAAGGCTGGTGGCAGGCGGCGGCTACACGGGCCACATGATGAGGTCTGGCGGGCCGGATTCGGCCCGCGGGCCTTGTGTTTGACACCCGTGCTCTAGATGTTTTGGATTACAACTTCCATAAACTGCATCCAGGATAGTGGAGGTCACCAAATTGGTGAAGGCTTTCACAGGAGTGTCTTTCGTCAAGAAAATCAGTAGGGCTCAACAAGTACATAGCATGGTGTACTTGTTGAGCTCTGTTGATGGAATCTTATTTGTTTCAGTTGTTCATGCAGTGCATAGTTAAACTCACTCTAATGTGTGTGTATGTGTGCAGCTACATGTCTGTTACTTTTGAGTGGATTTGATACCATGGATGGTGTAACGTAGAACCTAATGTCACAATTACCATGTGATAGTCTTTAAGATACCTCAGGGCTCCCTGATTTTTAAAAAACATAAATGATTAAAATTTACAGTGAGACCTGCTTGGCGCTGACATTGTTTCTGCTGCTGCGTTAAAATGTTTCTGTACACTCAGGCATTTTACAGTATGTAATGGGCTGTTTTTCTGATCCTTAGCTCTTGTTGTGTTTGGTTAATTGCATATTCTGCCAGTTTTGATCTTGTAATTTTTGAGAGATGGGGTTGTTTTTAGTAAAATATGCATTCATTCATTCATTCTTTGGCTTTAAGCTTTGTATATTGTATATGTTTTGTATTTCTGTGAGTTGCCTTGGGTTGTTTTGAGAAAGGATCGTGACAATAATACATTTGTGGAATTTGTCTCACCGAAGCAGAAGATCAGATGCTTTGTATTCTGGATGAGCCATCTACTTCTGTGCTATAGAGAGGCATTCTTCATTGTGAGATGGAGATATGGAAGTTACAGATAATTCACTCCTAGCAATGGTTTGTTGTTTTGCTTCAGTTACTTAACACCTCCAGTAGACCTACACCTTCAACAATGTCTGTAGCTAGGATGCCATTGAAATTCAGATCCACATTAGTAAATTGCTGCTTACATTCTGCAGCCACCCCTTCCATCTGGGTGCCTTGCAGTTTGTAACTCTATCAAAGCAGGTCACTTTCAACTCCCTGTAGCATCTCATCAGGAAGGGCTCCCATCCCCCATAGTCACACCTGTCTCACTCATTCTGCTTGCAGCTACTTCATTTCATTAAATCAGTGGTTAGAATAATAGATTCATAGAATTGTAGAGTTGTAAGGGACACTGGGGGGCATCTAGTCCAACCCCCTGCAATGCAGGAATCTCAACTAGATCATACATGATAGACGGCCATCCAACCTCTGCTTAAAAACCTCGAAGAATAGAGAGTCCACCTCTCCTGGGAACCAGTTCCACAGCAAACAGCTCTTACTTTCAGAAAGTTCCTCCTGGTGTTTAGTCAGAATCTCCTTTCTTGTAACTTGAAGCCATTGGTTCAGGTCCTACCCTCTGGAGCAAGAAAAAACAAGCTTGTGACAGCCCTTTATATATTTGAAGTTGGCTATTCTATCTTCTTCATTCTCTTTTCCAGGCTGAACATACCCATTTCCCTCAAATGTTCCTCATAAGGCTTCATGTCCAGACCCTTGATAATCCAGGTCACCCTACTCTGCACACATTCCATCTTGCCAATATCCTTCTTAAATGATGGTGCCCAGAACTGGACCCAGGACTCCAGGTGTGGTCTGACCAAGTCATAAGAGAGTGGTACTGTTTTCTTGATCAGGACACTATACTTCTGTTGATGCAGCCTAAAATAGCATTAGCTTTTTTTGCTGCTGCATCACACTGTTGACTCATAGAATCATAGAATCGTAGAGTTGGAAGGGACCCAGAGGATCATCTAGTCCAACCCCCTGCAATGCAGGAATATGCAGCTGTCCCATACATTAAGCTTGTGGTCTACTAAGACCCCAAGAAGCTTTTCACATATACTACTGGCAAGCCAGGTGTCACCCATTTTATATTTGTGCAACTGCTTCTTCCTGCCTATGTGTAGAACCTGACATAAGTTCCTATTTAAATTCATAATGTTATTTTGGACCCAGTTCTCTAATCTGTTACGGTCATATGGAATCCCGATTCTGTGTTCTGCATCGTTATCTACCCCTCCCAGTTTGGTGTCACCTGCAGACTTGATTAGCGTTCTCTCAGTACCTTCATCCAAGTCATTTATAAATATGTTGAACAACAATGGGCCCAGGACAGAACCCAGCAGTACCCCACTTGTCGCTTTTTTTCCCAGGATGAGAAGGAACCACTAGTGAGCACTCTTTGGGTTTGGTCAGTTAACCAGCTACAAATCCACCTGTTATCTCGTTCAGTTCACAGTTTGTCAGTTCCAAGTTTTATGGAAGAATATCATGGGGGACTTTTTAAAAGCCTTACAGAAATTAGAATACACTATGCTCACAGCATTCCCCTGATCCACCAAGTTTGTAACTCTGTCAAAAGAAAAAAGAGATGAGATTGGTCTGGCATAACTTATTGATAAGAAACCCATGCTTGAGCTTAGTAATCACAGCATCTTTTTCTAAATGCTCACAGACCAATTGTTTAATTATCTATACTAGGAGCTTTCCTGGTATCAATCTTAAGCTGATCGGTTGATCATTTCCTGGGTCATCTTGTTTCCTTTTTTGAAGATGTAGACAATATTTGCCCACTTCCAATCTGCAGGGACCTCACTTTTTCTCCATGAATTCTCAAAAATTATAGATAGAGGCTCTGAGATTACATCTGCAGACTCCTTTAGTACCCTTAGGTGCAGCTCATAAGGTTCTGCTGCTCCATCTGTTACTGGCATTGCTACTGGAGCATATTGTCAAACAGCTGACCTTGCTGCTCCAGTAGCTGCTGGTGGTGGTGCTGGAGCATCAACCTGAACTGCTGCAAGAATCTTGCTGTTCCTCCATTTCCACTTAGACACACCTTGCTCACGGGACCTCTTCCAGGAAACATGAACCCCACTATTGACACCAGTGTTGCATGCCACCCCAATCTCTAAGTGGTGCAAGATTTCAGGGGTTCCAAGCACTTACCCAGAATTCATGTTTCCTTTTGGAAATAAGACACAGTGGATTCTGGTGTCTTTATTATATGTGGTTTATTTACACATGCATACAACTTGAGCCTACAATGGAAGAGTTTGCAGCATTAACACCCCAAGAAGATACTTCTTCTCCCATAGCCACAGCCTTGGGATTCCAACAGAAATCAGACTTGGCTCTCTCTCTCTCTCTGCCTTTCCAGCCTGCAGCTTTTGCATCCAGCTTCTAGCTCACATCACTCAACTCTCAACTGTGGCCTTTTGTCTTTCTAACTGATAGGCAGTTGAAGATGGGAGGCCCACCCATTTGTTCTCTGACACAGAGCCACTTCCTTTGTTCCTTTAATGACCCATACTTAGTGGGTCTCACATGCAGCCTACTTCCTCCCCTCTAAAAAAACATAAATGAATCTAAGTAGAAGATGAGAACGTGAAATTTCCTGTGGAGAAAGACACATGCAACTGATTAAAACAAGGATTTGGTTATTTTCTCCTTGCAGATGGGAGCAGAATACAGCTTCTTCTGTAGTACAGGGTTGATTATTCGGCCAGTGAGGTGAGGTTATTCAGAGAGTTCATTTGTACTGTAAGTAAATAAATCCTGAGTAGCTGCACCCAGTGTGAAAAGCAAACAGGCTGCATGCAGAGGCCTGCCAGGTGTTTAAAGACACATCTTAAAACATACACATCTGTACAATGTAAAGTATTTATAGCAATTGATTCCTCTGCCTCCCAGATCCCCAGTTTTTGTACAATTTAGTTTGCTCTAAATGTCACACATTTCTCTAGATTAGGGTAAATTATTTTAATTAAATTGCCTGAATTGACTGAACGGACCAGGATGATCTTGGCTCTTCTCCTGTCGCAGCAGCGTGTGATCAGTTTCAGACATGTCAACAGTGTAGGGTCCTCTCTGACTCATCCCCCTTTGTCTTCCGCTCCCTAGTAGACGGACAGGAGCTGGAAATCAATGTGGCATCGATGCTCTCTATTCCAGGGGGAATATAGCATCACATTAATATTGCAACCCCTGCTGGAGAATTTGGATAAAAATCCAGGCTCCAGAGGGGCTTTGTTCGAGCAGCCAGCTTGCGGATGCTGCCACAGCATGAGAATGAGAGCGGGCGGATGTGTTGCCGGCTGGAGTATTATGCCATGTCAGGAAGGAGGGGAAAGAACAAGCATTCTCACTCAAGCCGACTTTTGGGGTTGATGGCGCCAAGTGAGGTCCTGCTGGGAAAGTCAGCATGAGGCTCAGGAAGACTCTAATCAGCCCTCTAGTAAGGCAGGAGCTGCCTCAGCTGCCCAGATTTCTCAAAGGAAGGACAAAGCTTTCCTACAGCACACCCTGAGAGTGGCCAGAATTAAAACAGCTTGGAAACATAGTTCTGCATCTGTTCTTGTTTTGTGTTTTAAGAAAAAAGAAAAACGAGGAAACAGTGTGAACTAAAACAGGTTTTGGATCGTAGGAACACAGCACTTCCTCCTCACACCCATTTTATGGCAGGGCTCAGGCTTACGCAGAAATAATTCAGGTTTGCCTAGAGACAGGAACATCCATTTAATCTAGCTGCCAGCAATGTTTATACAGAGATAATGTAAAAGAGTGATGTTTTCCATATGGAGCAAGAGACGTGTGCAAGTACCTGAGCATAAGGACATCAGAAGAGCCCTCCTGGATCAGACCAAAGGCCCATCTAATCCAGGATGCTGTTCTTGTGGTAGCCAATCAGGTTACCTGAGAATCCTGTAAGAGGGACCTTAGCACAACTCTCTCCACTTTCAGTTCCCAGGAACTGATATTACCTCCAGTACTAAAGACATTACACGGCCCTCACAACTATCAGCCACTGATAGCCTCATTCCCCATGAACCTGTCCAACCCACTCTTAAAGTCATCTAAGTTGCTGTGCATCACTATGCACTGTGACAGTGAGTTCCACAGTTTAAGTACACACTTTGTGAAGAAGTCCTTCCTTTTAGTCTCTCTTTAATCTTCCCAAATTCAGCTTTGTTGAATGACCCTTTATTCTATTGTAATGCAAGAAGGACAAAAGCTTTTTCCTCTCTACTTTCTCCATACCATGCACCATTTTCTGTGCCCTCCCCTCCCCTCCCCACCATTAGTTGCCTTTTCTGAACTGAGCCGCCAGATCCCTCTCCTCCAGCAGCTCAACAGGGTGCAAAAAAGCCCTCTCCGCCAGGAACCCCACTTGACAACATAAGCTTGAAAAGCCATCAGGAATGGCATTTTAAAATGACATATAACCTGCTTGACTTCCTGCCTGACCCTTGCAGCATCTTTTATTGAATCCTGCCATCTTTCATTAAGAGCTTCTGAGAAGTGTAACTCTGACCAACAGGGCCTAGAATTATTTCAGGGAAAGAATGAATGTGCTTTAAAGGTAAAGTTTGTACGCAGAACGCAGAACTGTGCTTCAATTATGAAAGCAACCCTAGGAGCAAAAGATGTGTGCAGCTATAACCTGAAAAGAAGGATGTGCACACTTCCAGTTGTGATTGCTGCTGTGTAAAGAGTGCATTGAGATCTCCTTCAGATATGTATATGCATATATTCTAACATGGCATGAGAACATCCTTGAAGCACAGTATATATATATTTTTTAAAATAATATTTATTAAAAGTTTCAGAATTACAGAAAAAAAGAAAAAATAGGAAACAACACTACAATACATAAAAAGAATAAGAAAAAAAAGCATAAAAACCAATACAACAATACAGCAAAATAAATAAAAAACACAAAAAAGACACAAATCCCATGTTACATATCTTATTTGCTTGTTTCATTGACCTCCTCACACCTCCCTTTTTGTATTCTAGTTTAGTTAGTTATTTCAGCAAATTCTTTCCATCTTTCTCAATTTTTATTGAATAATTTATCTTAACAATTTAACCTATTAATTAACTCAACAAATCCTTTCCATCTTTCCCCATATTCTGTTATTCAAATTGCCTTAATTTATTTAACCTTATCTTACCGTAAAATACCTTAGAGCTTGAAACTTAATACTCAATTATACATAACTCCTTATATCATTTCTACTAAAGCCATATAGTTTCATTCCAACATTTTCCCTAATATTCATTAATTTTAGGCTAATTCCCTAAATAAAAATTTTTCTTTATAATTTTTCTTCCAATCTTCATCCAGCATCTCTTCTTCCTGGTCTCGGGTCATGTCAGTCCTTACTGTCCATTCCATCTAGTCCATCAACCCGGTAATCTTATATCCGAGGCTCTTAAGTCTCTTCCATGTCCCTTCTGCAGATCTCCTTCTTCTTGTTTATACCTGCACTTTTCCTTGTCTTTTGTTGGTCTCTTTCTTAATTTCTTTCCTTTCTCATTGAGGAGTAGGTCTCTGGGAAGTTCCAGCCCAAGATTATCTCCATCTCCCTTCATCAAACCAGCCCATTCCCCACAGTCCCACTCCCCACAGTCATCAATGTAATCCAAAAAATATTTAAAAGCATATTTCAAAGTCCCTCCGAAGTTAAGAACCTCCTCAGCTCCAGACTCCCCCTGACCCACTCCAACTTCAATCTTCAAAGACAGCGGCTTATGCTCCTGCAGGGCCTCGGATCTCTCCATTTGTATTATTTGAGGTGCAACCGCAACCTCCTCCATTATCTTCTGCACTTGCCCCATCAATACAGGTTCCTGAGTTGGTCCCTGAATGGTTTCTGTATCAATATTCCCTGTTTGTCCACAGTTATTGACCACAACAGTCATCAAATCCATTTTCTCATTCATCAGATCCATCTTCTCATGCATCTGTTCCAACAAAGCACTTGTCTTGCATAAAGCAAGCACCAAAACTTCCTCCCAGCTCATTTTTATTCGAGGTCAAAAGGACTGGTCCCACGATCTTAATCTCACAGCTGTAGAGTCCTCAAGTAGACTGCAGCAACAATTTAACAAGCTCCCTCTAGAGGAGACAATTTCTATTTGTATCCATCTTTTTAAGGCAAGTCCAACAAAGGAAAATTACTTTCATTTTTCAGATATTTTGTTTCTTTAGAATGCAAAAGGCAACATTGGAATCAGTTTATTTCTCTTCTTTAGCTATCTGTCAAAGTATTCCATTCACAGTCAGTGAACCTCTCCAACAATTTCTGTCTCTGACCCCCGTTCCCAGGTTTGAGACAGTGGAAGCTTATCTTTCTTCACTCCCTCTCCTGCAGGCTTAAACAAAGATCCCCCCCCCTTTTCTCCTGCTTCCAAGGGGGTTTTAGTGGTTATAAATGAAGGAAATTTAGACTTTTTTAACGACTTTCCGGACTTTAGCTTACAAGGTTTTTGCTTCAGTCTATGTACAAAAAGCGGAAGGCGGACTTCCTGTTTGAACCTTCCCGCTTCGGTGCCAAATTAGGGTATTTCTTGATCCAATTTTCCGTTTCTACTCACGGGTACTTGTTTTAAATCCAGTTGTCCACAGGAAAAAGTCAGCGCTCTCCGGCAGTGGCTGTGCGGCTTCACTCCGTGAAAGTAGCAATCAGTTCACAGCACCGCGCCGCTCACCCCACTTCACTCCGGAACCCCGAAATGGGGTTCCCCGTGAGTAGGGGAGGCGCTCCTGGTGCCCTGCCGAACCCCACGTTCCCAGGCTTCCTCCGCCTGGGATTTCTAGCGGGTCCCCACCTTCGCCGCGGCGGGAAGACCCAGTTTCCACGGAGCCAGTTCCTCCAGTCGGAGGAACTCCGCCATTCGCCGATGGCGCTAACCCGGAAGCACAGTATAACATCCATGCCAGATTCTGTGATAGTTCCAAATTCTTTATCTGTGTGTCTATGTAATCACAGAAAAGTACCTCCCTTGCTAATAGCAAAGTCTTAAGAGTATAAGTTTAAAACTAGAAGTCATGGACATCCAGTGAAGCTGAAGGTTTGGAGATTCAGGACAGATAAAATGAAGAACTTCTTCACACAACACATAGTTAAACTATAGAACTCGCTCTCACAAGAGGCAGTTTCCCACAGGCATTTGAGTGGTCACTGTGAGACTGGACTGGGCTAGATGGGCTATTGGCTTGATCCTGTAGGCTTTTTTTATGCTCTTAAGTTGACCTGTGGTGGATGAATATTGCCTCATTGTTCACAGTTCGGGGCAGTTGTGGAAGGAAGACAAAACCAGCAGTTGTGTGTATGGCTCTGAGGGCAGGAATACATGTCTGGGACTGTATGTGGGATCCTCATTCCCTGGTGAGTGGTTATAGTGGTAGCGGGAGTATGTGATTTGAATGGGAGAAGACACACATACGGACAGGTGGCTCAACAAAGAATCTCGTGACACCTAAAAGAATTATGGTAGCATAAGAGTTAGTGAGCTTTAGTCCACCTCATCATATGCATGAAGTATTATCCTGAATTGCAGTTATGTATTTTTGCATGAATTCAGATTTCCAAGTGGTGAGAGACTCATGGGATTCCAGCACTAACCCAGACACTGGTTTCCTTGGAATGAGTCAATGGAGATGGTGATGTCTTTAGAATACAGTCATACCTCGGGTTGAATGTGCTTCGGGATGAGCGCGTTCAAGTTGCACTCCGCGGCAACCCGGAAGTAATGGAGCGCGTTACTTCTGGGTTTCGCCACTTGCGCATGCGCAGACGCTCAAAATGGCGTCATGCGCAGAAGCGGCAAAAAGCGACACGCGCAGACATGCCATCACTGGTTACGTTTGTTTCTAGATGCGAACGGGGCTCCAGAATGGATCCCGTTCACATCTAGAGCTACCACTGTACAGTGGTGCCTCGCAAGACGAAAAGAATCCGTTCCGCGAGTCTCTTCGTCTTGCGGGTTTTTTCGTCTTGCGAAGCAAGCCCATTAGCAGTTTAGCGGATTAGCGCTACAGTATTAGCGGGCTTAGCAGATCAGCTGATAAGCGCCTTAGCGATCAGCTGTTAAGCAGCTTAACGATCAGCTGATAAGCGGCTTAAGGATCAGCTGATAAGCGGCTTAGCGATCAGCTGTTAAGTGGCTTAGCCGATCAGCTGATAAGCGGTTTAGCGGCTTGGGACAAGGGGGGGGGAGGACAAATCCCCGCAGGAACTCGCAAGGCCTTTTCGTCTTGCGAAGCCAGCACATAGGAAATTCGTTTTGCGAAGCACCTCCAAAACGGAAAACCCTTTCGTCTAGCGGGTTTTCCGTCTTGCGAGGCATTCGTCTTGCGGGGCACCACTGTATATGGTTTTATTTACCCATACATGCCACCTGCACATAGGATGGAAGGGCTCACAGCATTAACAGCCCAACAGATCTTGCTTCCCCATTCTGGTCCCAGGGAGATTCTCAAGCTCATAATTTGGATCCAGCACAAAGCAGATATGTCTCTCTGTGTCCAGCTTGTTAGAATCAGCCAGATCTTACCCTCAAAACCTCTTGTTCTTCCACTTTACAAAGTGATGCTGCTTCCAACTATGTATGGGGGGTTAGCCTCATTTGTCTCTGTGACAATGTGGCAGCCTCTTCCTAATGTAAATGCCAGTACATAACTGGCTGAAAGGTTTGGCTGGTTTCTGCTCATACAGTGGTAGCTTGGTTTTTGAACATCTTGGAAGTCAAACGTTTCAGTTTCCAACACCAAAAACCCAAAAGTAAATGCTTCTGTTTTCAAATGTGCCTTGGAAGTCGAACGGCTTCTGCTGAGCTTTATTTCAATTTTCTCCATTGACTTTGCAGCCAGCCCTTTGCACCTCGGTTTTTGAATGTTTCAGAAGTCGAACAGTCTTCGGAATGGATTACGTTCGAAAACTGAGGTACCACTGTAGAGTCTGCCATCACCTACACAGCATCACAGGTTTTGAAGGAACCAATGGGTATCACCCATACTGACCCCCCCCCCAAACTATAACAATATATATATACATGTGGGGGTGGAATTAGAAGGAAATGAAGTCAGAAGGAAGTGAAAAGCAAAAAAGCCACATATGGTGATCACTACACAAGAAAACAGTCATCAAAAGCATACATATTCTGACACATATATTCTGGCATTTGTAAACCAATTTGAGAGCAACCATTTCACCCTCTTTCCCAATTAACATATGTAGCATGATAAAAAAAAAAATCAATTCACAAATGATAGGTGTAGGTAAGGGCAGTGCTTCTTTAAAAAGAAAAAAAAAGGTGCCAGAACTCACAATGAAGTTGTTACAGTAAGTGCCACTCTTTAAACATGGGGCGGGGGAGATGTTGGTACTGTGTACCCTTGAAAAAGCACTGTAAAGGGTTTAATCCACGTCCTTATTTGCAACCCTCCAATTCAGAAAGAAGTGAGAACCATCACTGGTTCACCTATCACAGTAAATCCCCCCTCAGTTCAAGCATTATTTTTGCAAGAATGGGATTATAAAGGCAGGTTTTACTGGAGTGTTTTTTGTGGTGCAGCACCTCAAACTTGATAAACTGGATGGGGTGCAATTTCACCGTTCTACCTAAGCTTCCTTTCCTGACGTACTTACTTGGAAATAAGTACTCTTGAAACAAATCAAATGTGCTTGTGTTAACAGCTGCTGTTGTCTTTGCTTTCACCTCTATGTGGAACAATATCATCTAGATAAATATGAGTGTGATTTGGCTGGGTGGTGAATCTTTCCATCACCAGCAAGTTTTTGAGAGTAGTATTGGCAACCATTTGGTCATTTGGTTGGTTTTTTTTATTTTGAGTTTATGTGATATTTGTATGCTGTTTTGCCAACAGCAACGTTGAGTGCAAAATAATAAAGCATTAAAATGAGCAAATAACATTTTCATTAGTATAATCAGCAATCACAATAGCATATAAGTAAAAATAAACAATTCAGTAAGCAATTAATGGTTGTATTGACACCAATACCAACTCACAAAATTCAAAAGAATTAATCAGAAGATGTTGCTGAGCAGCAGCCCCCTTCCAGTTGATAGATAGATAGATAAACTTTATTCGCATTAGCCAACGGCCATAGCAACATAAAACAAGCAATATATACAAATAAAATATATACAAATAAAAAAAGACAGCAATGGGTAAAAAGGGCAATCAAGTCACCAAGATTATCGTTCAGATAGTGGCCCTTAATCTCATTGCACCCTCGCCCCTCCCAGTTGGCAGCATCCTCAAGAACATAAAAGAGCCTGCTAGATCCGGCCATTGGCCCATCTAGTCTAGCATCCTGTTCTTACAGTGGCCAACCAGATGCCTGTAGGAAACCAGCAAGCAGAACATGAGTACAAGAGAACTCTCCCCTCCTGTAGTTTTCAGCAACTGGCATTCAGAAGCATTACTGACTCCAACTGTGGAGGCAGTACATAGCCATCGTGACTGGTAGCCATTGATAGCCTTGTCCTCCATGAATTTGTCTAATCCTCTTTTAAATCCATCCAAGTTTATGACCATCACTGACTCCTGTGTGCACAGGTTCCATAGTTTAACTATGCACCAGGGAGGAACTTCTTCACTCTCAGTCCCAGGCAGAAAGTCTAACCACAGGCCTGGTGGAGCCCTAGATGGAGCACATACAATCCCTTGCAAACAGAAGCACTACATTAGGCTGTTCCATAGTTTAAGCCATAGTGGCAGCAGAGCTGCTCTCACAGCTCTGTCCGATTCATTTGAACCTTATTGATTAAAATTGGGAGCGTGGGGATCAAGATTAAGGGCTTAGGGGTGAGATCTTTTGACCTTGGTGAATGTGGTCTGGTGTTAAAGTGGAACTGATGTTAAAAATGAATAGTAGATCATGTTCATCTACTATCACATACCCTTTCATCCTTCCGCGGATATTTATTAGCTCATCATTCACACAGTCAGGCAGGAACTGACTTCTTTCAAAACATAATTTCTATTTAGTGGTGAGAAATAGGACTGGACTGTAGTCGCTGCATTTGGAAATAGCCAAAGATTAATTCCTATTTTGTTCATTTGAGGAAACATGGCATCACGATAAGGTCAACTTTATTACCATTCAGCTAGCAAATGTCAACACTACTTCATGTAAGTTTATCTCGGGGGGAGGCAGTTTTTTGAGAAGTCATGGGGGCTTTGGGGATAATCATAAATGGAGGGTTCAAGCTGGGTAATCCTCAGTGAATTACAACCCTTGGATTTAACAGTATTTTAATTTCCAGAAGGGTAACAGTGTTTGTCTCTTGCAGCAAAAATTAACTAGAATCTTGTGGTGCCTTATAGATTAACAAGTGCATTAGGACATAAATGCATTAGGACATCATGGGCATAAGCTTTCAGCCACATTCAGCCTGAGCCTATTATATGTATATATGTGTGTGTATATTATTTATTAGCTAACCTTCACCCCAAAGTCCCAGGGCGGGTTACAACATTAAAACACAATATTAAAATCAGTTTAAAACAACTTACAATCACAAAATAAGGTGGTGCCTAAAAAGATGCCTCTTGAGTGTCAAATGCCCAGAATAAAGGGTAAATATAGAAGAATATATTCAGAAGCAATTAAGCAAAGGAGATCAGTTCAAACACTGTGAGGCATGCAAAGATTTCTTGATTGTTGTTGTTTAGTTGTGTCCGACTCTTTGTGACCCCATGGACCAGAGCACGCCAGGCACTCCTGTCTTCCACTGCCTCTCGCAGTTTGGTCAGACTCATGTTTGTAGCTTCGAGAACACTGTCCAACCATCTCGTCCTCTGTCGTCCCCTTCTCCTTGTGCCCTCAATCTTTCCCAACATAAGGGTCTTTTCTGGGGAGTCTTCTCTTCTCATGAGGTGGCCAAAGTACTGGAGCCTCAGCTTCACGATCTGTCCTTCTAGTGAGCACTCAGGGCTAATTTCCTTAAGAATGGATGCGTTTGATCTTCTTGCAGTCCATGGGACTCTCAAGAGTCTCCTCCAGCACCATAATTCAAAAGCATCAATTCTTCGGCGATCAGCCTTCTTTATGGTCCAGCTCTCACTTCCATACATCACTACTGGGAAAACCATGGCTTTAACTATACGGACCTTTGTTGGCAGGATTTCTTGATTAGATACCTACTATTTAAGAGCGGAAAGGCTAGATATATAAAATATAATTTAGCATCCTAAGCAGCACAGGACTTCTCATTCATGGAGAATAATTAAAATCCCCATTATGTATGGGATTTCTAAAAGGTGCATGAAATGTTAGGAACTACCTCAGGATGTTTTGCATATTGTGTAAAACACGTCTTTCTCTTCTCTTTCTTTTTTTTTACGTTACGTTATGTTAATGTTAATTATTGTGGTACAGGTTTGCATGAACGCCACTATGTACATTCCCTTGTTATAATTGTTCCTTTTGTTTTATATGCATTATAAAATGAAATACAGTGGTACCTCGGGTTACTATTTCTGGGTTAGCGGAGTCTTTAACCTGAAGCATATGTAACCCAAGGTACCACTGTAATGAAAAGCTTTACAGAGAATAGAATAAAACAAAGTCTATTCCCTGCACTAGAGGTGATATTTATTTATTTATTTATAATTTTCATTCATGACAAATAAACATTTCAAACAGAATCATCTTTACATATCATATTTTGACTTCCCTCCCCCTCTTTCTGTGGTTCCTTATATTTATTTTCCTGCATATCCCAATATAAATCTATGTTGTATTTTATTTCCATCCATTTCATGTATGTTTTCAGTGCTGCACATTTTTACATTAATCCTGCTAATGTCTTAATTTGTTTATGATGAGTTTGTAAATATTCAATAAATGATTTCCATTCCCCCTTCAAGACTTCGTTATCTTGATTTCTTATTCTTCCAGTAAGTTTCACCATTTCTGAATATTCCGTTAGTTTCTGTAGCCATTCTTCTTTTGATGGGACATCTTCCTCCTTCCATCTTTGGGCAAATACCATTCTTACAGCAGTGGTTGCATACATAAATAAATATTTATATTGTTTAGGTAACTCCAATCCTATAATTCCTAAAAGAAAAGCTTCTGGTTTTTTTTAAAACAAAAGTTACCTTAAACATCTTTTTCATTTCATTGTATATCATTTCCGTCTTCCTCTTCTCTTTCAGTGACTGTGACCAGTTCCATAGAAAAAGGTATGTGGCTGTTTATGCATTTTCAGTTGAGGGGTGAAGGAAGCTTCATGCAGCGTTAAGCCATGTTGTTTAACACCATCATGTGTACTTTGGCCTTTAGCGTCCTTTGTCATTTGCACAGGCCAATTTCCCCACTAGGTATATCTTGCTTTCTTGTAGAACAGATAAATATTTCCCTGTCAATCACCTAACTTGAGGGAGAGTTCATGCTTTTTCATTTATTCATCTCCCTGAAGACTAGAGTGTCTTGGAAGCCAAGCATTAAAACAAAGAGGATGGGGGGAATCAGTGCCCCTCTATGTCTTCCTGATTGCTCTTTTTCTCCTTTAGTGGCCTACCTCACCATATTCCATGTGATCTTCCTGTTCTTCATATGGACGTATTGGAAGTCTATATTTACTCTTCCACAGCAACCAGACAAAAAGGTAAAAAAAAGCTGGGATGCTCTGGAGCAGCAAAGGAAACAGTTGAATCAAGAGTTAGTTCTGCTGCCTTAAGAATGTCTAGCCAAACTCAGGCAACACCCCTGGCCAGAGCCACCTGCTGCCCCCACAGTAGCCTGAGAGCAAACAGATCAACAGTGGGTGGGGGTGTGACAGTGGGGGGAGAGAGGGAGAGAGATGCAGCATGATACAAATTGTAATCATCCCAATGTGATTTGGTCAAATGACTCTTTGTCAGGGGCTGTCTGTAGTAACTTATGTTACTATCACATAACTAACTACAGTGGTACCTCTGGATGCGAAAGGTATCTGTTCCGGAGCCACATTCGCATCCAGAGCAGAATGCGCATGCGTGAGCGGCGAAACCCGGAAGTAACGCGTTCCGTTACTTCCGGGTCGCCGCGGAGCACAACCCGAAAATGCTCAACCTGAAGCAACTTCAACCCGAGGTATGACTGTATATTATAGTAGCATGCCTCCATAAAGTTAGTTATAGTTGTGTTATTATAACAAGTTGGTTGAAACCTGTGTGGATTCCATGGTGACCATGTAAGTGTGCTAGATACAGGGCATACCCTTGGTTTAGTCTTCGTCCTTAGTGGAGAGAGGGGTGGCCATAACCCTGTTGTCAGGGTTGACTACTTCCTGGCAAAGTTTAGACTTCTGACAACAGCCAAACCATTAGTGGTTGGGCACGACTCTGGATGGTCTGTCTCCAAAGACTAATGGAGCCAGATAGGTTCCTGGCTGTTCTGGGGGATTTCCCTGTGGACAGAGCCAGTGACCCTGTCAAGGCCTTGGTCTGTCAATACCATCACTCCAGTGCTGCAAGGCCCGCACTGCATCATGGTTTACTGAGTTGTGGCAGATGGCAGAAAACTTGCGCCAAAGATGACCAAACGCTTACTTGTTCATACAACTCTGCCTGAGAACTGGTGCTGAAAGCAGTGGAGAAGAACTACTTTGCTGCCGACATCACCTTCTCAGTGAACTGTCCAGCAGTTATTTCAGGTGGCCCCAAGGCTAACTGTACCAGAAGTGCTGAATGACACCACACACACACACCACCCCCAAAGCACTTGGTAGCATGCTGTGAGTGTGTTGCACTGCATTTTGGGGATAAAGTCACTCAACTCTGTAGCGCTTTAGATGTAGCAATTGTGCAAGCCCAGTCAAAGTGTTCAATTCAGCACCTTCTCATATTTTATGCAATCTGTTTTGGGGCTTTGTCTCTTGTTTACCACTTAGAAATGCAAGTGACTAAGTGGTATATAAATGTCTTAAATAAATAAAATCCTCTTCTTCTTCTTCCAGTTCCACATGTCTTATGCTGACAAGGAGCGCTATGAGAACGAAGAGAGACCAGAGGGACAGAGGCAGATCCTTGCTGAAATGGCACGGAAATTGCCCGTGTACACGAGAGCAGGGAATGGAGGTCAGCTGCACAGACAGCCTTTGAAATGTCCACCTCATCACTCTAAGCGGCACACACCAGCAACCCGCCTCATGAAACATGTCCTTGCCCTTTTGACTTTAAGAACCTTAATGTGGAGGGAATCATATTAGTTTAAAAGGATTTCCTTTTAACTTTCTCTGTCAGTCTTTGTAGTAGAGAGGAAATCCCTTAAAGATGTTCTTGATTTGTAAGAAAGTGGCTCAATGCTTTGTGACCATATGCTGCCTCAGTTTCCAGCTGCTGTATACATTCAGAGATCTAACTGGATTTCAGACCTGAATTGTGCTCTTAAAACATCAGTAGTCCAGTGGTAGAGTATGCACTTCACTTCCTTCAGGAAGGTCCCATGGTTTTGTGTGTGTGTGTGTGTGTGTGTATATATATATATATATATATATTTATTTATTTATATCCCAACTTTTTGCTCCAAGGAGCACAATGTGGCATACACATTTCTCCCCCTCTCTATTTTATCGTCACATGTGAGGTAGGCTGAGACGTCGTTACTAGCCTAAGGTGCACCCGGTGAGCTTCATGACCGAGTGGGGATTCGAACCACCACTGGTCACAAGTAGACAATGGATCCATATTATGATCATTTAAGAAGCAGCTTGATTCCATAGATAGTCACCCCCAGATGTTTTGGACTACAACTCCCATCAACGCCAGCCAGTATGGCCATGCTGACTGGGGCCGATGGGAGTTGTATTCTAAAACTTCTGGAGGGCACCAGGTTGACAAGTGCTCCTGTTAAACTTGAAAAAATTAATTGGATCCAGCACAGTGTGGGACATCACGGCCATATACATGGCTAATTTTAGCCTTCTCACATCAGAATTTTATACTTCTCTGTTCCTGGAAGCTAACAAGAACTGCCAGCTCAGAACTGGTTGCTTTTAATAGTAGGACTTTGATTTGCAGTAAGTGAAAAGAAGTCATTCATGAAGTCTAGTTCAACCAGGGGGTCTAAAGCCAAATGTGGTTTACATTTGTGAAACATGCAAAGCCCCATCACAAACATATTTTGTATCTAATGTTTGCTCTTTACTAAAGTGTTTAAATCTTTCAAGCTACTGTTAATGCCTTGAATGTCTTCATATTCATGCTTCCAATTTCATAGGACTGTTAATAACAAATAGCATTTATTTTATGCATTTCAAAGCATCAATCAAGCTTGTAAAATCAGGCAGTATTAATCAGAGGAAATGGTCTTGCTTAAAGCTGCCTATTGAGAGTGAGATTTGCTCACTCCCATTATGGCTAATGAAGGCGTTATGGGGTGTGCTTCTTTGCAGCGATTCGATTCTGTGATAGATGCCAGCTCATCAAACCTGACCGCTGCCATCACTGTTCGGTTTGTGCCATGTAAGTTTACCAGAATGATTTACATCACTATAACTCCACTCGTGAAGAAGAAAGCTAGCTCTTGATGCTTCAAGGAGAAAGATAGGGCAGTCATGGGCTTGTCTACATTTGGGCATCATTTTACTTTTAATCCACTTTCCTCCCATTCGACCAGAGTAGTCCACACTCACACATATTTGAATTTGTGTATGAGGAAGAACTTCAGTCTTTTCTGTTGATACCAGCAAGTGTTCCCTTTTGTGTTTGTCCCCACCTTCTAATTTGTTGAGTCTATTTTGCCAGTTAAGTACTGACAGAGCATGCATATCCCTGCACCCACACCTGTTTGTTTTTGAATGAATGAGTGAATCTTTATTTGCATCAGCCATCGGCCATAGCAATAAAACAACAATACGATATACAAAAAATGAAAATAAAAAGTCATTTACAGTATATAAAATAAATCTTGATCTTCCAAGAGAAAGGACACTGTGGCAGTGACTGGGTGGCCCAGAATGGATGATGAAAGAGGGGTCATAACCTCATTCCTCAAGTCTTTATGAAGAGTTTGTTTTTTGTTTAAACCCTGCCCCCCAGGAAGTGCACAAAACCACACACAGTCAGGCAGTTATAAATTCTCAGTAAACAGTTTTTAATTTAAAAATATAACACGAAAAAACCAAAGATAGTATTATTTCTGTTCTTTTGGTGTTTCCCTTCATGGTGTCCTGATCTTTTTTTTCCTTTTTACAGGTGTGTATTAAAAATGGATCATCATTGCCCATGGTGAGTGGCACCCCTTGAATTCTATCTTTCTCATGTCCTCCAGATGTTTTGGACTACAACTCTCTTCAGCCACAGTCAGCATGGATGCTGGGGCTAATGGTTGTTGTAGTTCTAAACATCTGTGATGCACCAGGTCACAGGTGGCTACTGTAGAAAAGCCTTTGGCAATAGCTGGGATCCTTTGAGGACAGATGTTCTAATGACTAGCAAAGACGAAGTGTTACCTGTGTGTCTTAGTGCTTCAAATGACCAACTGTTATTATCTGAATACATAAATGCCATAGACTCCTGTACCAAGTATAGTGGGATATGACAGCCAGTGGGGAAAAGTACTTGAAATTACTGTTCAGTGGAAATTCATGTCTCCTGTGCACCAGGATAAAAGGTTTCCCAGTGTTATTAACTATGGGAAATTGCTAACCCAGTTTTTTGTTTGTTTGTTTGTTTGTTTTAATAGGAAAGCAGGATCTTTTGGTTGAACACTCCCCAGTCTGGAGCACATTTTAAACCAAATTTGAATTGAGTGTCTGTGGCACCCTGGGAATGAAAAAATCAAGTTGTGTTGTTTCTTAGGTCTTTCAGCCTTAATAAATAGATGGCTTGTGTTTTCTGTGGAATATGAAAGTAAATGAGACTGAGATTATGCCCAAGTGCTGAGATGGAACTTACTTCCCCAGAAGGCAATGATGACCACCAACTTGGATGGCTTTAAAAGAGGATGAGACAAATTCATGGAGGAGGCTATGCTCCGGCTCCACAGTTGAAGGCAGCAATGTTTCCAAAATACCAGTTGCTGGAAACCACAGGAGGGCTCTGGTCCTGCTTGTGGGTTTCCTTTGGGGCACCTGGTTGTCCACTATGAGAATGGGATGCGGAACTAGAAGGGCCATCGGCCTCACCCTGCAGACTCTTCTTATGTTCCTTCTTATAGCAGGTCATGACATTGATGGCACTCTGCAGTTATGCTCCATCAAGGAAATAAGAGTGCTTTTAACTGCTTTCACTTTGCTCCCAGCCCCATTATGCTTAACGTGGCTTTTTCCTCCCCTCCTTTTGCTCTCTAGGGTAAACAACTGCATTGGATTTTCTAACTACAAATTCTTCCTGCTATTTTTAGCATATTCTCTTTTGTACTGCTTGTACATAGCTGCAACAGTCTTCAAGTATTTCATCAAGTATTGGACAGTAAGTTTTTGAACCTGACTGCTTTCTATGTATTGGTTTTTTTAAGACACTCTGGGTTCTAATATTAAAGCAGTGACCATGGCTCAGCTGGAAACACATGTTTGTTTCCATGCAAAAGGATCAATGTTCCATCCTTAGCATCTCCAGGTGGTAAAACCACTTTCTGAAAGCCCTGGAGAGAGCCTCTTCCTTTAGAGCAAACGACACTGTGTTCAGTGGTCTGACTCCAATATATGAAGCCCAAATCAAGTGGTCTTCTAATTAGGCACAAGTAAGATCTGCTAGCCGACAAAAGATTTACTGGTCTTTTCACATAAAGGGTGGCTTTTGGATGTAAGTCATATCCTGGACCTGGTAATTGTGTTTTTCTTTCTTAAATTCTTTTTTACGTTCATTGGAGAATAACTGTGAATATTGCAATAACAGGCTGTCTTCCTTATCTTGAGTCAGACCACTGGTGCATCTAGCTCAGCTCTAACTGGCAGCAGCTGATGTGCGCTGTATGTGTGTGTAGCGCTTTGTGGCCATTTTTGGGTTGACTATTTTTGTGGTGATCAGGCTGAGGTTGTTGGGGCTGGTAGGGGTTCTGATTGCTTTGAATTTAGTGCCTGGTCAATTTTAGTCTTGTTCTTTGCTGTTTGTTTCATAAGAAGAATAAGAATGGTATTATCATCATCTCTCCATGGCTCTTCCACAGCCGGAACTGCAAGATTGGTAAGAAAGATGTGCAAATCTGCTCACTTTCCTTTGCTTTCCTTTGCAGGAGGAGCTGACCAATGGGCGTGCCAAGTTCCATATTCTTTTCCTCCTTTTTGTGGCAATCATGTTTTTCGTTAGCCTTCTCTTCCTCTTTGGCTACCATTGCTGGCTCGTCAGCCAAAACAGGTCTACGTTGGGTAAGCTATTTATTGCACCTGCTCTGCAGAGTTCTTTGGTTAGGAGCAGAGGGTGTTGGCAAACCTTGTTGTTGTTGCTATTTTTAAACAATAGCAAGTCAGAAACTGTTGCTGAACTACTACAGATCATCCAGAAATCTATCAGTAGATCCCAGTCTATCTTCTGTTCACCTCTTCATTAGTGGACCTTTTTGACAGTGAAAACCCAGTCTTTATTTTTTATTTTATTTTATTTTATTAAGTGTAATCCTGCTCTTCATGATTTTTTTTAACTCAAGGCTACTGGAGTGGCTTGCAGATCACTACAGATGTGACAGAACCTGCCTCCAGGTTTTACTGTCTAAAAATGCATGACACAAAAGGAAAATGACGTGAGGGGGAAGAGGAAATAAGAAAACTTATGTACAAGTTCTTAGGTACAAGTTATTCTGCTGAGAAACTGTGGTGGAATGGTTCAAGGGGTGGATAATCCCAAAGTTGCTTGTCTTTATAATCTGTCACTCAAGGGGACACACCTGGTGCCCTCAGGTGCAGGAAGGATGCGTCTGAGTATGCAGAAACCACTACTATTTTTCAGTGGCCACTTTTCACTTCCAAAACGATAGGCATTCAGCTATCAAGTTCAGTATAGGAGAGTATGGTAATAAACAAATCACATTTTATTTTTGTCTGCAGAGGCCTTTTCAGCTCCTGTGTTTCCTACTGGCCCTGATAAAAATGGATTTAATCTTGGCATTAAAAAAAATCTTCAACAAGTGTTTGGAGAGAAAAAAAGACTTTGGTTCCTCCCTGTGATATCCAGGTAAGCAGACAGGAAGCTGCTGTCAGCCTAAGAGTAGTAGAGCGCAAGATCTCTACAGTAAACTACAGAACTAGACAGGAGAGGCTGTCAGACTTTCCTTTGGTGCAGGGGACAGCAGCAGCCTAGATCAAGTCTGTGTTTTGTGAATAGTTTTGTAGTTAAAAGTAGAAACAGAATCTGCTTTCTCCTTCTCCTCCTCCCCTCTCTCCCTTCCTTCTTCTTCTGGATGGAGCCCGGGTGCCTTTACCAATTTGTTGCCTTTGTCTCCACAGTCAAGGCGATGGACATTTTTTCCCAACAAGAACTCTGAGTGAAGCAAGGAATCCACTGCTAGCAAGTGAAGAGCAATGGGAGGAAGATGGGTTGGATGATGATAACCTCGGTAAGGATGGGAAATGCATCTGGAACTTACTGTTTTGGGAAGAGTCACTGTGTTGCAACTGTAAGGTCTTGTGGCACGTTAAAGACTGACACAAATATTGCAGCAGGAGTCTCTATTTCATAAGGTGCAAAAACTGGACCGTGAAAAGGATGGATGTAGATATCCATGGATAAAGTAGGGTAGGGTGGTATGGTGGCCTCTGATGCAAAGTGGGATTTTGAAAATGAGTAAGATTTGCTTCAAACAGAAACCACTCATCATCATTGTTATTTATCACTATTGCTTTTTCAATTTTTATGCCACTTTTTTAACATCAGTGAGCCCAAAGTGACCCACAGCACAATAGTGGAAGTACATAGTAAAAGTGCATTCATACAGTACAAAAATCAATAGCATTTCATTTCAAAACATAATATGGCAATACAAATAATTCATTTCAATTTCAGATTGAAAATCTGAACATTATACCATTTTTAATTAATTATAAAATAGGCAATACAGTTCATTAAAGCATGTATCAATTGATTAGATATAATAAGCTTTCCAATGCAGTCAGGTATCAACAAATAATATAACTAGTAGCTGGTTTCTCAGACCTGCCAAGTGCAGGAAATAGCAATCAGACATTCTAGAGTCTGCAACAGCAGCAGGTGACCACTCATAATACTCTGATGCAGTTCTTAAAGGCTCCATCAGCAACAGAGACATGGGGTTGGAGGGTTGATGTTCAGTCTCTATTCCTGCACTCTAGATGTTCCTGCTGCTTCTGAATGAGGTTTGGTTACTATGCCTAACCATCCCATTTATTGCTCCTGGAATCAAGAGCAACTATGAGTCACACCCTCTGACTTCATTGGCTGCAACAGCAGCTGAGAGGAACTAGCCAGGCATATGAATTTAGAGCAGCCAAACAACAGGAGCCACTTCCATGAGCTGCAGAGAATCCCAGCTGACAAAGTGTCAGGGAGAGCTAAGCAGCTGAGCAAATCTAACAGCAGGGCAACGAGGCCAGAGCACACTCCTTTGCCCCTCCTTTCTATGACCTAAACAAACCCTGTGCTTCCAATAAACAACTCTGTAAACTACAAAATTTATGCAGTGCGTAGTTAAACTATGGCACCCACTATAGGCACCAACTTGGGGGGGCCTAACAAAGGATTAGACAAATTTATGGAGATAATGGCTGTAAGTGGCCACAAGCCATGGTGGCAATGCTCTGCATCTGTAGACAGAGGCTGTGTGCTTCTGAGTACCAGTTGCTGGAAACCGCAGGAGTGGACAGAGTGCTTTTGCTCTCCAGTCCTGTGTGAGTGCTTTCCACAGGCATCTGTTCAGCTACTGGACTAGATGGGCCATTGGCCTGATCCAGCAGGCTCTTCTTACTTTATGTTCTCCCCACATCCTTAAAAGCAGCTGTCTGGGAAGATTTGGGCAATCTAATTCTCACCACTGAGGGCCCAGATTTCCTGTTTCTCCATTTAAGCAGGAGAAGCAGTTGGAGAGAGCCAGGTGGTTTCTCTCTGTTTCCTGGTAAGCCTCCTTGCCCACTGTCAGACTTGCATAGAGAACAGCATTGTATTGGTCTTGTGGGGAGGAGCCATGCCTGGCCCTATTTGACCCTGATCCCTTTTCATCCACATGCCACCTTCTTAGGAAGCTTCCCCACTTAGAGCTGCTGCAGCTACTCTGGGACTTGCATTGCTTTCAGACAGGCAGGCTAAGGAACAACTCAAAGACAGGCTCACAAGCTGAGGCTCTTGCCCTATTCGCAGTATCACTAGCCTTCTGCGCAAACTGAGAGGGCGCCCCAGAATCCTTCATCATTTTGCAGAAAGTCTTGGAGTTCCCTTTGAATTCACAGACAGGATGTTCCCATTCAGGGCAGCAAAGGCCTGCAGCAGACCTTGAGTGTCAAACCTTCAGAACCTTGCCAAATATTTTGCATGTGCCTAACACAGTAAGTAATAAGCTGCAGTCAATTCTTCTGGTACCGGTTTAATTTGTTACTACTGACTTTGTACAAATCTGGTCACATAGCTAGGGAAGGCCTGTGACTTTCTCCTTTGCTGCAGATTGAACCAACGGACTCTCAGATGAAGTGCACACAAGAATAGATAAATAGGCTCACCCCAGCAAGGCTTCTCCTTTAGACAAAAACAGTTAATCTAAAGAGTATCTGAATGCTCCCACCCTTGTTCCTCTACTAGCATATCCAGCAAAGCCAATCAGTGGAGCTGCAGAACTGGTCAAGTTGTCTTCCCAAATCTCAGTGTCCTGGAAGCACTTGAAAGGGATTGTGGTAAAACTCCCCCCTCCCTTTCTGGCAAGGCACTCCTTCAACTCCATGTTTGTCGGCTTTCACATTGACATTATTCTGTGCTAGAAAATGCTCTGAAGGATGCTTCATTGCAAAATTTAATAATCTCATCTTCTCTGAGACTCGCACTTCGAACTCCAGTGCTACTGGAGAAATGTACTCTCCTAGGATCTTGGAAGAATTGTTGAAGTGGCTGCGTTCAGCATTGTCTCTGATGAGTGACTAAGATTGTCATTAGTGCACCTGGATTGGGGCAACATCTTCTCCTGATGCTACACCACTTAGATTGCAGGAAAGGGAACTCATTACATGCTGTGCATGTGTGTAAGAGAGAGCGGGGGATGGGGAGAGGATGTTGCTAGATTGTGGTGCAGTGCACACACGCCTATTCAGTAGAAAGTCTCACTTAGTTCCATGGGGCTTAGTCCCATGGTGAGACGATGTGAAATTACAGCTTTAGTAACTTTATTATTATTTATTTAAAAGTGTTATAGTCCACATTTATGAGTAAAGCTCACTCAAAGCATATTACACAGTGACAGTAACGGGGGGGAAATCTGACAATAATGAAGTAGAATAGAATGCAAAACCTCCTATAAAGCTCACATCTTTAATAAAACCAGCAATTATAAATACACACCCAGTCCAAATATAAAATTATGCCCAAAGATAAAAGTTGCTGTCATGCTGCTGATAAACAATCCATGATTTGGCTTAACATAATGTCTTAACCTGGATTTGTGGTTTGTTTTCCCCAAACTAACCATGTGCAGTGAGCCAATAACAAACTTTGGTTTCTCCTCCTCTGAACATCCTTTAGTGCCACATTTTCTTCCATTTGGACAATAACTTCTAGGCAGAAAATCCAATTGATGTTTTCTCCCGATTTAGCGCTAAACAGTGGGTTTCCCCGGGGAAAACGGTGGGACCAAGCAGAAGTGTGGATGTGTCCATGGTTTGTTTGGAGAGAAACCAACCAGGAGCCCAGGTTCAGATGTAATGCTAGGCCTAACCAAGAGTTTATTCCAGGCAACATACCAGCAGCAGGAGGAAGGGAGGGAGGGAGCAAAGTGCAAAGAATTTCAGTATACTACAGGTTCACTTTCAACCAAAGTTTATTTTAAACTATGGTTTAGAATCATAGAATCATAGAGTTGGAAGAGACCACAAGGGCCATTGAGTCCAACCCCCTGCCAAGCAGGAAGCACCATCAGAGCACTCCTGACATATGGTTGTCAAGCCTCTGCTTAAAGACCTCCAAAGAAGGAGACTCCACCACACTCCTTGGCAGAAAATTCCACTGTCGAACAGCTCTTACTGTCAGGAAGTTCTTCCTAATGTTTAGGTGGAATCTTCTTTCTTGTAGTCTTGTAGTTTTAATGTGATGTTTGAACCAGGGCAATGTCTGCCTTCTCCCACATTTCATTTTAAGTCTCTGCAGCTGAATGCAGGCCCCATCCATGGTTCCTACATCAGCCATTTTCGTACAATATTGTGCCTTATTGTGGATTTTGTAGCTTCCCGACTTTGCTTTCATAATTGTGGTAGTCATGGAAACCCATTCTTGGGTAGAGTAGTGCCAATAAACAAAGTGGTCTTAGATTGGAAATAAGGAGGGTAACCCCAGACTTGAATGACAGCATGCAATTACTTTTCACCGTAGTGGTGTTTTGCAACATTCACATTTCTGACGCTGTGTTTATTAATGTTTTATTTGGTGCAAATGTTTTTGTTTTACCAACTAGATTACAACCAAGGTTCTTCAATTTCTGTGGAAATGGAGACGTAATGTTTTTGAAAGGCTGTTGGTACAAAAATCACACTCCCAGGTAATCATCCTATCCTCAGGTTAACCCCCACCCCACCCATTGTACCAGCTCCTTTGATCAGTATTTATTTCATGCATGTACATTTGACCTGGATCTGTTGGGGGGGGGGTGTTTGCACTGTTTGAGGTCCTCAGTCTACCACTAACAGACCCAGAACCCTCCTCTTAGGATAGGATAGACATGAAAATAAGTTTTGATAAGAGTTTTGGTGGTTCAGATAAAGCTTGGTCAGTCAAAGTGAATTGTTAGCACAGAAGGCCTTGTAGCCGGAGGTTCCTTCTGCTCTTAGGAAGGCTGTTTTACATCTTTCATTTGAGCAGGGGTGGCTAATTCTCAGTTTTGGGGGCCTGATCTGTTCCTCCAAGCAATTTTTCCTACCTTCCCAAGACCCCACCAATTTTGGCAGTGGCAAAAAGGGGAAGGGGAAAAGTAAAATGGGCACAGGACTGTGGTGGCAGTGTCCTGCACAGTGATGGGGATGGGGATGTGAATCACCTCCTCCGTGGACATCAGATTGATCTTGGACTAGTCAAGGAGAAGGGTCTGTGTGTGCACATGAGAGCCTGTGCGTGCCAGAGTGGATTCTTTTGACCGCAACCATTGCTAGCATGTGGCTCTACTAGAGGGTTGGGGAAGGGCCAGAAAAAATGTTACCTACCCCTGCACTGGAGCATTCTATGAAAAATATGCAGCGACATCCAAAGAACTTGAGCCACATCTTGTGATGCATGAGAACTGCCAGAGAACTTGTTGCAGTACTGTGTGAACTCCTGCATAAGTGTATGCTGGAACAGCTAGTGCTGGTGTACTGTATCCACCCTGAGGAATAATTTCCTATATTTTTTCATCAGTTTATATGCTGGTCTGGAATAATAGTTAGGTTACAGAATAAATGTATGTATGTGAGCTTGAAGGAAACAAACCATCCAGCCTGACAGCAATGCTTAATGGCTATTGTTGATTGATTAGCCTGCTCTTGAGCAAGAACAACCCATGCCGACCAAATCATCTTTAAATGCCCCAAAGTTAAAAAGCTTATTTCTAACCTCCTTAATCCTGATTGATCATTTCAATAGGAACTGTGCAACTTTCAGTGGCTTTCCAGATAAACCAGTGGATTTCTCAACCCATAACCAGGACAGTTGTGTTCTTGGAAGTTATGGGGTAATGGTCTATTTTAGGAAACTGTGCCTCTAGTTGAAAGCATGCATTGACTCAACAGACAATTAAGATCTCATTTGGAAAACCTTCCAGCAAACTAAACTAGAAATCTTTTGCTTTAGAACTGGAGAAACTGAACAGTTGGGGATGTGTTACTTGTGAACATCCTTTGGATGGTTTTATATAATAACTGCACTGTAACGTATATAAGAACACAGAGAAATTCTACTCAGTGTTGGGGTTTTTTGTGTTTGCTTTTGTGGGCAGAGGAAATACAACCTCTGATTTTCAGCATCATTTGCAGGAATGGCTTTTCTGTGATTCACTTCAGGAGGAGCCTTTTCCCGGCATGCCACAAGGATTCAGTGTTCCTGTCACCAGGCTGTGACAACCTAAAAGCAGCACTAGATAATAAAGAGAAAGTGTGGCTTATACCAAAGCCAGTAACTGAATGCCTGCTTGCCCCCTCTCCCTCCAGTATCATATAATAATTCTCAATCATGATGGGATGCAGTTGCATCAAGGTCCCCGATCCCTGCCAGCAGAACTCAATGACGTAGGGAAGAGTTAGGGAAACAGATTGTGTCAGATGTTTGCTCAATGCTGTGGTTGGGCGCAGGAAGAAATGTGTCTTTTGACAGCAGCCAGATATTCCCTATGTCTTGTCTGTCTCTGTCCTAAAAGAAAAGCCATTTCACAAAGTCCTGCATGCTAAGGGGACACCTGGTTCCTGCCATATTCCTCTCCCCAACTAATTGTTTGGCTCTGCAGTACCAATCATAGAATTGTAGAGTTGGAAGGGACCACGAGGATCATCTAGTCCAACCCCCAGGAATATTTTGCCCAATGTGGGTCTCAGACTCATGACCCTGGGAATAAGAGTCTCATGCTGTACTGACTATGTGCAATGAAGCTTTCCTCCCAATGTAGCTTAGAAGCTTTTGAGAAGCAATTTTCATTTGGGGAAGAAAAGGGTTAAACTCCTCTCCCTGCCTGTCATGTTACTGATAATCCGTCCCTCATAGGCACAGCTACTATTTGCAATTTTAAATGCAAAGGTGCATCTGATGTCATACCTAGTTTTGAGGTTAAGAGGAGAGAGAAAATGCTTTCAACCAGACTCATCCTTATGCCTTTCTCTCTCTCTCCCCACCCCCTTTCCCCAGTGAATTTCAGCTTCCTTCTATGATGGACATTCATGGGGAACAAAAGGAAAGGAAGCACTTGGAATTACCTGCAGAAGGGCCATTGTCTGATGCCAATCCTGGCTGTCTGAAATGGTTCTTCAGGATACTGGTCTGGTGATGGCTCCAAGGGTTCCTACTGATTATTGACTCTTGAGCAAGGGCAGCTTTGGCGGATTAAGGCCATTCAAGACCTTTTACTTTTTTATTTCTTACCCAGAATAACTGAGAACTCTTTGTGCAAATGCATTTCCAAATGCCTTAATGGCAGTTATCTAAGACCCTGGATTTCACAATATTTTTCATTTTGCCAACTTACAAGAATGGCTCTGTAACAAGGAGTAGATGGCTGGTCAACTGGACTACTTGTACAAGTGCTTTCAAGCAGGAATCATGGTTGCCAAATCAGGTCTTATTGTTAGAAACCCTGGCAAGTATGCACTGCACGTTTAAGGCTGTACGTCTCCTTTCCCTGCCCACAATACCTCCTCTTACTTTTTGAAATCCTTTTCTTTGATTCTGTTAAGAATGTTGGCCCTTTTGGTCTAAGAAACACACCCTTTTTGGTGTGGTGTAAAAAAAAAAAGCCTTCAAGCACAATCCCTGTTGCAGATGCATACAATTTTAAAGGGATGTTTTCTTTTCTAAAATATTGGGCAGGATCCTGACACGGAACACCTCCCTTTGACCTGTGGCCCAGTACTCCTTGAAGTGGTCAGCCTGTGCCTGAACTGCACCACTGTAGGGGGGGGACCCAACTCTGGTTCTCTCCAGATCTTTTGGACCATGACTCCCATCAGTCGCACCTAGCATTGGCCAATGAGTGTTGTGGTCCAAAACATCTGGAGGATTCCAGGTTGGTGAAGGCTTCTAAGTCTCTCTCCACATAGAAAAGTGCCATGCTGGGGATCAGTTGTCTAGACTTCTTTATGTTAGAGGGAAACATTTTGCACAGAGAACCCTTCAATCATGTGAGGCTCCAGCAGGCATCACTCAGGCACAAACCAATATTGCTTATTTTTCAATACTTAGTAGAAAGAAGGGGAGTGGGTAATGATTATTTTTCAGTGAGCAAATGGGACTGAGACTCTTTGTTGAAAAAATAAAACCAAGATTTTTTTTTTCATAACGTTTGACAGATGTGCTATTAGGTGTGCCGGATTGAGCTGACTGTCTTCCTTTTCTAATTATATCTGATATAAGAACCATTTTTAGTCTGAAGGTCCAGTCAACACAAGACATTTTCCTGAGACTTCGTTGCTGCATAAGTGGTGAAAATACAAGCATTGTTTGGGCGGGGGTGGGGACTGTGTGGTAGACGCAGGACATCCAAAGGATATCATGGTGTACACTTTGAACTGGAGTCTCAAGCATGTGTACCACAGAGGAGTTTGCACAGCTCTCTCCCTCAAGAGCAAGGCATTCTTTTTTACACATCCTTGCTAAGAAGCTGGGAAAAGAAATACTTCACCATTTCTTAAGTGTTGTCTCAGTATTTCTTCCATTGTTCTTCCTTTTTCAATGGTCATGTTTACGGGATCTCACATTCCCCACTGCTCCAGAAGGTTAATGTGCAATTCCTCAACCTCGCCCCAAAAAGTGAAGACCAACACAGAAGATGACGTATACCTCAATCCCACTGAAATAATTTAAGCTTGTGTGTTTAAACCTTAATTGATTTCAACAGCTGTGCTTTTCACACAGCTCATAGTTAACCTACGCAATTCACCACCGTAAGGCGTAGCAACTGTAATTTAGACAAATGCTTGGACAATAAGGCAAGCAGTAGCTACTGGTCATGATGGCAGTGTGCCACCTCCAGTATGAACGTCATCATGCCTCTGAATGCCAGGTGCTGGGAATCACAAGCGGGACAAGTACAGTTGTGCTTCTGTCCTGCTTGTAGGTTTTGCATAGGTACCTGATTGGCCATTGGGACAACAGGATGCTAGACTCGATAGGCCCTTTGGTCTGATCCAGCAGGGCTTTCTTATGGGCTCCCTTGGGGATGAAGGGCAGGGTATAAGTACACATAAATAATATCCTTGTGTGTGGTTGGGGATAGATTGAATCACAACCCACATCCTGCATTGTAAGTTCACTGCCAAAAGCCTGGTCTGAATAGGGATAGGTGAGGATGTCACTTCCAGCTGGCCAAAAGCCTGGGCCCATCTTTCTCTTTTGTGTTCACAGCTATAGAATGCTTTGGTTTCTTGCCAGAGCTGGCAATACAGGGCCAGGGCACTAATGCTGCACTTACTACCTTCTCTTGGCAGACACGATCATACTGTTGTTCTAATTGTCATTTCTATTACTGTGCCAGATCCCTGGGGGCTGTTCAGCTGTTCAGCTTGTAATAGCACAAATGGAATAAATGTAAATTATACTGCTAAACATTTTTTTTGGAGGGGGGAAGCTGTGCTTAATTTCATAATTTGCCTAAATAAAACTTCCCATTATGAAGTAACCAAAAATAACCTAAGTTTATCTCTGAAAACACCTTAGCAACCTGTTTTTATTGCAATCAGTCTTCTTAAATGAACAATTTTTATTCTAAACAATCATCAGTTTAGAAGGGCTCTGGTCCAGAGAACATTATAGAGGAAAAATATCTGCTACAGTGGTGCCTCGCAAGACGAAAAGAATCCGTTCTGGGAGTCTCTTCGTCTAGCGGTTTTTTCGTCTTGCGAAGCAAGCCCATTGATGGGATTAGCGGATTAGCGCTATTAGCGGCTTTTAGCGGCTTTTAGCAGCTTATCAGCTTATCGGATAAGCAGATAAGCGGCTTAGGGACTTAGAAAAAAGAGGGGGGGAAATGAAAAAAAAAAACCCCAGGAACTCGCAAGACATTTTCGTCTTGCGAAGCAAGCCCATAGCAGATTCGTTTTGCGAGGCACCTCCAAAACGGAAAACTCTTTCGTCTAGCGAGTTTTCCGTCTTGCGAGGCATTCGTCTTGCGGGGCACCACTGTAATGCACAATCCAGAAATGCCTGGTGCCCACCAAACATTTTAGACTATAACCCCCATCTACCCCTTTCAGGCACAGCAGTTATCGTCCAAAACATATGGAAGACACCAAGTTGGGAAAGGCTGCAGCATAAATTTTGTGCACTCATGAACGCCAGGGATCTGATACCCAATTTACTAACAATGCAATATCTGTGTAATACTGCCAACATTATGCCTACAGATATAAACCCAAGTATAGAAAACTATTTTAAAATGTTTATGTAGCTTGTGTCCCTTCTTAACCTTTTTTTCAAGGATCTGCGTTGAAGAGCATCTATACATGCTGAGTAAACAAAGAAACTTTCAATATATTCCATCAGTTGTTATCACCTGTTCTAAGGAGCAGGTCATTGATGATTCTCTGGATGGCAGATGACAGGATGTTCTGCATGCCAAAACACCCTCCTGGTATATTCAAATAAAAATATTATTGCATAGTTGCTGCTTTAAGCAGGGGAGTTGTGGGCCGGGGGCTCAAGCCCCGGGCCTGTGTGGTAGGCCTCTTGATTGCTGGCGCTTTTAAAGTTAATTTTATTTTTACTTTTCTTACAAGGCAGCTGAGCACACTGCAAAGTACACTGCTGGTGCCCCTTGAGTTCTTTTAGTAACTAGCATCACTCCTGACTTTCAAGCAGTCATCCATTTCTTGCATTTCATTCAGGTTTTCCTACATTTTCACTGCAAATGGAGACCGATGTTAGCCCTAAGGACTAAGCAAATGTCCTGAAAGGGAGTGGGGGGGCAGTATTTCCTTTCTTGCTGTAGTTCTGTGCTTTTGAACAAAGCAGGAAACACAAGAATGTTGTGTAGGGTGCAGAGGAAAATCCATTCCATTGTTGCTCCTTGAAGGAGGCTGACATTGTGGGTTGTCCCTAGAGCGATGCTGTTTCTTTGTTGGGCTTGACACAGGGGACTTGTGGCTTACAGCTATCCTGTATAAATACTTCCAGTCTCGAAGGGAGTAAACATATGCTTTTGGATATTTTATGCATAACTGCAAAAAATGCAAAATGTCTCAATGGCTGCTTGAATAATTTGATATCCAATTAAATGATGTGCTGTGCTAATAATAATGTCTAGATACGTGATCAACTATCAGATAGCTTCTGTAGTTGCAGTCACTCAGGATGCTACCCTAAAGCATTAAGTATTTTCATGGAAATGTTAAGCACTCCTTATGTTTTCACTAATTTAAACAAAACAGAATAATCCAACCCTTCTTTTACCACCACCCCTTAATATATTAATTCATTATTAGTATTAGGCCAAAATTCTTTTTGGCCTCTGTGTACTGCAAAAAGTTGAGCTAGCATTATGTTGGAGATGCAAGATCTGTTCTTTGCCCTGTGTACAAATATATATATATATATCCGAGTGCAGTGTGGATGCAATGAGTAGGCTATGTATGTGCTATTGTTCCTTATCATAACATTCCAGTTTGAAGAACCTTCTGTATGACTGCTTGAACCATGAAGGATATGAGATGCAGTGTGGACACAGCCCAGAATTATTCTGGGCGTGAAACTGCAATCATGAAAAGGGAAGATTGAACAGGTGTGCAACATCCACTCAACTATCTTCCATAAAAAATGTTACACATACTTAACATTCCAGGTATTTCTCTGGTTAGCAAGCTTAAGGCATCACACTGGTGTCTACAAAAGTGGGATAGTAAATACTATTTAAAGAATATGGACTTTGCAAAACTTGGGACTTTTTGCAAAAACTGCTGTGCTACAGTGGTTTATTTTGTAAAGTAGGGCACTACTGAGTCCTTGCTGTTAAATATTTATGGAGCAAAGAACAGTAACTTTGGGAGAGAACATGGGCTGATCAATAGTGTACTGCCTGATGATGTAACAGATATTTATTGCCCAGAATCATAGGGCATTGTCAGATGTGGCATAATCTGAAAGCACAATTTTGGTGCACATTACAATACCAGGAACACTAATTTTTTGTATAGAATACAGTGTTTTGAAATTACTTGTATTGATTTTATTTAGGTACAGTACCTTGTTGGGGAAGACATTTTTGGGAGAAAATGCTGATGTGGGAATGGTGTACTTCATCAGCAAAATGGTTGTGCTTACCAATAACAAAGTTTTACTTACATCAGAGCATACTGTCAATCACTATGCTTCCCTTAAGTGACTTGTTAATTTTTTAGGATACACTCTGCATTTAATTTTATGGATTTCTAAAACACTAGATTCTACTTTAATCCAAAGAATTGAAGTGGGTGACAACAGGCTTCATATTAAGGGGATGGAAAGTAGCAGGGTCCTACATGCCCATTTAATACTGCATTCATTTATCCAGAAAAAAACAAACAGAAGACCTGCAATGAGTATTCTTCCAACCAAGAGAGATCCTCAGCAGTTTGCATGTACATGTACCTGATGTTAATCAACTGGAGAGCTCAGTATACCTGCAAAATATCTTGCTGTGCCTGCCACAGTTCAAGTAACCAAGGCATTTGTGCTACCATGTTTTGTACTGTTTTACCTTTGAAGTGGCAGCTTACTGCTTGGTCCTTTTCCTGACCAGGTGTCTTGCCTTTTTCACAGAATTTTTTTGGTACCACTTTTCTGGTAACCACTGAATCAAGCTTCATTCTAACTATCTGTATTGGTCATATTGCAATTGCTTTTGTGTTCCAGTTTACTATACTTCCATATGTATAATTAAGGCCTAATTATTTCATTGATTGTATTTTCAAAAAGGTACCATTTCACCATCTTGTTTTACAGTAGGGAGCATAAGAAATGGATTTCTGTTAGGTTTCACAGAACAGAACTGTTTCCCCTCCAAACCTTCATGTAATCATCTTTGTACAAATTCCAAATTCAGCTTTTTGATTATTGCAGGTTTTATTTTGTTGACCCTTTTAAATGTTTTGACTTCATTATCTCAGGTTTGTTCATTAAAAAATGTGTATGTTCATGCTTGTTGCAGCCTTAAGCATGGAAATGTTTTACAATAAAAAATATTTTATAGAATGAAGTTTAAAGACTTTATTTCAAATATTTTAAAATTCTATTAAGAAGTCTGTATCTACTGCATTCAAACTCCACCAAGAAGAGTTGCAAGAATGGTACCATTTATGTATCAGTGCTTTTTTGTAGACTTCAGCTTGGTGTTTTCCAGTTATCTCAAGGCACTTTCAACTTCTATAATTTTGTCTAAGGGCACTGACATGGAAGCCCAGCATTCTGAAACAGTTACCCTTTTGAGTACTGAGATAGAGTATCCAGTTAAAATTTACAAGTGTCAATGAATAATTGGACAGTTTAACATTTACACATGCCAAAAATGTTTTAAATAACCTCCAGCTTGCTTATTCTACTACCAATCATCAAGACACGTTGCCCTTAAATAACACCAAGTGCAAAGACCATTTCACATGGACTGGCTCAGCCAGACTCAACCAAGTATCTTTTTGAAACATGGTGCTTGGCTTTATGAAGCTATGGGTTTTCCCCATCTTGGCAATGGAGTAGTTGTGACAGTACTGATTAGTCACCACTGAGCATAACCACCATCTAGCAACTGAAGACTAATTGTTAAAGATATAAGAGTTATTGCCAATAGAAATATTCTTAATTCATATACAGATCAATCCTTAGGACCAGCCCTCAGGCAGAAATAGCACAATAAAAGTATAAAAGGCTTGCAGTCTACACTACTAATGAAAGCAAGGGTGCAGCATTTCAGTTTCCCTATGAGCTTGAAAATATACAGGAATGATGTACAACAGCTGTGCTCACCAACCTGGTACCCTCTTTATGTTGTGAATTCCCATCAGCCCCCAGCCCACCATGGCCACAGGCCAGGAGCAATGGGAGTTGGGAGTCCACAACTAATAGGGGGCACCACCACTGTAATAATAATAATAATAATAATAATTAATAATAATTAATAATATTTATACCCTGCCCATCTGCTGGGTTTCCCCAGCCACTATCTTGAGTGAATATATCAATACTACTGATATCTTTAAATGAAGAACATTTGCTTTGGGATAGCAAACCTTGATTGTTGATATATAAGAAATCCTGGTCCCGTCCCATCCCCCCCACCAACTCACCAGGGAGTGAAGAGGGACAGTAGCCTTCCCCTGCTCCCAATGGTGAGGAGCATTTACTATGCTGTACTGGTCATGGGCATGGAAAAGGTGGTGCTTTGGCTTCCTGGGGAAGGACCCTGTGAGTGGACCCAAGTGAAGACGTCCCTTTTCAGGTTTGCTCTCAGAGTTTAAAAAGGGAGGCCCGCAACCCTTTACCCTCAGGCTGCTCGATCACCGGATCCATGCCCTAGCCTAGGCCTAGGCCTAACCTATTCACTGTAAACCATTATGATTGTTCTGCATTCCTTTTCTTGTGATACAAAATAAAATAAATAATAATAATAATTTATTATTTATACCTCGCTCATCTGGCTGGGTTTCCCCAGCCACTCTGGGTGGCTTCCAACAAAATATTAAAATACAGTGGTCTGTTAAACATTAAAAGCTTCCCTAAACAGGGCTGCCTTCAATTGTCTTCTAAAAGTCTGGTAGTTGTTGTTCTCTTTGACATCTGGTGGGAGGGCGTTCCACAGGGCAGGTGCCACCAGCGAGAAGGCCCTCTGCCTGGTTCCCTGTAACTTGGCTTCTCGCAATGAGGGAACTGCCAGAAGGCCCTCTGCACTGGACCTCAGTGTCCGAGCAGAACAATGGAGGTGGAGACGCTCCTTGATGTATACTGGACCAAGGCCGTTTAGGGCTTTAAAGGTCAGCACCAACACTTTGAATTGTGTTCAGAAACGTACTGGGAGCCAATGTAGATCTTTCAAGACCGGTGTTATGTGGTCTTGGTGGCTGCTCCCAGTCACCAGTCTAGCTGCCACATTCTGGATTAATTGCAGTTTCCGGGTCACCTTCAAAGGTAGCCCCACGTAGAGCGCATTGCAGTAGTCCAAGCGAGAGATAACTAGAGCATGCACCACTCGGGCGAGACAGCTGCCCTGGGCACAAAATGGACCTGCGCCTCCATGGACAGCTGTGAGTCCAGAATGAATCCCAGGCTGTACACCTGGTCAGGCGCACAGTTACCCCATTCAGGACCAGGGAGTCCCCCACACCTGCCCACCTCCTGTCCCCCCAAAACAGTACTTCTGTCTTGTCAGGATTCAACCTCAATCCGTTAGCCACCATCCATCCTCCAACCGCCTCCAGACACACAGGACCTTCACCGCCATCACTAGAGCTGGGTATCATCCGCATACTGATGAAGACCCAGCTCAAACCCCCTGATGATCTCTCTCAGCAGCTGCATGTAGATGTTGAAAAGCACGGGGGAGAGGACAGAACCCTGAGGCACCCCACAAGTGAGAGCCCAGGGGTCTGAACACTCATCCCCCAACACCACTTTCTGAACACGGCCCAGGAGGAAAGAACAGAACCACTGTATAACAGTGCCCCCAGCTCCCAGCCCCTCTAGACGGTCCAGAAGGATGTTATGGTCGATGGTGTCAAAAGCCGCTGAGAGATCCAGCAGAACTAGGAAACAGCTCTCACCTTTGTCCCTAGCCCGCCGGAGATCATCGACCAGTGCGACCAAGGCAGTTTCAGTCCCATGATGAGGCCTGAATCCCGACTTGAAGTGATCCAAATGGTCCGCTTCTTCCAGGCGTGGCTGGAGTTGTTCAGCAACCACTCGCTCAATCACCTTGCCCAAGAATGGAAGATTTGAGACTGGGCAATAGTTGGCCATATTGGCTGGGTCTAGAGATGTTTTTTTAAGAAGCAGTTTAATGATTGCCTCTTTCAGCAGGGAATGTTCCCTCACAGAGAGAAGCATTCACCACCCCGCGAAACCCATTGCCCAGCCCTTCCCGGCTAGCTTTTATAAGCCAGGATGGGCAAGGATCAAGGAGACAGGTGGTTGGTTTCACTCGTCCAAGCAGCCTGTCCACATCCTCGGAGGTAACAGATTGAAATTGATCCCGTGCAACTTGACTAGACAGGACTCTAGCACTCTCCCACCCCGGCCCTGCTCCCACGGTGGAGTCTACCTCTTCCCAAATCTGAGCAATTTTATCTGCAAAAAACTTTGCAAAATCATTGTGGACTTATGCACTGTATCACTGGAAAACAGCACTCCCTTTTCTACTCTTTGTATCTTTTCAAAGCATAAAGACTACATTGTTCAAGAGGCTCCATTAAAAAACATTCTAAAGTATTTTGGTCAATGGAAGACTACAGGACTGACTTGTTTGTTTACAATGCAGGAGTTTAACAGAGCAGTGCAAAGGTTTGGGCTTCGAGATACACTAAGGAATATTTCTTTGGGAGCACAAATTCTGCGCTGCTTGGGAAGGAGCATTATACCTTTGGTTTTTTTTAACAAAGCTAGACTGGCCTTCCAAACACAAAGAAAGGCAAAGGTGGGAAATTCCATACATCCAGGACAGTTTCTCCACTGTCATTTATAGCAGGCCAAAACAAGAAAGTATTCAAGGATTAGACATAAGGCCCTAAATCATGTATTTGTTTTGAACAAGTAGATAAAGAGGTACCACTGTGACGGGAAAGTAAATTGCGTTTCCGTGCGCTCTGGCACTCGTCACAGTGTTCGGTGCATCAGAGGCGGGTTAGTCATGCTGGCCACATGATGCAGAAAAGCTGTCTGCGGACAAAACGCCAGCTCCCTTAGCCTAAAAGCAGAGATGAGTGCCATACTCTATAGTTCAATTCGACTGGACTTAACTGTCCAGGGCTCCTTTACCTTTTGCATAATTTGTTCTATATTATTATTATTATTATTATTATTTTTATTATTATTATATTAATATTATTATTATTATTATTATTATTATTATTATTATTATTATTACATTTTGTCTATTGCCCCCCTCCCCGATTCTGCAAGTCATGGTGATGGATAATTAGCTCAGCTTCCAGCCATTGACAATCTTATTCAATCACCTCTCCAGCTTTAATGTTTTCAGCTGTTTTAAAGCTTTCAGTCACGAGGGCTTGAATTTTGTTCTTTTAAAAGCAAAGATCCTCAGGCCCCAATCACATGATTAAGAGATCCTCATTATGAATACAATGACAAAGGTAACAATGTAAAAAGAAGACACAGCTGATTTTTCTTGAAATCTAAATCTTAAATAGTTTTGGGGTGCCAGCAGATTAGAAAAAATGTCACTATTGAGAATCAATTAGTGCCATATTAGAATAAAACTATAATGCTTTTACATTTTACTGAAGGGATGAGTAACCTGTGGTATTCCAGATGTGACACAGACTACAATTCCATCATCACTGGCCACTGTCCTTGCTAGTTGGATTTAATGGGGGTTGGAGTCCAACAATTCATTCAGGATCCATTCCCCACCCCCCACTTTACAGGCTGTAACTGGAAGAAGCTGCTTTGGATACAGAGCAGTTATCTTCCTTTTCAAATGTGCTGTTTGCAAGAGAACTCTGTGCAAAGCCACCCACATAAGCTGCTCTGCACATACTACACAATCCTTCCAAGGGCTTGTGCAAGCCTGAGCTGGCAAATACGAGCAGTGTATTATATTGCACACATCACTCTCTGGACTGTGACTGGTTTCTGTTAACCACATCTTCTTAACAAGCTCATAAGTGCAATACGGTTTAAGAATATTACCTGGAGCCGTTGTCTGCAAAGCATCAAGACTTCCGAAAAATTCCAACTGTGCTTATAAGCACTGAAAAATTAAATAGGCTATGGTGTCTTCACAGTTAATTTATTTTGCAGTTACAAGCAGCCACTTAAACTGGCTACAAAAGAATAAATAAAGGAACCATGAGTGCAGCAATCTGGATATGCGCATCATTGGAAGACTGTTGCAGCGCAATGTGCTTCATTGCTGCCCTCAACTCAAGTGGACACAAGATAAAGTATTTTCCCTTTTAAATTAAAAAAAAAAAAATACTTGCCCAGGTTATTTTTACCTTTGGCAAAAGAAAAATAGGCTGTTAAATACACCCAGCAATACCTCTCCTTCAAATTATAAAATGTAGAAAAATGGTATCATATCATACAGTAACAAAACACACACTGGTTAAAGCACTTCAGTCTGTTCCAAAATACTTCTGTCCAAAATGCGTTGGGGCAACAGGATGAACTTCTGTCGTTAGAATTGTGATATCTGGGAATTCCTGGATTATTGATTTGGCACCTTTAAAAAAAGAAAAGTTGGGGAAGTCAAACATTTCAGTAAACTACATTTGCAACTCTGCAACAAGGGCTCTCATCTAATTACGGAGCTTGATTCTCTTCTCTCTCCTCCTCCTTTGCCCCCCCTTTAGAATTAACCCATCTAACATACAGACTTCATCAAATGTCTTATTAAATTACATGCTCACAATGGCAATTGCTGCTGGCATTAACTCCTTTCAATGATCCATTTTCCTCCCCAATGTTTTGTACATAGCTGCATTCTTTGGTCAAGTGTCATTAATTGCAATGATCCTGGATGCTGACATGAGTTGGTCAATGGCAAATCCCAGTAAAGTGGACTGGGGCCACATGTGTACTGAGAGGAAGGAATCTGTCCCCAGTCCCCTTGTAACAAAGTATTCCTTGGCAGGCAACTGACATGAAAAGCGTGGGGAGCAGGGATCTTATTGGCACATGTGGTGGAGCTGTACCATAAATTCTGGAAACAACCAATTACAGAAATCAGCACACATATAGGTAAACATGTTATTGTCTATTTTTGATAAAGATAATGTGTATCCTGTACCAGAGAAAGTCAACAGGACTAGCTCATAACATTCAGTTTGGCTGTTTGTCTGCCCTGTTGCTTTAACTTACCATGAGGTGTAGAGAATAGACTCAGCAGGATTATGACATTTGGCTGGACTCCATGTTCTATAAGAACCTTTACAGCCTCAATCACAGTGTTGCCAGTACCTGACAATATTTTTTTTTTGGGGGGGGGGGAGAGGAGGAGAAAGAGGAATTACTCTAGTATATTTTCAAGTTATGTTACTATCAAAATCAAACTATTTCACCATTAATCTGCATGGTCTATAGGTATGAATTCTGACATGCCAAACAAAAACAATAAGCTAAAACAATAAGCTCAGTGCATCTAAAGTTCCTTCTCCAATGGCTAGCATTGCTCAATGTACTCTTTCAAGGAGTAAATAGGGTCAGTTTCGAAATGGGTGGCAGCCATGGGCTTAAATCTCAATTCTAAACACTTAACTCTGAACTAAATTATCTAGTCAATTTCTAGCAAGTGCATTTGGCATTGGGGTTTGAGACTATTATGGCTTCTATATCTGATTTTAATGCATTTTTATAAAAGTTTGAAATTTAAAAATTGGTTAAACAGAATCAAACAGCTCAGATCTGAGAAATAAATATCTGATCCTATTTAATTAACATTTAGGAATGAGCAAAAGCTTCAACACTTCAAGCTGAACAGTTACAGTCTACTAGTTGCACCCAGCATCAACATCCTCATTACTTGTTTGTACTTAAGTGACTCAAGCAACAAGTTGCATCTTTAGATGCATATTTTCAACACGTGCAGCCTATAGACCAGGCATAGGCAAACTCGGCCCTCCAGATGTTTTGGGACTACAGTTCCCATCATCCCTGACCACTGGTCCTGTTAGCTAGGGATGATGGGAGTTGTAGTCCCAAAACATCTGGAGGGCCGAGTTTGCCTATGCCTGCTATAGACACTGCTGTGCCAGCTAATGTGCTGTAGTTCAACTAATGTAAATTCTGGAAAAGCTTGAAAAATCCAGTGTTGTATGGCCCCAAACCAAATCCTTAATTCTAACCAATGATAGATTTGCCTTCCAAGAGAGCTCTCTAGTCAAATGGTCAATATTTATAGGGTGGGGAATCCTTTAAGGCACTCACTTAGTATTGGGTACATGAGGAGAACTTTTCTCCTGAAAATATCTGGTGGAAACTTTGCATAGTACACTTTGGCTCTCTGAGTGTCTTCATCGCTCTGGATCAGGATCTTTCCTATTCGGATTGATCTACAACAGTCACGCAAACCCTGTTCCATAGCCTCTCCTTCATGGGGGGAAGAAAACAAGAAACAGTTACAAATCAAGCAATGGCCAGCCTGTTTCACTAATCTACCTGCCTTTTTGTTTTCGCAATGGCTTCTATATGCAATTTTCATTCTGCAACATACAGTAGCTCCCCATATAACAGAAGACAGCTGATGCCATTCAATAAAAGCTGGTGTGAGAGGCAAGCACTATCAGCAAGGAAAGATGCAACTTACATTCATGTGAAAAATTATGAATACACACTTCCATCATCCATTTTCCATGAGGATGCAAGCCAAAAGTGGCTGTGTCAAAACTTGCTCTTAGAAAGGACATATAGGATTAACCCTTTGCTTGGAAAGCATAGTCATTTTTGTCACTGTTCCTCTTACAGCCCTCTATGTTGCTTTCCTAAATATAATTTAGTAACTTACGTAGTAGTCATACATCTATTTCCAATATGGTGCCACTTTTGCTAGAAACAGCAACACTGCACTGATAATAAAAAGACTGAACACACACAAAATGTTAAATGACTTACCACTTCTCATTATGCTGACTCCACAATTTCCTTTTTCAAATTTCACCCCTTCGTACTTGTACCCTGTTGAAAGGTCACACAGAATCTGGATTAAAGATGTTGTTTTCCTTTTACTCACACTGAATATCCTATTTCAAGATGGACAGTGGAAGTTGCATTAACCACTTACAATTCTAAGGCACATTTTACACACCTCGGTGATTTCACAAAGATGTCTACCCCTGAAAGTTCCACAGAGAGTACAAGATAAAACAGAAGTTTATTTATTTATCCTACTCTTCATCCCAAAAAGGCTCACAGAGCATCTTAATCAACACACACACACACACACACACACACACACACACACAACAGTCCTTAAGTTTACAAACTTAAAAAAAACCACACACACAAACGACAAACGGATAATGTATTGGAAGGGAGATCAGCTTGGGTACAAATCCTTCTTTCTTTTTTGTATAATATATTTATTAATTTCCATGCAAAAACATTACATTAAAGAGGAGAAAAAATAATAAAATAAAACATTTATAACAACTGTATACACAATCAATATTAAATCCACATTATGAGATTACTTGAACCCCCCAACTTCCCTCTATTCCTTCCCTTGGTTCTTTTGTATTATCTCCATTCATGAATGTCAGCAGGGTACAAATCCTTCTAATGATCAGGTGGGATGGACAGGAGAAGTCAAAAGTAGCTGGTCTCTGAGATGAGCCAACAAGAATGGCCCTACATCCCTTCTACATCCAGCCAGACACTCATACATTGCATCTAAACCAAGACCTATTCTCAGACCCATGCAGAGTTTGTCTGAGGCCTGGGGAGGGAATCTTGTTAGAACAAAGTAATAAACTCAAACAGGCCACTGATGCCCCTCCCCACTCAGTGGGCTTAGCCTGGGGCAGGTATATCCAGATGCCCCCCTCCTCTGCAGGGGCCTTCCTAGTCTAGCAAACACATTTTAAAAATTGTTTTTCTCCCAGTCCTGAAAAGGCCTGGCTTTTGCCAAATTATCTCAAAAAAATCATTTTACAAAGTGATCAAATTTTAAATATCCTCTTATTTGCAGAATGCCCACTCTATAGCTAACTTTATTGGTAGGTCAAACCACACTGCCCATTTTACTTTACACCATATCCTTATTCTCCACACCAGCTAGGCTGGACATACTTTCCCCATTACCTGTTGGAGTGGTTACTGTACATTCTGTGTATGGCAACTGATTCAACCCCTCTTCAACCACAAGCCTGATCTGTAAGAGAGAAAGAATTCAAATGGGGGAGGGAGCAAGACAAAGTGGAAGAAAACCGAGAAAACATTGTCACAGCAAGGCTTCAGTTTCAACTAAATGCTAGCACACCATTAGTGCAAGGGCACAGCCCAAGTGCTCCCCTCAACATCTTCAACAGTCCAGAAATAAGCACAATGGACTTTGATCCACCATCTGACCACCTACAGATCATTTTAACTATTTTTTTTTTTTTTTTGGTATAATGTATGTACAACATTTACACACTGGAAAGCATGGAACAAAGAGCACAAGACTTCAAAGCTACACTCCTGTAAAGACTCCCAGTTTGAACTCCCCTTGCCTAGATATTTTCAAACTGTAATATCATCTTATTCTTTCTTTATCCGATGGTTAAGTAACCTTTTCCAGGTTGAGGGCCACATTACAATGGTCACAAGCTGTTGTGGGCCACATTCCAGTAGCGATCAGGGCAAGTCCCTCCACCCCCACAACTCTATGTAGGAAAAATGTCGCATGGGAAGTGGCCCTAGGTGTAGGTATACAAGAAAATGTAACAAAATAAGGATTTTCCTTGGTTATATATATATTTAATGTATTCTTCCATAGTTGAGGGGAAACGATTTGTAAGTGGAAGAACTTCATGTCTGTTATTGTGTAAGTGGGTATTTCCATGAACAAGCCAGCATTAAAGAATGGCAGGAGATTCTCTGTGTAGTAGATACTGCCCATTATTTAAAATGGGATCATGTTAAGTAAACATCCTGAAAATGTCATGTAGTCAGGACACCAGAGTGTTTCTTAACAGCTAAAAGCTAAATGGTTTTATCTGTTTGGTGCAAGAAACTCTGCAAAGAAACTAATAATGTCACTGTAGAAAGCAAGCCTGAGTTTTTGTTTCTAGATCACAATTTAGTTCAGCATATTAATAGCCTAATCCTACACATATTTATTGGAAGTCTGTTGGCATAAAAGCAGATATGCTTAGGATTAAACATAAATGCTGATATGAAAACTATTACTGACAGAACGTTGGTTTTCAAATAAGCAGCAGGTTCAAAGAAAATTTATCTCTTTTCCAGTAATAGTTATTCATTCCAGCAGAATACTCCTGTTAATACACCAATCTACACAACAGGCCTTCAACTAACTTACCAATCGATCAGCAGAAAATACGAAGTCCCCTCTGCTGGATGTCCTGGAGGAAAAGAATAGAATTTTTAGTATGATTATCCAACAAGCTACTACTGTTAAATATCCCAGAAAATATGCACACAATTAAAAATAAGTGCTGAAATGCATCTATCACTTTCCCTCATAATATAAACTAAAGGCTTGACCTTTAGATTAACTTATTTGAAGTGAAGTCATTAAGGTCTTTGAACATTAGTCATTAGAGGTGGATTTAAAGTGTTTTCTAAGAAGGTTTATAAGCAGAGATGTTATGCATGAAGACAAAGAGTTATGCATGTGAATCTCATTTTACTCATTGTATTATTTAGCCTGACAATCTAAATCTAGAAAGTGAAGTAGCAGTCCATGGGGTCCTAAATGTATGGTCTCCCTATAGTCCACTCAAAAACAGAATTAACTCAAAACACTAGGAAAAAGATTCTGCCATCTCATGCAGTGTTCGAAACTCCCATTGCACATTTTGCGACAGGGAATTTCATTACTGTGAACAGCTTCTGAGCTCTGGGCGTAGTACTGTGCCTAAGATTTCATTCAGATTAAAACTGCAGAGTGGAAGGAAAGGAGGACCTTTTTCTGCCTCCCCACTTCCAGCTACTTTCTGAAGACTGGAGAAGAGACCCCCTTAAGAATATTAGGGGGTAGGCAGGGGAAAACCACGGGTTTAGCATGATATTCATACTCAGACCCCATCTGCACTATACATTTAAGGCAGAATCATACCACTTTAAACAGCCAAGGAGTCCCCTAAAGACTCCTTCAAAGTATAGTTTGTTATGGGTGAACTAGCTGAACTCAACCAGCTACACTCTTTGTGGGTACAGGCTATCACAAGTACATAACTCAATGCTTAAAAGCTTGCACTTCCTACCCATATTCTACCAGGCCAGAATCAAAGTTCATTAAATTACAAGGCTCTTAACAACTTGGGTGCAGGTTATCTTAAGAACTGCCTGGCTTTTATATGCTTAATCACTGAGGTCTTCATGGAGTCACTGTTAGTGCTCCCCCACCTCACCAATGGCTCAAATGCACAACTTGTATCCACAAGGAGCCTTATGTTCAATATTGGGGCTGAACTCCATGAAACTCCTTCACAGCTGAGATAAGACAGATGACATCCATTTTGAACTTCTGGCATCTAATGAAGTCCTTATTTCAGTAGGCATTTTAAGCATTCTGTTGTTGTGGGTAATTTTAATTGATTTTTATTATAACTTTTTAATCATATTGTAAACCACTAAAATAAGCAATCACAAAAGGAAAATATTGCAACCTAAAATGGTCACATTCTGCATATTCTGATCAGAATTAAGTATCAGCAGTTAAGACTGCTATTAATTGGAACATGCAGATGAAGTCAAAATCCTTTCTAGAAGCTATAAGCTCATGTGTGACAATATTATTGGGTCAAGTTAGTTCCATAATAAACTTGATCCCCCATTCAAAAAAAAGAGTGGCTTTTGTTGCTTATTTAGGATCAGTGTATAAGCAGTTAAAACCATCTGCAGCCATATACAAAATGCCAGTAGTTAAATTTACCTCCCATTAACTTTGGATTTTGTCAGAATAGAAACACACTGCTCAGAGCTGCTTCTATGGAAACCTGTTCTCAAGCCCAACTGCCTGCAAATCCTTTTTTCATTGTAAACTGCAGCACTGCCAATTTTAGCCCTGAAATCAGGCAATATAATCTGCGCTGGGAATGAAAGTTTTGAGACTAAATCCCACTCCCCATTAAACCCAGCATACATATATAAACACGAGACATGTACAAATATTCAATGAAACAAGCCACTGAAGTATACAATATTTGTATCCCTTGTCCTATCACCGTGATCAACAGGGGCAGCCCATCCCATTTCACCACCTGAGACAAAACAGGAAGGTGTCAACCTCTCCCCACTGACAGTTCAACCAAAACCTTGCTTTCTAGGGTTGTGAGGCTGTGGCAGCAACTTCCAGGTTTCAGTGAGATCTTGCAAGAGATCCACAAGGTCTTGCCAAAACCTAGAAGTCACTGCCACTGCCGCTTCTCTGGCTGCAGCAGCAAAGGTGGTGCACCTCTATGGGAGAAGTGGTGGTACTGGCCATAGTAGCTTCCAGCAAGATCTCATTACTTTAAATTGAACCTGAAAACAGACTTGTATAATGTGATCAAACAACCCATCTCATTTCGGGACCATCTGAAATTTCAGACAGTTTTTGAAAGCACTCCCACATATAACTCATTGGAATAGTCTTAAACAGGAGGTTACCTGAGCATAAGCAGCTGTGGCTAGACTACTTCCATCCAATTAAGAAGACAGCTTGCATGGAGTCCATTGTCTTTCTTATTTCTAAGGGGAAGCATTCCTGTCTTACCTAGAATTTATCCAAGTGTCATCACAGACAATCTTCTGCACTACCTTCAACTGAACACATTTCTATGTGGTTGGCTTACACATTCAGCTGCCAACCGTCAAGTGTACAGTAGTCTAGCGGAGTTAAATTTAGACACGGGGTTAGCTACACAAGATGGTCATGTTAGGGTTCATTTATTTTGTGCCTTGTTCCTCCCTGCCAGAACTCCACTTACTGCCCTGCATCTTTAACAGTACCAAAAAAGAAAGAAATCAAGTAGATATGCATGTGTAAACAGCTGTATGTCTTGGCTACCTTTAACAATCATAGGGGATTGCCAATTGCCTTGTATTCCATAATCAAGCAAAAGCTGTCTTCCTTCAAAAGTGATGCCTTTATAGGATTAGGCATTCTGTTTCTACAGCATCCAGGCAGAGGCCTCTTTAAAACCATGCCCTAGGGATTGCTCCCAGCAGCTGGTACTCAGGGGGCATACTAGCCCTGGACATTAAGGTCCCATTTTTCATGACAGTCAAAAGCTCTCTTCAGGTGCTCTGTATGTGTATTAAGTAAATATGCAAGAGGGGCTATGGGAATCAGCACATTCCCTTTCCCCCGCATCACCCTCCACAAATTGAACGGCAGTCACCTGAAGTAAAACACCTTCCTATATTCAGAAGCTTCCCATATGTTTTAGAAGCCTGGAAAAATAAGGATCTAAAATGTGCAGAGAGCCACCACAAACTCAGACGATGATCAGCTCAGGAGGTAACCCTCCAATTTGTGGAGGGAAAAGAACATGGAGCAGGGCTATTGCACTTGTCCCTACAAGTCCCCTTCATGTATTTAACACACATTTAGGACACCTGCAGAGAGCCGTTTCCTCTAATATTTTGTAAAGTCATCTAGTGATGTGGGGTGTAAAAAATTTTGTTTTGTAGGTTCATTAGTAGCAATGAAATGGTGCACACAATACTAAGCAAGCTTGACAGTTTCAAAAGTTTCTTTGTTTAGTAAATACAAGTAAAATTAATATGCTACATTACTTTCTAGGGCCTCTGTTTTTTTCTAATGCAAATTAACTTAATTTGTATAAGGCATTTTTTCCTGAGAATTTTCCAAATTAAAATGTTTGCATAACCCACATCATTGAGGGCATCCAACCTACTATTCATTACAACTCATTATGGTTGTGGATTCCATATGCTAATTATGCTTTTCTTGTCTGTCTTGAATCCACTGCCAGAGTACCTAAGATGGACAGACATTTCTCTGCTGCATCATTCTATTTTCCCCTTGCTTTTCTCTGTTTCATTCCAAAGATATCTTATACAAGAAGACTAGATTATTGGCTAATCACCGTTTTCTCTTGCCACTTAGTGGCAAGGAATGACGAATATTCCTCCAATTACAAATACATTACACTGGAATTAACAAAGTATATGTGCTTTTCCCAAAAAATGTTGATGCACAAGGAATTTCAATAAAACGCAGAAATGAGGATTTTGACATGGAAAAACTGACACTGCCAAAGGCACAGTGGCAACACTGGGTGCGTCTATAATAAATGTGTGATGTCAAACAATGTAAGCGACATTTCTTCTTGCCCGCTGGAGCACACAGCTAATCATGATGCTATCTACAGCTAGCTGACTTTTTACATTGTGCTGTACATGTTAATACATTCATTCAAAATCAGGAAGTAGCTACTGCAAGAGCTTTACAGATAAAATAGCTGCAGCTACAATTCAGGAAAGCATATAATATACTATAAAGCTAGTAGCTTTGAGAAAAGCATCATTGTTTGTACAGACAATTGTACAGTGGTATCTCGGGTTACATACGCTTCAGGTTACAGACACTTCAGGTTACAAACTCCGCTAACCCAGAAATAGTACCTCGGGTTAAGAACTTTGCTTCAGGATGAGAACAGAAATCGTGCTCCGGCGGCGCAGCGGCAGCAGGAGGCCCCATTTGCTAAAGTGGTGCTTCAGGTTAAGAACAGTTTCAGGTTAAGAACGCACCTCTGGAACGAATTAAGTACTTAACCTGAGGTACCACTGTAGTATGATTCTTGCCCAAATCATCCTAACACTTACCTGGTCAGCAAGATCATTTATGTAGTGGAGAACAGGCACTCCCATGATACAGGCACTTCTTAAAAAGAATGCACATAAAGCTGATTTTCATGATACCTCCTTTTTTTGAGGAGGAGAAAGCAGCTCACCAAACTGGTTAAATAGAAAAGCTTCCATATGCAGTTTGAAAGAAAAAACTTTTTCATTGTTGTCTCTTAACTCTGTGTGTGCACAACCACGGGACCCCTCCAAGCTGGTGTTATTTTGCAGGCAGTGTGTTCAAAATTAGCCATGCACAAGGCGCATTTTGCCCCTGGCTATTGGCCACTTGCAACCAAGTGAAGATGCATGGGTGCCAGGATGGAGGTGCATGCCTGGGGATAATTGGATCTTGATTGTTTTCACACATTAATACCACATCCTGTAGGAATAGGCCAATATATATGTGGACTGTCCCTGGATAAAGTGACTTCTCTCAAAGTTCTTAACCTAGCACAAGGTTGTCATTTGAACTAGCCAAATATTTAAGTGATAATCAATCCCAGTCAGTCCATCACTTGAAAAATAAGTCTTTAGAGTTGTCTTTAGCCTTGGTTAAAGGAGCCATTTGGCACCTAATTTATATATCTTAGTTTCTAACACTGATTGCAGGTGTACTTTGCAACATGTTCTTGAGTTTCTTCTTTAATAGTTGTTCTGTGATGATTCCCCAGTATTGCATTATTGCTCTCCAGAGCAACTATAGTACAACAAAAATAGCATTTGTGGTATAAAAAGTTACAGGATTTCAGCAGGACGTTACAGCTATGCACTGGTTGGAAATGAAAGGGTATGACTGCCACAAAACTTTTGCAGGAATAAATATTTTTTTTGCCTGTGGGGTCATACACTGATAGCATCAAAAGAACAAATCATCACAATTACATCATCTAGAGGGGTCCATACTCATCAACTGTAAAAAGTGAAACAAAATGCTTGCACCTAAGCTGTACGCTAAAGACTAAATATCAATACCAAACATGCATTCAAATAACCAATAGTCGGCTGTCATTTTCCTAGCCTGGCTGCATGTTTGAGAAGTTTAACTATACAGTACAATCCAAGAAGGACATTTCAGGCAATTTTTCTACTTATACAGCTTTCATCTGAATTCTGGATTCAGCTGATTTACTCCATAATTAGCAAGTAAAGGCAGCCCATGGATGACACCGATTTCCCTAAATAAACTTTCTTAAGATCAGGCTTGCTCCAAGGCTGCAATCCTAAATTCACCTTGGAATTAGAGTTAGACCCACTGAACTTAGTGAAATTTACTCCTGAATGAACAAGTATAGATTCAAAACGCATGCATATCAGCACTAGATAACATTAATGTACAGTTAATAAAATTAGTATTTATTGCCTGATTATGCTGTTTCATTTTTTTTCATAGGTTAAATATTAATGTGTTGGGTTTTATATGTTGGAAGCACCTAGTAAGGACAAAGCTGGCCTAGAAACCTCACATTACTGAGATAACTAGATGTGGGACCACTGTCCAACCAAATCATCATGTGATACTTTTTGAAGAAACTGCAATGTGTGCAGCTGCAAGATGCAACAGTGCCTTCTCTATGAATGACCAGCGAAGTGATTAGCTATAGTGCTTATTAGCATTGGGACCCAACCACCATCCTACTCACTAAAATCTTTCACCTACCAGCCAGCAGTGCAGGATCTGAAAGGCACCTACTGCATGCCAAAACTTGTCCCTAAGAGTTTAGCAGAGTTCATGGTATATGCTAGGCCTATTTTCACTTAATGTTAATCCCAGAGGTTTGCTAACTAGACAAGATACATTGACACTGCACCTCTTTGCTTCTTCCTAGAAAGAAAGAAAAAAAAAAGTTTCTAATACTAGTCAACCACAGTCAGTAATCAAGTACAAGCAGAGCAAACTGTCATCATGTCAGTTTGCATGACAAAACCAGATCTGGCAGCAAGCAAAGAACAGTGAAGCAGCAGGCATGGACATCCAGCTCTCCATTCATTGAAGGTGGCTGCAGCTTGAATTATAGGCAAAACTCCAGTGCTATGACTTGCTCTTTTGCAATGTCCTCCAAAAAGTAAGGGAAAATATTGCTTTGCATTTACCCAACCCTGAGGTTATGTGATCTCAAAACTATCACCTGCCATACACTCAAGCCTCAGTCATAAGGACACACCATGCCAGCTACCTGGTAAGCTATCCTTTGAAAAGATTCCTCCCATTCCAGCAAATTTGGATGGCCAATTCAAGCGTATTTAATAGGTCATATTTATGTAGCAAGTAGCATGTTTCTAGTACAATAAGCCCAAAACTTCCATATATTTAGTTTGAGTGTATTCAGCTTTACATGCTTGGCAAATTACCGGTAATTAAAAAGTGGGTGGAAAAGGGAATGGGTGTTTTGGGGGGAAAGACTTTGGCAAACCCACCTACCCTTGAACTCAGTGTGTACAGTTGTACCTCGGGATGCAAACAGGATCCGTTCCGGAGCCCCGTTCACATCCTGAACAGAACGTAAGATGCGCATGCGTGTCTGCGTGTGTTGCATTTCACCGCTTTCATGCATGTGCGTGACATCATTTTGACCGTCTGCGCATGTGCGAGCGGCGAAACCCGGAAGAAACGCACTCCGTTACTTCCAGGTCGCCATGGAGCACAACCCAAAAATACTTATCCTGAAGCGTATTTATCCTGATGTATGACTGTATCGACTATATGCAATTTTGGCTTTAGGGGTAATCCCCAGAAAATAACCTGTGTAAATTGCAAGCTTATTGCATTCAAAGCACACCACATGCATTATTCCAACCATATTTTTTTTAAAAGGGCCCTGTAAGGTAGGCCAGTATGACTATTCCCATGATGATGGGTGGGGCTGAGGTCAAGAGAACAGTGCTTTATAATGCCCCACCTAGTAAGTTAATGATGGAAACACTCTTTTATTCGCTGAGCTTTGCCCTAAGCTATCTCAGACACGGAAAACCAACCTGGGAAAAGTCCCTTCTGCTTTGTTTATTCCTCACCACCATCTACTCCCCCTCCTTCCTGCAAAGCATAACGCGGGACGCATCATTTCTTATTTAAAGAGAGCTCGCCCACAGCTTCGCTCAGAACCATTACATTCATTGTGCCCAAATCCAGCAAGAGAGAAGAGACCGCCCCGCGAACATCACTGCATAATATACATTTATATACGTACAGAAAGGCTGGCTCCCCTGCTCGTAAGGCTGAACTTCAAACAACAAATGAACATGCACCGTTAACTCCTCTTGCATCTAATGCGGTGAACCGCAAAAGCTTAGACCGCAATAAATTCAGTGGAGTTTCCAGCCTCCGTAGACGACACATCCTGACCTGGACCTGGACCCTAAACCTAGATAGTCATAACATACATTACTGCGTACATTTGGGCGGGAAAAGGGAGGGTTTCCCCCGAAAACACACAAGTGAGAGCCACTTGAGCACATCCTGGCCCTGCGGGTGCCACAAAAGGCAGGTTGGGCAGACTCTACGCCCCAGCTCTTGTCAGGAGGCTACGAGGCGACGGAGCTCCGTCTGGTCAGGGAACGAAAGGGGCTCTCGCGCTGACAGATGTCCACCACGACGCCCCCAACCACGCGCGCACAGGCGACATTCTGCACATGCTCAGAGGGAGGCCAGCCTGGCGCCAAGAATAGGAGCTGCCGACGCGTGCCCGCCTTACCTGTCCCGGATGATGGTCTGTAGCTCCCGGATCTGGTCGTTCATGGGCAGGAGCTTGAGCCGAGGGGCGGCGGCGGCCGGCAGGTCGAGGGTCGGCGACGGGGCCGTGTCAGGGCCGCCCCCGTTGCTGCCAGAGCAGCTGCAGCCGCCGCCCCCGCTGCAGCAGCTGCTGCTATCCGGGCTGGGGCTATCGCCGCCAGGGCCGGGCTCGGAGAAGCGGAGCTGCCGGGAAACAACGCCGCTGCCGACGCCGCTCCCCGTTACCGCCTGCTCAGAGCAGTCCTGGTCCCGGTCTGTCGCCCCAGCCTGCTGCTGCTGCTGCCGGGGCGCATCTGCCGAGCCTACCCTCTGGTTGTGGCAAGGCATCGTCTCCATGCGCGGCCGGAAAGGCGCCCAGTGGTGCCCCGATGGTGCCCCACCGGTACGCCACGCGCTCGCCCCGCGCTTGGGGCTTTACCTCAGCCGCAGCGCCCGCCCAGCCGGTCAAGCTCCGCCTCCTCGAAGGTCCTGCGCGCGGCAAGCCGCCCAGCCGGGCGCGGCTATTGGCTGCTGACCTTGCCACTCGTAGCTTAGGAACAATGGGAGGGCACCTTCGGTCGAGGTGGCCCCGCCCCCCACTCCTGACTGGGGGAGAAGCTCTTCTTTTACCTCAGAGAGAAGAGGCCGCATTCACGCCATACGTTCAAAGAGGCGTCATGCCACTTTAAACGACTTCCCTCAAGGGTTTCTGGGAAGTGTAGTTCATTCAGAGTGCAGAAAGGTCTAGTGACACATTCTGAAGCGGCGTGATAACAGTCTCCTCCCCTCCCAAGAATCCTAGGAGGTGTAGTTTGTTAAACCTGCTGAGAGTTCTTAGAAGATATCCCCCCCCTTCCCTCTCAAAACGACAGTTCCCAGAAGGATTTAACAATCTCTCCTGAGTGTCTTCTCACAGGTAATTGCAACTCCAAGATGAGAAAGGGAGTGGCGTTCGTAACAGCACCCCTACAGCTCCCAGAATTCTTTGGGGGAAGCCGTGACTGTTTTACGTGGTATTAGGGCACTGTGAATGTATGGTGTGCATGTGACCAGAGAGAGATCCTCTTGTCTTTCATCATGGGCTTTTCTTATTTGGGCCACGCACCTGCTCCACAGACATCAACTGATTTAGTGACAGGAATGGGAGTCAGGAGCAGGTCAGCAATAACCCACATGGCTAGCAGCGGCACCACCTTGTGCCAAAGGCTGAGGGGGCCCAATGTTGCACTATGCGGTCACAAGGTTGGGTGCTGTGCCAAGACCCCTTTTGCTGTGCACTGGAGCACCCTGTGGTCAGTAGAAAGCGGGGCACCATGCAGTGCCCCCCAGCAGAGCGTTCCATGCTCAGGAAAAGGCCAGGGGCCATACCATGCCCCTTGCTGGAGCACCCTGTTCCACGCACACCCTGGAGAATCCCATGGTTGGGAGGTCAAGCACTGCATCACACTCCAGAACACACTGTGCCACTCCCCCTCCCCCAAAATATTGAGGGGACCCAAAACAGCTCAGCGCTCCTGGTTGCTAAGACTAAAGGTCCCCACCTTCCTACAGCTCTCTAAGTCTCCTCTCCCCCAGTTCCTTCCCAAGTACTCTGAGGCTCCTTCGTGTTGCATATCTTTCTTCTGCCTGTTCATGCCTCTTGGGTTCTGGGAGACCAGCAGGGAGGAGAGCTGGTTGCTGCAGAAGAGGGAGAAAGGCTGGCTTCCTCACCAGCCTGACACACTTCTGCTTCTTGGGCTCCCTCATTCCACTCTCCTGTTTCATTCAGCTTCTGCCTCTGATTCTGGACTTCTCTCAGCCGCAGACTCTTCCTGCTCAATAAACCCTGTTACCTCTTCAGCTTCGGACACCATCTCTTCCCAATCTGCTCCCTCTGACCACTCATCATCATCCCACTACCAATCCCCCAGCTCTGAGCCAGTCTAGGACATTTAGTAAAGATAAAGGGACCCCTGACAGTTAGGTCTAGTCGCAGACGACTCTGGGGTGGCGGCACTCATCTTGCTTTACTGGCCAAGGGAGCCAGCGTACAGCTTCCTGGTCATGTGGTCAGCATGACTAAGCCGCTTCTGGCGAAACCAGAGCAGCGCACGGAAACACTGTTTACCTTCCCACAGGAGCGGTACCTATTTATCTACTTGCATTGGCATGCTTTCAAACTGCTAGGTTAGCAGGAGCTGGGACCGAGCAACGGGAGCTCACCCCGTCGCGGGGATTCGAACCGCTGACCTTCTGATTGCCAAGCCCTAGGCTAAGTAGTTTAGACCACAGCACCACCTGCATCCCTAGGACATTTAGTTGCTGTTCCTTTTTACTCCTCCTTCTAAGGGAGGCCTGATCCTGTGTATGGAAATGCTTCAGCAGTTTCTTCAAACTGGTGCCCTCCAGATGTTTTGGACTATGACTCCTATCAGCTCCAGAAAGTTTGACAATGCTGGCTGGTGCTGGTGGGAGTTGTAGTCCACATCTGAAGGCCACTAGAGTTTGGCAACAGGCAGCTTTAAATACTCCAGACTGCTGCCAGCAACCTTTAAATTATTAGCTGTGAGAATATGTCACTTTTTAAAATGTTTTTTAATCTTATTTTAAATTATTTTGTTGCTTTGTTGTTTTTCACCCTAGGGTCCTTTGGGGCAGAGGGGGGAACAATGGGATAGAAAGGTTAACATAAATGGTGATGGTGATTATGTTTTGGGCTGCAGTTCCCAACAGCCCCAGCCGGCACAGCTGAAAGATACTCAGAGTCAAGAGTGGATTTCATGCTCTTTATTCAGCTCATAGTGGTGAGGAGGGAATGAAAGTCCCCTCAAAGTATCTGCTTTATATACATTATTTACACAATGGGCTGCACGTGATTGGCTAATTCTGGAATTCTCCTGTAGGCCAATCAGGTTGTGGATTCACTTCTATCTGGAGCTGGATTGGGTGGCTCCTGCCGACCAATCATACTGCTGCATTGTTCTAGGACCAATCAGACTGCTGCAGTTTGGATCCTATTCAACTCAGTACATAACACCCCTCCCCTCTAAGTTCCAGTCCTGCCCGGGAGGTTGCATTCATAGTCCTCAAGGTACGCCGGCGGCTTACGTGTGCGTTGCGGCCTGGGGTGTTTCCTGGTCCGGGGTTCAGGTTCTGGCTCGTGTTCCAAGGATGCTGGGTGTGATGGGCCGTTTGGTCTGGTGCAACCAGCTCGCTCAGTCATGGTTCTGGTTCCGGTGTCCTTTCGGCCTCGCGGGTCCTCTCTGTATTTACTGATTCTGCCTCTCCTGCTGGCCCCTCCTGTTCTGTGGGTCTCACTGCCCCACTGTTCCCTTGGGACTCCTCTGACCTGTCCTCCTCCTGGTTTTCTCCGGAGTATCATCGCCGTATCTGGTCGCAGTGGCGGCGCCAGCATTGCCCCCATCCATTAGCACCTCATACAACACGGGGCCAGTGACCCTGGTGACTGTGGCGGGTACCCATGCTGGGCCTGCCCCAAAGTTCTTTGCGTACACTGGGTCCTGGGCCACAAAGGTTCGGGGGTTCCTGCCTTCCCCCACCACTATCTCATCCTGAGCTCTATTGGGGTGAAGGCGGTCCAATCTGACACGGGGCCAGTGACCCTGGTGACTGTGGCGGGTACCCATGCTGGGCCTGCCCCAAAGTTCTTTGCGTACACTGGGTCCTGGGCCACGAAGGTTCGGGGGTTCCTGCCTTCCCCCACCACTATCTCATCCTGAGCTCTATCGGGGTGAAAGCGGTCCAATCTGATTGCAAGGCGCCGACCCATTAGTAGTTCAGCGGGGCTCCGGCCAGTCATTGAGCTGGGGGTGCTGTGCTGTGCTAGAAGGAATGTGGCAAGGCGGTACTCCCAATACCCTTGCATCATGCGGCGGAGGGTGTCCTTGGTGGTCTGCACCATGCGTTCTGCTTGGCCATTGGTGGCAGGGTGGAATGGCACCGAACGGATGTGGCAGATGGCGTTCTGCTCTGTGAAGGTTTGGAATTCTCCTGAAGTAAATGCGATCCGGTTGTCTGAGACGAGAGTGTCAGGGAGTCCGTGGGTTGCAAACAGCCTGCGTAGTACCCGGATGGTTGCAGACGTGGGAGTGGACGGTACCAGTGCGACTTCCAGCCATTTGGTGTATGAGTCCACCACTATGAAGAATGTTTTCCCCTGAAAGGGGCCAGTGATGTCCACATGCAGGCGTGACCATGGTGCTCGGGCGGACTCCCAGGACTGGACTGGGGCCCTTGGGGGATCTGGGTGGGATTCTTGGCAGGCATGGCAGTGTTTGACCCAGGCCTCTATCCGTCGATCCCTGGCCACCACACATAACTCCTGGCAAGGGCCTTCATTCTCACTACCCCTGGGTGTGTCTCGTGTAGGGCTGTGAGGACCCTTTTGCGGAGGGGCTGGGGAACAACGACCCTGCTTCCCCATAACAGGCACCCCTTGTGGGCCGACAGTTCATGTTTGCGGGTTGCTGGCGAATTCTGGCCCGGGGCTGCTGATGGGCCATCCCCTCCACACCCAGTCCAGGACCCTATCTTTCTTGGAATGGTGTGCAACTTCTTGTGCCTGAATGGGGCGGTCAGGAAGCAGCTCCAGGCTCATAACCTCTTGTGCAGGTGCTGGGTCGGGGCCTGTTTCCGGTAGTGGTAGCCTGCTGAGTGCGTCCGCATGGCCCATCACCTTCCCAGGGTGGTAAATCAGTGCATACTGGTAGCTGGCAAGGGAAATTGACCACCTGAGGACGCGAGGAGACAGCACTTGGGGGGGTCTGCTTTTCGGGGGCAAACAAGCCAAGCAACGGCTTGTGGTCAGTCACCACGGTAAAGGGCCGCCCGTACAAGAAATCATGGAATTTTTTTACTCCCTTCACGATTGCCAGACCCTCCTTGTCGATTTGCAAGTAGTTCCGCTCAGTTGTGTTGAGTGTCTGGGAAAAGTATGCCACCGGTACCTCTCTTCCATCCGGGAGTTGGTGTCCCAGGACTACGCCGATGCCATAGGGCGAGGCGTTGCATGCTAGCACCACCGGCAGCCTCTCGTCGAAGTGTGCCAAGACCGAGTTTGAGACAAGCAAGTCCGTGACTGCCTGGAATTCGGCCTCCTGGCGCTGGCCCCACACCCAAGGGGCCCGCTTGTCCAGGAGTCTGTGTAGGGGCTCCGCTACCGCCGCCTTGTGGGGAAGGAAGGAATGGTAAGAGTTCAATAGTCCCAAGAAGGCCTGAAGTTCAGTCTTGCTCTTGGGCGCTGGGGCATCACAAATGGCCCGTACCTTGTCCCCAGTTGGGTGGACCCCTTCTGCGTCCACCATAAATCCCAGAAAGTCCACCTGAGGCACTCCTAGTAGACATTTTTCCCACTTCACCTTGAGACCCGCCATCTGGAAACGGTGCAGAACGGTGCGGAGGCGATCCTCAAACTCCTCTGGTGTGGGCCCAGCAATCAACACATCATCGAATAAGGGGGTGACACCAGGAATCCCTTTAAGGAGAGAGTCCATTAGATTCTGGAATATGCCTGGTGCCACACTAACACCGAATTGCAGCCGCTTTACCATGAACCCTCCTCTGTGCGTCACAATCGTCTGTGCCTCTGCTGTGGCCTCATCTACTGGCAGCTGTTGATATGCTTGGGCCAAGTCCAGCTTGCCAAAAAATTTTGACCCAGCCAGGGTGGCAAGGACATGGCTGACCACTGGCACTGGGTATGCGTGGGCCGTGAGGGCCTTGTTTATGGTACATTTGTAGTCTGCACAGATGCGGACTGAACCATTAGGCTTGATGGGTGTGACGATTGGGGTTTCCCAGGGGGCATTAGGCACCGGCTCCAGCACTCCTTACTCCACGAGCCGGTCCAATTCCTCGTCTATACGAGGTTTCAGGGTGAACTGGACCCGGCGGGCCTTGAGCCTGACAGGTCGTACTGTGGGGTCAAGCTGTAGAGCAATGGGGGGGGGCCCGTATACTGTCCCAATTTCCCATTGAAAACCCCTGGAAATTCCTTGCATATGGCGTCCACGTCCACTTGTAAGCTAGTGTGGTTCACCCCGGTGACGGCTAGCCCCAGTGGTCCAAACCATGCCAATCCCAGTAAGCTAATGTAGGGGCCCTTGACCACAAGCAAGTCCAGTTGCCGCGTCCGCCCTCGATATTGCACCCTGAAGGTCCCCATCCCCATTGTGGGGACCTTACGTTTCTGGAAGTCCTGGAGGGTGAATGGGGCCGGCCTGAGTTTGGGACCCCCACTAGGACACAGTTTCCTTAAGGTCCCTGCCGAGATTATGAATAGAGTTGAACCCATGTCAAGCTCCATGCGGCACGGGACCCCCTCTATCTGTACCTCTACATAAATTTTCTCTACGTTGGGGTGGGGCAACTGGTATACCTGGAAGTCTGTGAGCTCCGTCGAGTTGCCTTGGTGCGTTGGGCCCTGGGGCTCTTGGATCGGTCATCTGATGCTTGACGTCGGGTGGGCTGAGCCCGACACACCCGAGCGATGTGCCCCAATTTTCCGCACTGCCTGCACTCTGCGTTGCAGAAACGGCAGGTCCTCCTCTCGTGACTCTCCCCGCAGCTTGCGCAGTTCCCTCCTTTTCATCGAGGCAGCCATGGTCTGTGCGCTGCTTGAATGCACTGCTGTACTCAGTGCACCTCCTCCCTGTCAGATCCTGAGTCGTCGGTGAGGTCTTCGTGGTGGACCCTTGGTTGGGGTGACAGGCTCGGCCGTGCCTCTTGCGTCGACCTCTTGGTAGCTTCTGTTGCCAGGGCCTCCTCCAGGGCGACCTAGAACGTTAGGTCCTTCTTAGTGTAGAGGCGTCGTTGCAGCTTCTCATCCTTCAGGCCACCGACGAGGCAGTCACGAAGCATGTTCTCCAATTCTGAGAAGTTGCAGAACCGGGCGGCTTGGCGGAGAGAGGTCACAAACCCAGTTATGGTTTCCCCTGGGGCTTGCCACTTTGCGTAGAAGGCATTTCAGCGAGCCACCACTGAGGGCTACGGTGAAAAGTGCCCCTTCCGCCATTCCATTATTGTTTTGTATGGAACAGTAGCGACGTCTTCAGGCACAAGGAGAGCCCGGGCGATTTCAAATGTCTCCTCTCTGCAGACGCTGAAAAGTATCGCCCTCTTCTTGGCATCTTCTTCATCGGCGACCCCTTTGGCTTCTAGGAGGAAGGTGAAACGGGAGGCATATGCTTCCCAGTCTCCGGATGCTGGGTTGAATGGCGAGAAGCTGCTGTTGGTTGCCATTCTGAGTTCCTTGGGTCCCGGAGCTGAAGCCTGGATACACGGTGCGAGGCAGCGGTGGGGCAGGTGGCGGTGCTGTGTGTGGCAGTCAGCTCAGCAGGATCCCACCTTCGTCGCCAGTGAAATATACTCAGAGTCGAGAGTGGATTTCATGCTCTTTATTCAGCTCATAGTGGTGAGGAGGGAATGAAAGTCCCTACATTATTTACACAATGGGCTGCACGTGATTGGCAAATTCCGGAATTCTCCCATAGGCCAATCAGGTTGTGGATTCACTTCTATCTGGAGAAGGATTGGGTGACTCCTGCCGACCAATCATACTGCTGCATTGTTCTAGGACCAATCAGACTGCTGCATTCTGAATCCTATTGTTCTAGGACCAATCAGACTGCTGCATTTTGGATCCTATTGTTCTAGGATCAATCAGACTGCTGCAGTTTGGATCCTATTCAACTCAGTACATAACAACAGCTATATATGATAGTAGGGCTGATGGAAATGTGGTCGTGCTGGCTGTGGCTGATAGAAGCCCAAACATCTGGAGGGCACCAGGTTATGGAAGGCTGTACTTAAGAATCCGTCTCCTCCCAGGTGCCTTTGAGACATTGTTCAACTACAACTGGGCTGATGGGGGTTGGAGTCTACTAGCATCTGGAGAGTGGCAGGTTTAGGGGAGGCAGCTTTGATTTCAAAAGTAGTACAAGCGGGATCCTTAATTTCTCAGAAGCAGATTGAGGATTATAAATTGAGGTCTTTCATGACTGAATCTAGCAAAAGTCAAACTTTGAGGCTAGGATCCCGGCTTGGATTGAAGAAGGAAAGTTGGAAAGAACCCTCTATCCAGGGATTGACTGACTTTTGGGACATGGACCTGGGCTTGTAGGAGTTTGAAGTTTTGGGGGTCGCTAGAATTGGAGGAATCCTGAAATACGTTCTGAAACACTCTATGGACTTTACTTTTAACTTTGGAAATTTGGCTGAACTGTCCAGAAGGAACAAAAGTATTGCTAGGCTGGAGTTTTCCCGAGATTTGCTCCTGAGCATCAAAGAATATGAAGAAGACCTGCAGAAGGGACTTGGAAGAGATTTAAGAGCCTCGGATATAAGGGCTCCAGGTTGATGGATCATATGGAACTGACGGAAAGGACTGGCAGAATCCGAAGCCAGGGAGAGGAGATAGTGGAAGATTAATGGGAAATTTAAAGTGTTTATTTAGAAATTTTGTTAAAGTAATGACTGTCAGAAAAATGGTGGAATGATATTTTATGGATTTAGCAGAAATGCTATAAGAAGTTGGGTGTATATAAGTAATCAACCGTTAATGGGAAATAAGGCTAAAGAATATGTTATTCATAATATGACAGAAAATAGAGAAAGATGGAAAGGATTTGCTGAAACAAGTATTAGAAGCGGGATACAAGAAGGGAGGTGTGAGGAAGTCGAGGAAACAAGGGAATGAAGGACAGAGTATGGAAAAGGAAGGGATGTTTTTAAATTGTTTTTGTCTTGCTTTGTTCAATGGGTTTAGGGTGGGCTTGTATTGTTTATATATTGTATTGTTTTTCTCTTTCTTTTTTTCTTTTTTGTTTTTTCTCTCTTTTTTCTACTTTTTTTAACTTTTAAAAGCAATAAATATTATTAAAAAAAAAAAAATAGGGGAGGCAGCTTTGAGAGTCCCTTCAGAACCCTTAGCATGCTACACCTCCCATACCCTCCAACATTTCTCCAATTAAAATAGGGATGTCCCATTCCATAATGATAATTTTACTATTTATACCCCACACATCTTTCTGGGTTGCCCCAGCACTCCGGGCAGCTTCCAACATATATAAAAACACAAGAAAAAAACATTAAAAAAAACCTCCCTATACAGGATTGTCTTCAGACAGCTGGTGGGCTGGATAACTTCATACCCTCAAGCATTTCTCCAATAGAAATAGGGACATCCTAAGGAAAAGCGGGATATTCCAGGATCAAATCAGAAACCAGGACAGCTTCACTAAATCTCTGGTAAATAGGGACACTTGGAGGGCCTGCACCTCCTACTGGGGAAGCCATGACAGTTAAGAGTGGTGAAATGGCAATATACCTTTCTGGTGTAAATACTGATAGTATTCACAAAGGATGACTATCTAAGGCACTAGTCATTAAAATAAATAAATATTAAACTAGAACATACACTTCAACGTGTACACACAAAGTAGAAACTGGGCTTTATTTACATTCCTTGGGGGAAAATTCTTGTTAAGTGTTGGAGGGTGGTAACATTTTTTAATGGATTTGTTATATTTATAAATATCAGGATATTGTATTCTCACATAAAAGTAAGAGTTTACAAAGGATTCCAAATGACTACTAGTCATGATGGTTATATGCTACCTCCGGTATCAGAGGCAGCATGCCTGTTGCTGGGGATTACAAGCAGGAGAATGATGATGTGATATCTCCGTGTGCTACTTGAGGGCTTCCCATAAGCCACAATGGGAAATCAGGCACCGGACAAGACAAGTCTTTTGGTTGATCCAGCAGGCATCATCTTATGCTTATGACCACTGCATAGGGAATGTCTGCACTGATGGCTTAAAATAGGATTAGATAAATATATGGATAAGGCTATCAATAGCCATTGGTCATGATGGCTATATATTACCTCCATGCTCTGAGGTGGATTGCTTAGAAGGAAGGGAGTGCTGTTGAGTTCATGTCTTCTTGTGGCCTTCCCAGAGGCATCTGGTTGGCCATTCTGGGAAATAATACACTGACTGGATCAGTTAAGTCCTTTGAACCAGCAGGGATTTTATGTTATACTGTGCATTACCAGTCAAGGGCCCAGCTTCACAAGATGTTATTTGTCCATGGAGGTGCTGCTTGTAGTAAACTACCCTTTGGGGCAGGGTGGGGTAAGCAGCCAGGTTGGTAGCATGTTCTGAATTGCAGCTTTGCAGTTCCTGTCTCCAGAATAAGAGAGTAAAGGTTAAGCTCACTTATTTAAACACATAACCAACGTCTTGTGCAATTTGGCCCTGGAAAATATACTACTAAGAAGAGAGCAAACAAAATTATGGCTCTGAAATTCATTCTGACCACTTTAGTACCAGGGCTGTTTTCATAATGTAAGGCCTATGCTGGCTAGAGCATACATTTGACTGTGTTAACAGAATTTACATGGAGTGCAAACGGTGGAAGAGAGGGTCAAAGACACATGAAAGCAGTACAGGCATATCTCAGAGATATTGTGTTCAGTTTGACCACAAGAAAGCAACTAGCACAATAAAGTGAGTCGCACAATTTGTTTTGGTTTCCTAGTGCATATAAGTGTTATGCTTATAGTCTATTAAGCCACATCCCCTTGGCCGCAGAGGCGGGGGGGGGGGGAACCTGGCTCCAGCCCTAGCCAGCTCCACTGCTTTGGGCAGAAGAGGGGTAGCGGTGGAGGGTGGGCTTTCAAGCAGCTGGGCTGCCTGCAGCGGCACCCACATCCTCATAAGCAGCAATATCTGCAAAGCACAATAAAATGACATACGCCTGTAATTAGGCTTATAGTCCTATGGATGTTTTCTTGGCAGCAACAGCCATTGTTTCTTTGTCACTCCACAGGGGGATGGAATATTGGGAACTTGCTTCTATAGAGCAGTCATAGGCAAACCCGGCCCTCCAGATGTTTTGGGACAACAACTCCCATCACCCCTGACTACTGGTCCTGTTAGCTAGGGATGGTGGGAGTTGTAGTCCCAAAACATCTGGAGGGCCAAGACTGCCTATGCCCAAAATATTATGTTGGAAGACTGAGAAAGGTTATGGAAAATTGACTTAAAATTTACAGATTGTTCTTTACTGAAAGAAAACTACATGAAAATGATGTATAGGTGGTACATAACACCAGTACAATTAGGGAAAATGTATAAAACGGGCTCAAACCTATGTTGGAAATGCAAGGAAAAAGAAGGGACTTTTTATCATATGTGGTGGGATTGTAGTAAAGTTAAAATATTTTGGGAAATGATATACAATGAGTTAAAGAAAATGTTTCATTTAACATTTGTGAAGAAACCTGAAGCTTTTCTGTTAGGGATTGTGGGAAAAGACCTGCCAAAGAAATTTAAAAATATTTATATGTATGTGACAACGGCGGCAAGAGTCTTAATAGCACAAGGATGGAAGAATGAAGAAATCCCGACAAAAGAACTGTGGCAAGAAAAACTGATGGACTATGCGGAATTGGCAAAACTGACATACAAACTACGTGACAAGGATAACTGCGACTTTAAAGATGAATGGGAACCTTTTACAAAATATTTGAAGAAACAACAAAACGAACTGGACTCTTTGGCAGGTTTTGAATAAACATTCACAAAATCTTTATTGGTAATATATAGACAAACTGAGGATTTTTACAATTTTATAGCATGCAGATAAAAATATGTGTTGAGAAACCAGAGAAAGGAGCTGAGAGAAGTCGGGGGGTGAGGTGGGAGGGTGGGTTTCTGTCGGGGGGGAGGAGGGGGGAAATGGGGGGGGGGACAATGTGGATGATGTATCTTTGTTAAAATTATTATGTTGAAATTCCTAATAAAAAAATATTCTTTTTTTAAAAAAGACTGCCTATGCCTGCTCTAGAGGTATGAGATTGAGAGGCAACTGGCCTTGCCTCCCCACCTACAGCAATCACACAAGAATTTCTGCCTAGATACCTCCTGGTCTGCCCATTGGGGCTGAATGTGCCCTTTCACTGCCTAGCTTTCCATAACCTTCTGTCATAGTACCTCTCTTTCCAAGGCTGGGTTTTACCAGAAGAGGGATATCTCTGCAGCTCTTCACTTCATTGGAGTGACCACTTGCCAATTAAAGGTTTTAACAGTAACAACCAAATATCCTAGCAGTGTAGAATGCAGAAGTCTTGTGCTCTCTTGACTGGAAGGTTCTCAGATAGATGTTTTCTTGGCTTTTTAGGAGGCGAGGTTCCAGGCCTTTCTTCACAGTCATTAATGGAGAATTGGTTTTATTATTTTTCTTCTGCTTTTTATTGTTGTTTTCACTGCTGTTTATTCTATTTTTCTGCTTTAAAATATTTTATTACTTTAATTTAATTTTAATTGTTTAGTACTAATTTTATTAGTCAGTTAGGTAGCTTTAGCTGGAAGGAAGAGAAATCTTTAAAAAGTAAATAATTAAACAAAGAAGCAAAGAACAATCTTCTTTTTGTAGAAACTGCAATGGGCCTCCTAGTGACTTTTTCATTTGAAACACTCTTAGCCGATAGGACTAAGTCAGGGGTTGGCAAAAAAAATTAGCCGTGGGCCAATCCACTGTCCCTCAGACCTTGTGGTGGGCCGGAGAAGTGGCATGGGGTGTGTCTGGACTTCCAGAGGTGGCGAGGCGGGAGGAGCCGGAGCCAACGGTGGGCGCTGCCTTGCCTCCTTGCGACGGGAGGAAGAGGCCGAGCGGCGGCAGCTCTGCCAATCAGACGCTGCGCCTGGTTTACCTCAGCATGGCGCAGGGATGTCTCTGCCAATCAAACGCCACTGAGGTAAACCAGGTGCAGCATTTGATTGGCAGAGACGTCCCCGCACTGCGTTGAGGTAAACCAGGCACGGTGATTGAATGGCAGAGCCGCCGCCGCTCGACCTCTTCCGCCGCCATCGCTGGGAGTCTCGGCTTTGTGGTGGGTTCCGGCTTCGTGGTGTGGGCCGGATTTACAAACTGATCTAGCCCGCAGACCTTAGTTTGCCGACCCTTGGACTAAGTGAATGGATATCTTATTTTTGTTATAGTTATTTATATCCCCCTTTACCCCAGACCAGAAATCAAGGTGGCTTATACAAATTAAAACAGAACAGATAAAATACAGAAAGCTAAAAACATATAAGACACAATTTCCATTATTACTTTTTAACTATTGACTAAAAATGTATTTTGTGATGAAGTTATTATTGTTTAGTAATGCAAATACACCTTATACGCCAAAATTGCTTGTACAATAATGGATTTGTAAAATGTACAGTGGTACCTCAGGTTAAGAACTTAATTCATTCTGGAGGTCTGTTCTTAACCCGAAACTGTTCTTAAGCTGAAGCACCACTTTAGCTAATGGGGCCTCCTGCTGCCGCCGCGCCCCTGCTGCACGATTTCTGTTCTCATCATGAAGCAAAGTTCTTAACCCGAGGTAATATTTCTGGGTTAGCGGAGTCTGTAACCTGAAGCGTATGTAACCTGAAGCGTAGGTAACCCGAGGTACCACTGTAGTTTGCTTTGTGAATCATTTGATTAATTTTCAATATTCCAGAAGGCGGCAGTATTCAGGTCAAGCACTGTCAAGTTTGATTTTGGTTAGATTGCAGGGTGGTCCAATAAACAGCCCTTGAGACCTTTTTTTGGCAGTTCTCAGCTACATTTGACTGCCTTCCTCTGCATCCCTCATGCTGCCTTTCCAAAGTCAGGTAAGTGAGGTGCTGGGCTTTGTGAAAGAGCTGTAAGGACCCTGAAAGGGTCCTCGAGTCCTCCAGCCTCCTTCCCAAAGCCTAGTTTGCACTTTCCCAACATTGGGGAGTAGATAGGAGGGGTGTAGGACCCTGGCAGAGCCTTCCACCTCCTTCGCAAAGCCCATTGTCTTGCTTAGCTGGCTTTGGAAAGACAGCATGGGGAGAGGTGTGTGTCAAATTTTCGCTATGCTACCACCATGCAACAAGGCAGTGTGCAGCCCGTGGGTTCTGTGTCAAAGTACTCTTGCAGTCCACTTGGTGGGAAAAGTTGGGCGACCCTGGGGTAAAGTCTGCCTTGTGATACAGAAAGAAATTGTAATTCCTATGGTTCAGTAAATATGCATAACGCTCAGGCTGTACCCGGTTCAAAATTCATCTCAGTAAGAACTGGCTATCTTGAGTTGCCAGCTTCCCCAACGCACCTCCAGCAGGGCTCCTACACCTTTAACAACTGCACAACAGGTGGAAATTCATCAGGAGAAGCTTCCCCCATCACTACTCTTTGTATGCAAGTGTAAGGACAAGAAAATATCTTTACCAACTGAATTTCCTCCAGTCATACAGCCGTTTAGGAACTCAGTAGCCAGGGGGTGCGTTTTTCTAGACACCTGTTGTCCTTCCTTTGCCAGCCCCCTTTATCCATATTTACTAAGAAATAACTTCTTCTTCATTAAATTTGTATACCACCCTTCATCTGTAGATCTGAGCAGTTCATAACATAAAATTACAATATAAAAAACACAAAATATATAATTAAAATAATAACAAAAACGAACTAGTAAGCTTCCTCCTTCCACAATACATTTAAAAGGGCATTAGATGTTAATCAGCCAAAGGCCTGGTTGAAGAAGAACATTTGCTTCGGGCACCTAAAAGTGTAGAAGGTGCCAGCCAAATCTCCCTGGGGAGAGTGTTCCACAAATGGGGAGCCACTGCAGAAAATGCCCGTTCTTGTATTGCTTCCTGTAGAGGAGGACCATGAAGTCTCAGAGGATGATCTCAGGGTCTGGGTAGGTTCGTATAGAGAAATGTGGCCCATGAGGTATTGTGGTCCTGAGACATTTAAATAAGGTTACCCCTCCCCAGTGCCTAAGAAACTTATTTTTTGTTACTACTGAGGTTATTGGGGTTTTTTAAATAGTTACTGATTCCAGCAAGAAACCAGTTTGGTCTCCCTGCTTCACTTACTTTTATTATTATTTGTTTATTCCATTTATATACTGCCCTTCCTCTTAGCTAGTTGGAGTTGTAGTTCAACAACGTCTGGGTTTCAAAGGTGAAGAAAGGCAGTTCTAGCCACTTACATTGGGAACCAACTACAGTATTTGGGATCCGTTTTTCTTATTATTATTTGATCTCCGAAGAGCCGGATTAATGAATAAAAGTAAATAAGGGTTGTGCACCCATGGTTCTCCTCTCCACCACCTCTACATCCTACCCTGCGGGGTAGACCAAGCAGATGCGTTACCAGGGGCCCGAGGTGACCCAACGCGGCTTCTGTCTCCAGCCACGCGTTCCACCCACTTCCGGTGCCTCTCCTTCCCCTCTCTCTCTATCCTCGGCTCCGTTTCCTGTCCTCCGGCGCCCCGCGACTCTTCTTCCCCACTTCTCTGTGCTCGCCAACATGGCGGCGCTGAGGGCTCTGTCGGCGGCGGCACCGGGCATCTCGCCCGGTGCGGCTGCTTCTCCGCGGCATAGACTACTGCTGGCTTCGCTGCTGTGGCGGCCGGCGGCGGGAGCTCACTCGTGGAAGTGGGGGCGTCCGCCCCGGAGGATATCGCAGGTGCGCCGGTGGGACTGAGGCGGGCGAGCGGGCGGAGAGGTGGGCTCGCTCCGCCGCGGGAGGGTTGAGGGGAGGCTGAGGGGCGGGGAACGTCCTGAGGGGACCAAGGTCGGTTATTCCGCGCGGGTTACGAGGGTGTCCCAAGCGAGAGTCTCCTAAATGCGAAGCTGTGTGTCCCAGCCCTGATGTCTCTAAAAGAGGATTAGGTCATTCATGGAGGGTGATAAGGATCAATGCTTTCTTTCCACAGTGGCTATGTCTTTCCTGCACGGCCAGAGGCAGCAATACTTCTGAATACCAGTTGTTAGAAACCTCAGGCGAGGCGAGTCCTGCTTGCGGGTTTCCCCATAATAGGCACCTGCTTAGCTTCTGCGAGAACAGGACTAGGTGGGCTGTTGGCCTGATCCAGCAGGCTCCGCTTATGATCTTATGTAAAACCTAGTTCCTAATGTTTCTTATCACACTTGTTTGTGATCAAGGGACAGCAACGAAACTTTCCTCCTCCTCTTTCCTGGAGTGAATTCCAAGTTGTAAGCTCCTCTAGGTAGGGCTCTGGTGCTTTGCAAACTGATAGTGCTCTTTCGTAATGATAATAGTTGCTGTCGGGACCGTCCTGGGCCTATGTAGATAAGGGCAGCTGTGGATTCTCAAAAGCTGGGCTCGGTGGTAATGTCCCTTTTACTTTTTCCCACATGGTGGAATGTCTGCTGCCTGTGTGGAAATCAAAAGCTGCTGTGTGTGAGAGAAAACTTTGCCCTCTGGTCACTTAGATGGCCCAGACCCACACATGGGCTTTATGGGGAGAGGTGCAGTTGTGTATCTGCAGATGTAATAGCAATGTATTGTACAAACAATAAAATAAATAAAATAACACGGCTCTTTGGGGGCAGACAATCCAGCCATTTGCCATGTCAGCAGACAAAAAAAAAAAAAAAAAGCCTTATTGAGGATCTTATTGCAAATGTAAAATGTTGGTACTAGTATATAATGCCCAGTGCTTTTTTTTCTAGAAAAATAGGTGCTGTATCTCACCATGAAGTTACTGCAGTAAGTGCCACACTTTTTAAAAACAAAATAGAGGTGCTGGTACTGCATATCCTTGAGTACTCCCTGAAAAAGCACTGATGATGCCCTACATAGTAATAATCATATTAACATTTTTATTTTGCCCTTCTTCCCAAAGGAGCCCAGGGCGGCAAACACAAACAATCAATTAAAACATCTTAAAATAATTCTAATACAGTGGTACCTCGGGTTACAGACGCTTCAGGTTACTGACTCCGCTAACCCAGAAATAGTACCTCGGGTTAAGAACTTTGCTTCAGGATGAGAACAGAAATCGGGCGGCGGCAAAAGGCGTGGCGGCAGTGGGAGGCCCCTTTAGCTAAAGTGGTGCTTCAGGTTAAGAACAGTTTCAGGTTAAGAATGGACCTCCAGAATGAATTAAGTTCTTAACCCAAGGTACCACTGTACAGACCTAGCCCTGGGAACCATGTTCTTGAAGGGACACTTTTTCCCATGTGTTTTAAACTGCATTTTACAATGGGAGAATATACCTTTCTTGTAATACCACTGCTATGGATGTCTAGGAGGCTGCATATGTGAGAGGGGTTTCTCTGTGGTGGACATTTGTCCAGACTTTTGGAAGGTGATGGGTACACGTAGGCTCTGTGATTTTATAATGAATAGGGTTTCATCAGATTTTATATTGTTAGCTCCCCTGGGCACCTTTTAGGGAGGAGATTTGGGCTATAAATTTAATAAATACACTCTACGTAACCCTGGGTATCTATTCACATAAATTTTAATTATTAAGTGTAGAAGTAGGTTTCCCCTTTAATGGAAACTGACAGGAGACCAATGAAGAAAGAGAAATGTATCAATCCTGTCCGTCAAAATTAAAAATGTATCACCTTTTACATGTTTTTCACATGACATTTACTTTTATCTACTGTGATATTAGGGAAGCGGGTGGCACTGTGGGTTAAACCACAGAGCCTAGGACTTGCTGATCAGAAGGTCGACGGTTCGAATCCCCGCAACGGGGTGAGCTCCCGTTGTTCAGTCCCTGCTCCTGCCAACCTAGCAGTTCGAAAGCACATCAAAGTGCAAGTAGATAAATAGGTACTGCTCCAGCAGGAAGGTAAACGGCGTTTCCGTGCGCTGCTCTGGTTCGCCAGAAGCGGCTTAGTCATGCTGGCCACATGATCCGGAAGCTGTACGCTGGCTCCCTCGGCCAATAAAGCGAGATGAGCGCCGCAACCCCAGAGTCGTCCATGACTGGACCTAATGGTCAGGGGTCCCTTTACCTTTACCTTTACTGTGATATTGTTTATTTTAAGAAATAGATCACAAAACAAAAGTACATATAAGGGTCATTCCACGCCAAATCACCTGATTTTAATACTCAACCGTGCTCTCACGACTCAGATTTTCTTCAAAAAATTTTTTTCTGTAGATACTTATGAGATAACCTCAAATTAATTTTTTTTTTTTTTTTGGTCCAAAATTGGGCGCAGGAGAATTTTTTTAACATTTCAATTTTTGCTTGATTTAGGCTAATGCGATTTCTGTTTAGGAAAAAAACCTCCTGTTCTGCTTATTTTTCAACCAATTGGGCTTATTTGGGTATCAAAATAAAGCTAATTTTTGTCTCTTTCAAAATAAGGTATAAAAATGGTATTAAGTGCAACAGAAAAGGGTCACCGACCATTCATAGTGAATTTTAGTCATTTTATACCTCGGTAGGTTCAATAAGCCATAGCGTGCAAACCACAACTAACACATGTATCATACCTTTTTTTTTATAGAATGGGCTAACCATGTACTTTTTATGTTTTATAAATAAGTGTGTTTTTGTGGTTATAAAATAAACTGATTTTGAAGTAATTTTTTTAAACAAATATATATATATATTTGTGTGTGTACAGGTTTAAGGTCTCTTTGAGCCTGAAATAACTCACACATTCGTGAGAATAGTTAAAATTGCACTCTCTTATGTTACACTGTCATCTGATGTTATTTTTACATTATTTCACTGTTAGCTTACCTTTGTAGTGAAAGGTTACATCATACTTTTTTTCCAATTTCTGCACTTGTTTGTGGACCTTACCGTCTATGACATACATCCTTCCTAGTTGATGATGAAGGAAATGGAACTTCTCTGATTATATTTTCATAGGGCACCCAGCAGCAGTCATTCTTAGTTGGCCAAAAATAGGTTGGTAAAGGATCAGGTGGATGCATAAACTGAACTTTAGCATGAGTGTAATGTAATGCAATATATTTTATGAAGAATACAATGCAGTATCTTTTGTGAAGGATTGTTTATTACAACAGCAGTTATAAAGAAGAAACGTGAGACACATAGAAAAAATGAGATATACAAAAATTCTCACCATGTCAGTTAATACTTAGTTGGGTAACCTTTGGCCTTCCCATGGAGTGAACCAAGTTTTTTAGTTCTACAGCTGTAATAATGTGAAACCAAGATTGAATTATTGCCTCTATTAATTGGGTTTTATTGCTGGGTTGCTTCCAACCATCAAGTTTCTTTAGTTGGCTCCATAGATTTTTTATTGAGTTCAGGTATGGGCTATGTATTTTGGGGTGTTTTCATTCCCATTAATGACTCAAATTCTGCCCACACTTTTTGCTGTCATACAACCCCAGATCATAACACTAACTGGGTGTTTCACGGTAGGTGTAATGCAAGTAGGATGTAAATCTTCTCCGATTCTCCTCCTCGCATATTTCATGCCATCACTACCAAGCAAGGAGATTTTGGTCTCATCACTCCAAATAACACTGCCCCATTGTTCCACTGTCCAGTTAACATGAGCTTTAGCCCAGTTTAATCTTTTCAACCTTTGTTTGAGAGATAACAATGGCTTTTTCCTTGGAATTCTAGCATTTAGATCATATTCCTGCACTCTGTGCCGAACAATCCTTGCACTCAACTTCACATTACATTGCGCCATGTCATCTTGTATACACCCAGATGATTTTCTTCTGTCATGTAGGCACAGTCTCTCAATTCTTCTATATTCACTTGCTGTTGTGCACCTTTTCCTGCCTTTACTAGTCTGATTTTGTAGTGACTGAGTCTCCTCATACCTCTTCAGAAATTTAGAAATGCCAACTTTGGTTAAGTTTCCACCAATTTTTCTTCTACTTTCTTCATAACTGTAGCCTTGTTCACTTAGTAGTACTGTTTTACATAGTACTTTCTGGGTGACCAGTCAAGTCTTTGCACCATTCCTTTAATTTTATTATGTTTTACAAGCTCAATAAATGAAAGAACAAAAAACCCCCAACCAACTTGATAGCAATCACAAAACACACTGACAAATGTCCTTATTTATGTTGTAATATATAATCCTTCATAAAAGTTATTGCACTACATTCTTCATTAAATTATCTTTCCATTGATATATAATTTTATGATATTACTCCCAAAAAAGTGGTGTTATGAGCCATTATTGCCAAAACAAGATGACACCTGATTGGCTCTCTAAACACTCCTTTTTCTGGTTATTTGGCTATAACTTTTGGTAGAATACAGAAATGGAACAAACTTCATTGTATTACATTCTTCATTAAATTATCTTTCCATTGATATATAATTTTATGGTATTACTCAAAAAGAAAGTGGTGTTAAGGAGCCACCAGACTTTGAAAATACACTTTCTCCAAAAGGTTTCTACAATTTTGGCCACTAGTGTAGAATGCTGCTGCCAGAGTTTTGACTGGTATAGCTAAGAGAGATCATATTGTTACAAAGGTTGCGTACCACCCCCAATCTCTGCAAAGTTGTAGCAAGATTCCAGAGGGTTCCTGGTGCTCACCCAGTGTTGTGTTTCTCTTGGGAGACCGAGGCACAGCGGAGACTACTGTCCTTAAAAAATGTGGTTTATTTTACACTTATTTACACCTAAAGCCTTCAGTGGAGGGGGCAGAGAACATTATCCCCCAAGAGTGTCCCTGATGGCGTCTTTCAATAGCTTCAAGTGAGTTTGGGTCCAAAGCAGCAGCCAGTCATGGCCCCCAGTCTCTCAGTGCAGCCTCCTCTTGTCAGCATTGCATGGAGTCCCCCCCCTCCTTGTTTCCAGAACACCTTGCCAAAAAATACCTCCCCTTCCATCTGTTTATTCCCACTTTCTCCAGACCTCTGTTTCTTTAAAAAGGACACATTTTTCCTTTGCTTCCTGTAACATCCCCCTCCTAGTTCTGCTATTTCTTCTGCTAACTAACACACAGCTGGGGGAAGGACAGCACCTGCATGGTCAATTGTTCTTTAATGGCCCACCACGTAGTTTTCCTTGTGTTCTTAATGATATCACTACCAGTGGTCTCCTGAACAGGAGAACTGATTCAGCTTGTATTTTAAATCTAACATCTTGCATCTTCCCTTTATTCTCCAAAAATCAGCTAAATTCTACCACATTATTTATTTCTGACATGCACTAACTAGCAGTTATGGATGCCCTTGCACCCCCAAACTCTTTTAACCCAGATCTGTAACAATATTATACCAATTGTCAAATAACTGCATTAGCTGCTTATTCACTTTCAAGCCCAATTCAAGAGGCTTAAGTATATCCTTAAAGCCTTAAGCAGCTTGGTACCTGAACACCTGAAGGAGTATCTATCAGTCTGCTCAAACTTTAAGACCAGCGGACAGATCTCTTCTTCACATTCCTCTGTTGGGGAGGCTGAGCTTTCTCTGTGCCACCACCCTGTTTGTGGAATTCCCCCTCCTTACAGATATGTCAGGGGCCAGTACTGTTGTCATTTCAGTGTCATGTGAAGATAGACATGTTTGCTCAGGCTTTTAGATTTTTAATAGGTGAGCATTTTATCCATTAACAAATTCTACATCACAGAATTCCTGGAAAGTCACAAATGTTTAAAGTGGAGTCATAGTTCTTTAAATATGTGGTGTGAATGTGGTCCTAGTCTAGTCATTTCACAGGGTTGCCATTAGGACAGAATAAGTGGGGGTGGGTGGGCTTAGGGAATCATGTACACTAACCTAAGTTCTTTGGAGGGAAGGTGAGTTAAAATATATGGATCCTGTCACTACCATACTCTGCATTTGTGGGTTGATTCAAACAAGTAGATGAGTATCTCAGTCTTGAAAAGAAACTTGAAACAGTTACTACCTCACAAATACTTCATATACCAACATTTACCAATCATTGGTAAAATCAACATTCCAATTTACTAAAGGTTCACTCTCAGGCTCTGTAAGTGACTGTTTCAATAACTGGAACAACTAATTACACCTTTAGCATTCTTGGCACATTTTGTACTCTGAAATGCTTTCCAGAAAGTAAATTATTTGCTCTGGCCTTTTTGCAAACTAGTCAGCGTACAATATCCTCTCCAGTTTATCTGCTTTGTAGTACTGCTCGATAGTTTCAACCCTTGTCTATCTGTTTTATTGACATTTGTTCAGTGATTCTATCCTCCCCTAGCCTCAATTATGAATATTTATTTAGACTAGATTAGTATAAGTCAAAATTCATAGTTGCAGTTGAATAACTATTTAGGCTTTTAAGAATATTTGTTACATCAAATTATACTCATGGTTTAATTAATGACATTTAATGAATTACTTTGCTTAGGGGGAAGAACAGAATGAAAGGAAGTACTACTTCACCTAGCATCACATAAGTAACCCACAGGCTGTATCAGTGGCTGTTCACTGCCTCCAGTATCAGCCTTTGAATACCCACTGATGGAAATCAAAAGTGGTGAGGGTGCTGTTGTGCATATGCCCTGCAGGGCTCCAAATACGTCCCCAAATGCATATTTGAGTAAAAAGTGAGTCCCAACTCTGAAAACAATGAAGCTGTTGAGTTAGATCAGTGGCTGCTTCCAGATTTTGGAACTCATTCCCAAGAGAAGTTAGACTGGCTTCCACCTTGCACTTCTGCTGGCATGTGAAGACTTTCTTGTTCCAACAGACTTTTGGAACTGCTTTAAATTAAAGAACTGGTGCCTGTTTTTATTGTAATTATTTGTATGGTTCTTGTTTTTATCTATAAGCTGCCTTGTGCCCCTGTCAGGGAAAAAAGCAGGGTAGTAGTTGTAGTAGTAGTAGTAATAATAATAATAATAATAATAATAATAATAATAATAATAGGCTATTTGAGGGGAAAGTGCTGAAGCAAAGTCTTGAGTGCAGAGTCCTGTGTGGAGCTGTCCAAATGCTGAGGGTAGGTTCCTTAATAGAGATATAGCATGATTAAATTAGAGATATAGCATGATGCCAACTTGGCCACATAGTATTATTTCTTGTAGCCTTTCTAGTTTTATGATCATTTATATTTGCTTTCTGCTACCTCACCACTGGTTAATCTTTATCCAAATAAAAAAAATGATGAACTTTTAGAATATGTTCAAGTAAATTAACATAGTTTTTAGCTAATTAACTTATTTTAAATAGAACAGTTGAAACAATAGGCACTGAACTAAGATAAATAGGTGTGCCTATTTTTCTCTCCAAAGTAGCTATAATACTCGAAGTATTGAAAGATATGGATATAAGAATATGTCCTTAAATCTGTTTTAGCCAAAGTGTGCAGAAAAATTCTTCAGTTTTGTAAAACAAATTAATCTACCGTATTTTTCCCTCTATAAGACGCACTTTTTCCCCTCCAAAGAGGGGAAAGACGCACTTTTCCCCCTCCAGAAATGAAGGGGAAATGTGTGTACGTCCTATGGAGCGAATGGAGAGCGAGAGGGGTCGGTGAGCACTGACCCCTCTCGCTCTCCAGGCTTCAGGGATAGCCACCTGAAGCCTTTGGAGTGCAGTGGGAAGTCGGGCTGCACTCCAAAGGCTTCGGGTTCCTTTTGCTGAAGCCGGGAGAGCTGCGTCTTGAAGCACGACTGGCGGGGTCTGCGCACTTGCCCCGAGGCAGCTTGGCCGGCTGGGTGGGCTGAGGGAACTCTTCGGCTATGCAGACGAATTGCGGCATTACCGCCTGGTAGCTCAAGCAGATGCCCATCAGCTCCGTGGGCTTGGTGGTGGCGGCAGCCATCAAGCGGGGAAAAGAGAAAAGCAGCAAAAAAGGGAACATCAAGAAAGAGCGCGCGCGCCAGAAAACCAGCACCCCGAAGAGCTCCTTGCGCTTGGGTCTTGCTTTGTGCTGCTGCTTATTCTTCACTGCCTTGAGGCATTTCTCTCTAATGCGAGGGAGACCCGGACGAAAAAGGTGGGAAAGCCGCCGGAGGTGGGGCGAGAGGGTGGCTTCTGCTGCTTTGCAGCCACAAAAGTGAGCTGGGGAGGAGGGTAAATCCTGCTGGTGGCGGCGACTGGCAGAAAGATGCGCGCGCTCCGCTGGTGTCCTCATGCCACGCTCTCTCTCTCGCCTGCCCACACAGGAGCATGCTCAGATGACAAGCAATGCCATTTAAAGGCGGTGAGGCCGCTTCCCTTCCACCTGACGACGACGTAGACGCGCGCTCCCACCACCCCTCTCCCTCGCTGCCATGGGGGGATTGCTCTTCCAAGGAACGGCGGAAAGCCCCGCCAGCACCCACCGCAGAAACGGCCGGGGGAGGGAGCGAGGGAACCTGAAAGGCGAGGCGGGGGGGGGGGGCAAGACGAGAGAAACGCCAAAACACGTCGCCCCTGCCCGCTGGGGGAGGGGGGTTCCTGGAGAAGAAGCGGCCCCTTTTTTGCAGGGGGAGGCGGCGAAGGCAGCCGGGAAAGCAGACGCGGAATAGCCGCAATGGGATCTGCCGACTTTCTTTTTTTAAAACTTTGAAGCAGCCACAGGGGAAGCATAGAATCATAGAAGTCTGACTTCGATCATAGAATTGTAGAGTTGGAAGGGGTCCCAAAGGTCATCTAGTCCAACCCACTGCAATGCTAGGGGATTTTATTAGCAGCGTTAACGGGGGGGGGTTAAGTGCGTGAGTGTGGATTTAAATCCCGCTCCCCACATGGTCTGTTTCCTTCCTCTTTGCAACCCCAAATTCTGGCTGCTGTTATCCCACCTGCACTGGGGATGATTTTCACACACAAACACGACTTAAGACGGCAAAAAGATCAGTGCAGACATACATTGTGTCGCTTGCAAAGCAGCGCTTGGTTTTGTCAAGCCGATTTGGAAGGAAGATGTCTGGTTGGTCTGGGGCTCCGTCACTTCAGCCCCCCCTAACCCTAGCCTTGTGCTGCAAAACAGATCCCCACATCAATTTTCTTGATTTCCCCCCCTAAAAACTAGGTGCGCCCTATGGTCCGGTGCACCCTATGGAGTGAAAAATACGGTAAATACAATTTTCATCATCTGTGTGTTTACTGTCATATTAAATATTGCCACGTTCAAGGAATTGAAAGTAGATCAGAAGCATAGCAGGAGCATATATATTATGCAGTCTGTCCTTCATTGTTTCCAGGAACATTTCCACAAAAAGTAATAGCATGGTCAAACAGTGTACACTTTGGGATCACTTTGGCAGAACTTCGTTGGCAAGCTTATCATAATAAATAAATAAATTCAGGCACAACAGGCACACACAATACAGTGTCTGAGACCTTTGGAGTATAGGTCCCATATTAGTAGATCATATACATTAGAACCACTTCATTTACATTTAGTGCTTGTGTAGAAGGATTCTTCAGTGCTTTTGACAAGTGTGGGGGGAAATACGTAGTAAGTTATTCTCATATATTCAACCAGTACACAATTAAATACAAATTTAAGTGCTTTCCAGCCCTGTTTAACTTTCATGTTGCAGACATTCAGGCTTAAAATACAGTGGTACCTCGGTTTTCGAGCGTCTCCATTGACAAACATTTCAGTTTTCGGACAACATAAACCCAGGAATAAATGCTTCCGTTTTTGAACGTGCCTCGGAAGTTGAACATGAAACACGGCTTCCATATTGAGTTTTCCATTTTGAGGCTTCCATTTTGAGTTTTTGGTTTTCAAATGTTTCAGAACTCAGAACTCCGGAATAGATAACGTTGGAAAATTGAGGTACCACTGTATTTTAAATGTTTTGTCTGGTTTGTCTTCAGTTTGTATGCTCTTTGAGGATAATAGACTAGGGAGCAAAGTAGCCTGGGTTTGTCAAAATAATACTGTCTTTAAGCAATGTAAATATCTCTTACAATAGAGTTATGAGCCACAGTAAAAGAAATAAAGAAAGGACACATTACACACCATAGCTTTTCTGCTAGAACATATTTGACACAGTTGCATCATCTGAAAAATGTGAACTGGACCAGGGTTCTGAAATGCAGACAGCAGCATGGTTAACAACATGTCATCTTATGTGGAATATGATATATATGAAAAATGATTGTTCTGTGATCATGCCCGCAGTCATAGGTTAAGGTCAGTTTGAGAATCACTGGGTTATATGAGGTTAATATGACAAGTACGCAACTGGCTACCATCCCCTGACCCTAAACCCATTACACATTAGAAACTACCACGAGGATTGATGGGACTTGCCAGGAAATGTGTGTAAAATAAGCATGTAAGGGGTATTTACTAGTCAAGGATAATGAACAATGGCCCTACAGTGAGGTAACAAGGAGATCTGCTAACAATGTAATCCATGCTGTTCAGCAGAAAATCCATATATTTGTTGATAACCCAAAGCTTGAGCACAAACACCCAAGAAACAAAGAAAATTCAGAGGGAGTGGAAATTCAGTGTGTTTGATTGGAAAAACCCCCAGATATAATTAAAAGAACAAAAGCAAAGTTCTTATGACTATTATACATTTTTATATTGTTATTTCCAGTAATATAAAGGGGATGGCGCTTGTTTGTTTTTTCCTCTTGGGTGTTTTTCTACCCTTCATCAGGGAGAGATCAATATAGTTGGTTTTTCTTAGGGTCTTACCTGCTAGCCTTTTTAAAGAACTGGCGAGGAACTACCTTGAGACAAGTCCTCTATGTCCTTGTTCACATACCACATTAACCAGAGCATGAAAGAGCAGCATGCTGCTGCTGGGGGACAAGCTGTTGTCTGACTGGTCAAGTAGAAGCCAAGGTTTGCTCTTGGCTTACTATTTATGGTTTGTTTGGAGAACACAAATCATTAGCCTGGGTTTGGACTACATGACAAGCCAGACCATGGCTTTTTCCCTAGCAGCAGTAGTGGGGAAGGAGTGAAGCACCTGTCAGCACACAAGAAGGTAAGTGTTTGCTGGATCAAAGCAAAGACTCATCTAGTCCAGCATCCTGTTTTTGAAGAGGCTAAGCAGATGCCCATTATGAGAAACCCACAAACAGGTCTTACCTCTCCTGAGGTTTCTAGCAACTGGTATTCAGAAATATTGCTGCCTCTGACCGTGCAAATAGGACATAGCCATTGTCCAGCACCCTGTTCTCACGGTGGACAACCAGATGCCCCAATGGAAAGCCACAAGCAGGACCCAAGTGAAAGAACTCTCTCCCCTCTTGTGGTTTATATGCACTGTGGTTTAATGAGATGCGCAAACCAGACCTGGGAGTCAAAATCCCTAGCCTGGGTTTTGTATATAGATCATAGCAAGTACAAGAGCATGAAAATATGCTCTGAAGAAATGAGTTATTTAAAAAAATTAAATTCACATGGTATAAGAGGAAGGAAAGATTAAGTTGGAAGATTAAGTTCTGGAAGTTGGCCTTCCAGAACACAAAAGAACACAAGCCTGGTGGAAATACAAGTGAAAGAAGGGGAAGGTTCATTGCCATTTAGCATTTTAAATAGTTAGACACATTTTATTTTACACCCGCTCCCCAGTCAGTAGTCTTCATATATTCTTTTGTTCCTTTCCAGAAGCAAATGGTCTTTAAGTGTGCTAGGATGTGCACATGAAATGCTTGGAGTATTATCTGTTCATGGACTTTGTGCTCTTGTGTACCAGAGTCTCTTTTATCCTTTTCAGATTCCACCAATATTAAATCAACTCCCATGGCAAAGTTCAGGGAGATCCTCTTCAAGACAACTATTGGATGCTGCAAAGGTAGGATTGAGCTCTTCTGTTAGTGAAGAAAAAACAACAACCTGCCTAGACCATCTTCTGATGTATGCCATACATTTTGCTTAATCTGCATAACTTTTATCTTATAACTTAAGAAGAAGAATCCTATTCACTGGTTAGGGACTGTTCTTCTTTCATTCTGCACGTGCACCATGAACATTATATTAATAATAGGTGCCAAAAAGTATTCACTGGGGAAAATATTCCTTAAACAGGCACCACAACTGAGAAGTCCCTGCCTCCACCCATCTCACCTCAGGCAGCTGAGACAACCAAATAAGAGCTTCTGAGCATAACTCATGTAAATGGGCAGGCTAATGTTGAAATGGGCAATCCTTCAGTTATCCAGGTCCCATACCACTAGCCCATGAGTAGGCAAACCAAGGCCCGGGGGCCAGATCCGGCCCAATTGCCTTCTAAATCCGGCCTACAGACGGTCTGGGAACCGGTGTGTTTTTACATTAGTAGAATGTGTCCTTTTATTTAAAAGGCATCTCTGGATTATTTGTGGGGCCTGCCTACTGTTTTTACATGAGTAGAATGTGTGCTTTTATTTAAAATGCACCTCTGCATTTTTTGTGGGGCATAGGAATTCATTCATTTCCCCCCCCCCCCAAAGAAAATATAGTCCGGCCCCCCACAAGGTCTGAGGGACAGTGGACCAGCCCCTTGCTGAAAAAGTTTGCTGACCCCTGCACTAGCCCTTCCATTTGTGATTGGAAATAGGCTAGGATCTTATGGAGGAATTTTGGCAAGGCATGTTCCCACTCACTGTCACAGCCTTGGTTTACAACCATAATCCACTCCAGAGGTCTGTTTGTAAACCAAAACAGGTTGTAACCCAAGGCGTGCTTTCGCCAATGAGGCCTCCCAAAAAAATTTGTTCATAATAAAAAAAAAATGGGTTGTAATCCAAAAAAAAAGGTTGCAAACTGGGACACGCACTTCCGGGTTTGATGTGTTTGTAATCCAAAATGTATGCAAACCAAGGTACCACTCTATTTTGAACTAACTGAAATTTCAAATAGTCTTCAAAGGCAGTCCCATGTAGTGTAAATTACAGTAGTCTAACCTGGAGCATTACCAGAGTTTGAGTAACTGGCTAACCTGTTTCTGTCTAGGAAGGGCTGCAGTTTACGTAAGAGTCCTAACTGGTGAAAGCTTACTACATGCCATAGAGGCCATATGGGCCTCCAGGAATGTTATTGGATTTTATAAACATCCACAAGCTTCAGGGGAAGTGCAGTTTCAACTAGACAAACCACCCAGCAGCAGTACTTTTGTCTTTATCTGGATTGAGTACCAATTTTATTGGTCCTTGTCTAGTTCATTATTTATGCTAGTATATTGTACATGATATTGGGACGCGGGTGGTGCTGTGGGTAAAACCTCAGTGCCTAGGGCTTGCCGATCATATGGTCGACAGTTCAAATCCCCGCGGCGGGGTGAGCTCCCATCCTTTGGTCCCAGCTCCTGCCCACCTAGCAGTTCGAAAGCACCCTTAAGTGCAAGTAGATAAATAGGTACCGTTTTATAGCGGGAAGGTAAACGGCATTTCCGTGTGCTGCGCTGGTGCCGGCTTGCTAGAGCAGCTTCGTCACGCTGGCCACGTGACCCGGAAGTGTCTCTGGACAGCGCTGGCCCCCGGCCTCTTAAGTGAGATGGGCACACAACCCTAGAGTCGGACACGACTGGCCCGTACGGGCAGGGGTACCTTTACCTTTACCTTTATTGTACATGATCCCAATATATTATACAGTCAGTAATACAATTATGCATATCTATGGTGCTACCCTATCTGGAATACAGTGTATAGTTCTTTTCGTCTCACCTCAAAAAGGATACCATAGAGATGGAAAAGGCTCAATAAAGGGCAACAAACATGATCAAGGAAATTGAACAACACCCTGTGAGGAGGGGTTGCAGCATTTGGGTCTTTATGGTTTAGAGAAAAAACAGATTAGAAGTGACATGACAGAAGTTTATAAAATTATGCATGTCACAGAGAAACTGGATAAAGGAAAGCTTTTCTCCCTCTTTCATGACACTAGCGTTTGTGGACATCCAATGAAGCTGAATGTTGGAAGATTCATAACAGATAAAAGGAAGTACTTCATACAGCACATAGTTAAAACTATGGAACACAAACCAACAGGAGGCAGTTATGGCCACCAACTGGATAGCTTTAAAAAAAGAATTAGACAAATTCATGGAGGACAGGGCTATCAGTGGCTACTAGCCACAACAACTATGTTCTACCTCCACTGTCAGAGGCAGTATGCCTCTGAATACCAGTTGCTGGGTATCACAGGTGGGCAGAGGACTGTTGCCCAAATAGCACCACCATGATTGGATGATGCCTGCTTTGCAGGGTGTTGAACTAGATGAATCTTTTGGGTCATTTCCAACTCTGCAATTCTATGATTCTACCCCAAGCTGAGAGTACATATTATACCTAAGCTTTAGAGAGTCTAGCAGTTCCCAAACTACCCTGAACTTTCCTTAAATCCAAAAGGCTTTCTTTCCAAAATCTATCAACTGATACTAACCATGCCCACCACTAGTGTTCCTTTTTATGTGTTTGCCCAGGACACTGACCCAGGAAACAGATAAGTGGAACAGAATTTGAAATTCCCCATGCAAGATGACAAGCACCATCAAATTGCTTAAATTGCAAAACAATGAAAAATTCTGAGAAATGTGGACAGCTCTGCATCTCTTTCCACATCTTGTATAAATGTCCAGTGGCACAAACTTTTATGGCAACCAGATATTTTCCAAATGTGGAACAACACCGGGCTGCCCATAAACAATGATCTCAAAGTATTCTTAATGCAGGCCTCTGTCACTCGCTGTCAGCACAAGTAACTCCTGTTCTGTCTACTTTCGTTAGTCAAGATCATATGGGCAAATAGTTGGAAGCATAACCTTCTTCCCTACATGCAGGGATTGGATGAAGATAGTTTTGAGAGAGATTGTGGTGGCTCATAAAGAGGCTTGCCAGGCAAGCTCTACTAAAGTTGAAGCAAACCAATGAGCATTTCTTGCTCTCGTTCTCTTTCTTTTTTACATTGATTATTCAGAGAAGAAACATATGATTAAAATTCTAATGTATTTTTGTGGTCAAAATTCAGTTTGTTCTGAAATGCATTTACATACCTCCACTTTGTCATATTGTCCTTCAAGCCTGAGCTGTCGACTAAAACAAATGGAGTAATGTTTGGTCTTGTGTCTTGCTTCCACATGAAACAATATATAGAGGAGTTACAATCTAATGCTTCATTTTACCTACTTCACAAAGTAAAAAAAACAAAAAATCCTTTTAAAATGAAATGATGGAAGAAATAGCATGTTGTAAATGGTAGCTACTTATCTAAACTTACTGGTAGCCTTTAATATTGGGGTCTCATAGCTACATTATAGGGATGCTCATTTTCTGAGCATTTTTAAATCTACAAATGTTTCTTCTGTTTCTACATGATCCTGGCATTTTCATACTGCTGCTAAACACCATGAGACACCATCAGGGCTGTGCCATTGAGACTGTCCTCTCCCCTCTCAGGGGGACACACCATTCTGCCCTGTGAGAAGGAAAGAGGCAGGCTGGGAGAGGGAGTTGTTTGTGTGTGTTTGGGCTTGCTTCAGAGTGAGTGGGAAAGTTGTAAATTGTAGAATTGCAAAGCACCTAGAGTGCCTTGGCAAAATGACAGTATATAAATTCAATAAATAATAAAGCCTTCTAATAATATTACTACTACTATCAAGTGTTTACAGTACCTACATGGAACAAATACCCTGGAACACAGATTTGCAGCCCAAATTGGACCATAGAACATGGATTTTAGAATTTGAGATGTATTTCCCACCCCACCCCCAATCCCAAGAATTACAGTTGGGAGTGGTTTTAAAGAAGTACAAATAGTGAAATGCATATTTAAAGCTTTCAAAAAGCATTAACTCAGCCTAGGTTTGATATATCCACATATTATGTGGTCTGGGATCTCTGACTGAATATTTATTCAAGACACGTTGCTATATTTTCCTTTATAGTGTTTCTTTCACTATAACCACCTAGGTCCCTTCTTCAAAGCAGAATCAATGATGTTTTCTGCAATGAAATGCTGTGAATTAATGTTTTCTAGAGCACTTGTAAGCATTTCTTAAGGTCTGTATAAGTGCTTTACATGGTTGTTACGATGCTTGCCAAATTGCTCTTGCTGTTCTGGCATAATAGAGATGTTAAGCATTTTGTTTAAAGCCTAGTTGCACCTTGAAAAAGGAGATTCTAAATGTAGCATTTCTCTCTTTACTTGAAAATGGAAGACCTGGAGTAAAAAACTCTGTGATACTAGTTCATCAAGCTTCAGTTATGATACATTTTTAGAGTTTGTAGTTCTGAAATTTATTTTCTTTGGAAAGCTGCAGTGGTCTTTGGTCAAAAGCAATAAAACTATAGTATTAATTTTCACCAAATGGAGTTCAGGGTATTTCTTTCAGAGGATACTTGGTTCTCTGAAGAATGCTGCTGCTGCTCAGAATAATTCCTATATTATTTCATAGGGCTTTTATTATATTTATATTTTAGGTGCTGTTTGGATTATTACTATTCCTTTCCTCTGTTTTTAATTATACTACTTAAGATCTGAAACATTTGTAAGCAGCCTTGAGGTTAAACACCTCATGGGTGTTCAAATAAAATACATGCGAGTAATTGCTTTATGTGTTGATGTACTACAATGGTGGGAAATCTCAGGCCAAGGGGGACAAAATACAGCCCTCCATCCCTTTCTGTTTGATCCTTGGCACACTCTCCAGGCCACCTCCCTCCTTAGCCACACACGCGCGCACACACACACACACACACACACACACACACTGCACCAACTATGCTTCATATTCCCTTCTTGATTTTTTTGGGGTGGGGGCATGACTGCAATGTGTCCTTGAACTTTGATAATGCCCTTGTATTTGATAATGCTTGTTGCTTGTCTTGATGGAGGGTAGATAGGTCATGTGTGTGAAGAAACTAGGCTACTGTACAAAGGAGAAATTTAGATTTGTTTCTCTGCTCACTTTTCCTCTGGCTCCTCCTGTCACTGGCGTATGGCCCCAGAAATTTGCCTAGAAAGAATTGTGGCCCCCACCCCAATCTGCAAACAGGTTTCATGCTTGCTGCAAAATGGAAATGTTTTCTACAAGGGAAATACTTAATGTATAAAGCAGCTATAAGCAAATATGTTTAGGCTAGTTCTAATACCCTGTCCTCCTGGGTTGTCATGTGCTTCACCAGCCAAGCCTCTTTGATGCAATAGAAGCTAAATAAAGCTCAACTTAAGTTACTAGTTGAACTCATTGAACAGTTAGTCTGCAATCTGTTTCATCATGATTTTTAAAAAAATGGTTGAAGTCATTGTTCAGTGTATTCTTCCTCACACAGAATCTTCAAGGGTGGTCTCAGACTGATAAAAGAACATGCTGGCATGGACATGCAGGTGGAGGACTCCATTCAGATCCAAAGGAAGGGGTAAATATTGCTCAGCCCATTTGTTTCTGTATAACTCCACAGTATAGCACACCTTTTAACTTTTGTTGGAGAACAGAAAACTTCTGGCAGTTTCTCAAAATGTTCCATCAAGTTTATTTGCTAAACCACTCTTACCATAAATAATTTTAAGCTTAGTCAGTAGAGCATGAAACTTTTAATCTCAGGGTTGTGGGTTTGAGGCCCACATTGGGCAAAAGATTCCTGCATTGCAGGGAGTTGGACTAGATGACCCTTGTGGTCCCTTCCAGATCTACAGTTCCATAATTCTATGATGAGGTGCTTCAGACCCTTTCCCAAAAATGTGACGGTTCCACCCTCTGCTTGGTGGGTCGTGCCATTTTGACTATGTAAACATCAACATTCCTCTTCCACTTTCCTTGCATCCTCAGCTATATCAGAGCACTCCTGGTCCTCAGGGACATGGGGTTTTTTTTTAATTTGTAATATTTATTTCTGCTTGACAGTATACCTTCCAGGCAGCTAACTCGTCTGGTCCTTATGTAATGTTAAGCTATGGTTTCTTTAGCTATAGTGTGATTTGCTTGAACATCCAAACTTAGCCCAGCAGCCTAACAATAGTTTGTTACCTGGCAACAAACCATGATGTGAAGCCACAATTTGGACACAAGAATGCATGAAATAAAGCATAACTCTGGTTAAAAGGTTGTTTTGTGTGGAAGCCACTTGTAACAGATTCATGTATCTTTTAACTGTTTTTACACTTGCATTTAATTTATTTCTGCTTCTGTATTCTGATTAATCTGGACCTTTGCTGTAAATAATTTTTTTGCACCTTCTTTTCCTTGATCTTCCCTTTGCCCTTTTTAATAGTTCATGGCAATCCACTTGCTGCTTTGCAACTGCTTTCTGTGTTTTCTGTTGCTTTGTAACCAGTCAGGTTCAATTCCTTGGGTTTGTCACTGTTGTTTCCTCCTGGTTCTTTCAAACAGCATTCCTTTGTGACGAACCAGTAGCAATATCTAATTTGAACAAGTAGCTGTCGTATTAACTGGACGTTTCCATTTCCTGCCAAACCATTAATGGTGCTCAAACATCTCTTCTCCCTGCTTTAAAATGTGACGTTGTGTCTACCTAAAAGGGAAGGATTTCTGTGTATGCTATTGCTCTTCTCTTTAGAGTGAGGGATAAGCAGAAAATTATTTTTTACCAACTTGAGGCTTATAAGTTGTCAACAGAGAATATGTATCCTCTGAAGGATGTGTGAAAGGTACTTATAACGGGTTCTGCTCTCAAATACTTTAGATTGTCAACAATTTTAAGTGTATCTTAACACTTGGTGGGGACAGGGTGGGTTATGGGAGAAAACAGCAACAGAAAAGGAATCTGAATTATTTTTTGCTTCTATGCATTTTATTCATTTACTTTAATAATGTCACAGTCTTGAATGCAACTTGGCAGTATTATATCAAAAGTAAGATTCCCCCCCCCTTGATATTGAAGAAAGAAATCACTGAGAGAATACATACAAATAACATTTACACACTCAAAAATCACATATTCCTAAGCACTGCACTTTGAAACCATGTGATATCCAGTTCAACCAAAAAAGCAGATAGCGCACAAAAGAAGCACAAGTGCAACATCCAACATTGCCCTAATTTTTTACTGAAATGAAGAGAGAATAATGCAAGTGGGGCATGGCTGATTAGATGTTTTTGCTAGCTATGATCATCCCATCACTGGCTTGATGTAGGTATAACGTTGCCCACTGGGGAGCCCTCCATAGGCTTGTGTGCTTCTCTTCTGCCTGAATTCTCACCCAGGTGTTCTCCATCTCTTTTTGCTTTGGTGAGGGTTGCCTCTGCACAACTATAGTAAATCCAAGGTTCAGTTTGGAAATCTGATTGTGGTTTCTAGCTATGATTTGGTAGTAGTACAGACATAACCTGCCCAGAGGTTCATCTGGATAGTCTGGCTTTTAACTGCTGTCTTTGGACCAGTCCAGCTGTATTCTGTCAGGGATTATTTAGCTGGGACATTTGCAGTGCAGATGGTCGGACTACATGTCCCTTGAAGACCATTCTAACGCTACAGTTCTATGATCTATAATGCTAGCTGGCCAGTAACACTGATTAAGAGATCAGGATTAGGTTACATGCCTGACAGTGGCAGAGGAAGGGGGATGCGGTGAGTGCAGGCCACCCCAGGTGTCATCACTGAGGGGGAGGTGACAAAAATAGGACTTAATTTTTTTTAAAAAAAATTGGGCTCATGAAACTTTTTAGTTCTGTCAAGAAACGTAACAAAATGTGGCTGGCACTGGCCGCCACACTGCGGGGGCTGGCACTTACCCTGGGGCCTGCAGTGTGCCCGAGCCATGCGTCTCTCCTGGGACTGATGTGGTGGCTTGGGTGCCTGTAGGCTCCTGCAGCAGCATGGGACTTGTGTCTGCCCTCCGCCTCTCCCTCAGCCACCCTACAGCTGAGGGGGAGACAACGGAGAGGCTCCACGCAGCTTGCCCTGCCCCGGCTGCAGGATGTGTGCGCTGCACCCGGCACCCAAGCAGCTAGCTACACCACTGATGCCTGATCCTCATCTCCCAAATTGTTTCTGATCCTTGATTTTAATGTCTAAATAATAATTTTTTGTTTATACAAACCTGGAGCATTTGAATACTAGCTTTCAGAACCCAGGATTAATCCTAGATTCTAAAAGTTAGTTTTTGAATGCCCCCTACTTTATGTGCAATATGAGGGAGTAGCATATGATCCTGCAGCCTGATCACTAAAGCCTGGTTACTGGGCAGCTAGTGTTACATCTGTACAGATCCCTACTTCTCATTGTTGCTGTAGGATTATGATTTTATGGTGAAGGAATATATATAGCAAGGTTTTGAAATGATGCACAATTTTATGACGTATAGCATTAGCTTGGGAATACAAATAGAAAGTTGTTTTTGGCTTTTATACTTCAACATAAAAAAATCTTGGCTATCTTTCAAATTTACCTGGCTTTAGAAAGGCTCATAAAATAAGAAATGAGCTGTGATTGATTGGTTTGAGCTTTAAAATATGGAATAACACAGAAGCTATACTATAGCGCTTCAGTTGGCTGTTAAACAGCCTCATAATGCATGATTACCCAACTTCAGCGCTATTCTGCTAAAAAGGAGTGGTGACATTTTGCACACTATTAAGCCATCTAGAACAATTTTCTTGGTCTTAAGTGTGACATTCCTGTATACCCCTTGAAAGAATTCCCGGCTATTCTGAATATCCATTTGAAGAAGGAAAGTATATCTCTGGGTTGAGATTTTGCAACCATCATTTGATTTGTCTTCTGCAACATAATGTTTTCTCTCTTCAGATGAAAGAATTACAAGGTGGAAAAATAATCAAAGCAATGCTTTCCTACGTGTGGCCCAAAGATAGACCTGACCTACGTGCCAGAGTTGCCATATCACTAGGATTTTTAGCAGGTGCAAAGGTAAGAGCTTTTTCATCAATTTGAAACAGGGTGCAAAGCCTTTACAATAAGTGCAGAAACCGGGAAAGAAAGAAAGACTGGCTTAAATCAGTTCATTTGGATTTTGTGAGCAATTTTAAAAACGCTTTTAAAGAACTCTTAAATGTCTCAGCCGCTGTATCCTAAAAAGGTAGCATTTTCTGACATTTCATCATAGTCTTTGTGACAGGCCTTGAGTGCCTGCAGTACTTTTCCATTAATGGGCTAAATACTTCTGATGAAGATGTTGAAGGCTTGAGCTCATGTTACACTTACAGACGCCTTACCATTGTAAAGCAAGACTGGATGCTCCATCCCTCCTGCTTCTGCATTCTGGTGCACAAACTTTGCCTGCCTTCGCTGCAGTTTAGCGAACTACGGTTGGCCTCAACTGGGATCATTGTTGATCAAGGCAGGGGTAGCACCTGGTGTAAGGATGTGTGTAATTCTGTGGCCTTTTTGGAGTTATTTAACTGGATGGACATGTAGGGACTGCTTTTTATGGTAAGCTGTTCACCTGGAACTGAAAGTCATCGCTTCCCTGGGCAATTACAATCCCCCATTTGCATGAGTTTATGGTGGCACAGTGAATATGTAACTTCTCTGCATATTGGTGTACTCTGAACAAATCAATTGAGATGTTGATATCATCTGTGTTTTCCAAGTGAAAGCAGTCTTCAGATAGATCTTTTTGTTGGCATTTTTGACATCTATTGAAGACCATCTTTTGCTATAGAGCTTTCCTTCACACTGGCTATCACTAACTGACATTGAAGCTAGATTTCAGGATTGCATATTAATCTTGGTGGTATTTAGTAAATCTTATTGTAATGATCCATAGGATAAATGTCGGTTCACTCTACCATAACCCCTTTGCCAGTGGAAATATAGAAATAAATAAAATATGCCAGAATAATGTAGATATATGGTGATCTACATTTTGAGGGAACAGTTGTATTCAGTGGCTGTCCTGCAAGAATTAAGAGCAGGCATTTTCTCCCCCTCTTCATATTCAGATTTTTTTGCCTAAGGGACTACTTATGAGCCCACCAGTTACAACTTTGCATTCAAATCCAGTGGCTCAAGATTGTACATGGGGCAGCTTTGATTCAAGATGCAGAAATGGATTTGTAGTTGTGTTAAATTCCCTGTCACACGGAGGAAAGCCTATGTTAGTGAAAAATAACCTTCAGTCTAAACCAGGTTGAATCAAGCACCCTCTTATCTACATTCAGCAGGTTTGCTTTGCTAGGAAAGAAGGGAGGAGGCTGCAAGGAGGAGACACAGAGATGATTAAAAGAGAGCACTTGTAAGACACACTTGTTTCAATTTTATTTTAGCTGAACAGGAGTGGAGCAGGCAGCATTTTTGTTCTCAGTATGTTTAGCATGATAGCTGCCTGCCTTCAAGGCTAGTTTTGTGTGGCTCTTCTTCAGATATTTTGGTTAAGATTCAAAGAGCACTTTGGCTCATGCAAAAAGGGCCCCTTCTAGCCCAGTAAAATTTTAAAAAATATTATTATTTTATTTAAAAGCTTGATAGTTTTGCCTTTCCATTTGCACAAATCTGCTCAAGGCAGCTCACAACAAAATAAGTAACACCTCAACAAAAGAATATGGTAAGCTAATATGGTACAGCAATAAAATAAAATAAAATAAAATAAAATAAAATAAAATAAAATAAAAAACTGGTGGTTCAACAAAATGACTTCCACAGAGCCAAACCCACTGAAAAAGGAAAGTTTTTGAAAGGCAGCAGAAAACCATTGGAGAGGAGGCAAGGTGAGCCTTTCTAGGTAGGGAGGTCCGTAGCACAGGCATGGTCACAAAAAAGGGCTCTCACTCCTGTTCCTACCACCTTCTAACACACCATGCAGAAAAGCCTCTTTAGTAACTCATAATGAACAGGCAGGTTTATTATTACTATTACTGTTACTATTACTATTACTACTACTACTATTACTATTACATCTGCCCTTCAGCCAAAGTTCCCAGCATGGGTTATAACAGTTACAACAATAAAAACAGTTGTAGGAGATAGTCCATTAGGTATTCCTAGGTCTAAGTTGTTTAGGGCTTTAAAAGTAATAGTCATCACTTTTGAATTGTATTTAGAAACTGACAGGAAAAGCAATAATCCAATGAAGTTTGAACTAAGGCATGTGTCATCATGGTCTTTCTAGAAACAAGTGTAACTGGCACAACTGTCTAGACCTGACATAAGCATCCAGAGCAAACTCTGGACTCTCTCAGTGGTTTCATGAAAATATTAAATGGCACAGGTGACAAGATGGGATCCTTGTGGAGGACCATATTCCAAAAGTGCCAAATAATAATTCCTTCACACCATCTTCCCACTCTTTCCCACTATCCTTTTGCCTCTTACGTTGACTGTAAACCTTTTGCAAAGTGTGTTCATTCTACTTAATAGTGCTTATTGGCATTCAAGAAATGTTTCAGTTATTGCATTAATTTCTCCAAGGAGCACAAGGTGGCGTACATAGTTCTCTTCCTCCCCCTTGTATCCTCACAAGAACCCTATGAGGTAGGTTAGGGCTGAGAGACTGTGACTGGCCCAAAGTCACCCAGTGGGTTTCATGGCTGAACAGGGATTGATTGCTGTAATACCAAATGCCTTGCTAGAATAATATAAATACTCATATTATTCAGACACACCATCCAGCTTGGTCCTGGCAAATTCTTCAAATAAATTTGGAATTAAATTGGATCTTGTTGCAGATTGATGTATGGTTAATATTGTATAGAACATCTGCTTCTGAGAATTCAAGCAATGTTCCTTCCACATTGCTGCATTCCTGTTTCTTTCCCCCCAACTGACCTGTTCCTTAGAACATGCTGATTTAAAACAATTTTTAAGGGTTTCTATTGCAATAATAGGACAGGACTTTTCAACATGAACTGATGTAGCACAATTTTCTTGGGATTGGTTTTTTACATGATTGGCAAGTTTGTATAATCAGACCTCCCCCCCCCCTTTTTTTTTTTTACCTACCCAATTGTACACACCCACCCCAGACTACTTGGAGAGGGCCCTTATCACTTCTGTAGTAAAGAGGCTTCTCTAAAATGGGATGGGGGGGAGACATATCAGTTTATTCTTCATTTTTTTAAAAATTAAAAGATCACCATGTGCTCCAGTGCTGGTGTGCAGAACTTCCATCTTGAAAAAGAAATCCCCTTCATCAGAGTGTGTGCTGCTAGGATTGGAGTGGGCTGCTTTTCCTTAGGGCTAGGAGGATGTGGGGATCTATTTCATCAGGATAAGGATTTAGGGACTATCCACTAAGCCTTTTTAATTAAAATATTACTATGTGCTTAAATACCAGTATACAGTGCTTTTGAACAAGGAATAAAAACTTCATTGGAGTAGCAACAGCCATGGATATAATGGCAGGGGGAAAGGGATGGGCAGGTGGTGTACGCTTTGTGTGGGTGTTCGGTAATGAGATTTCCACAGTTCTACCATGACATTTGCCATATATAAAAATGGATGTGTTGTGGTTGTCGGGAAGTCCCCAAGAGGTACAATTTTAGACATTTATCTATAAGCTGTCATGTCCCCAAAATTCTATTCTGATTCCTGACAATAGTGACAGCCCAATTCACAGTATAGGTAACACTTGGAAAGCAGAGATGACACTGGTAGTCTAAATTGGTTTAAGCCCTTCATTTTAGCTGAGTTATGGATCAATGTCTATGTATCCATAGTTGTTGGCACCCGCCTGTCTCAGCAGACAGAGGAGTGTACCTTTGAGGGTAAAGTCAAGCTGTTAGAAGGCTGTAGAGATTGATACAGGAGAGGCATGTTTTGTTGCAGCTGGGGCAAATGAAGGCGTATAATTGTGCTGCTGCAGATGCACCATGGCATTTCTTCTGTCTGTGCCTCTCAGCGGTCATTCCTCCTCTGATCACTGCAATGGATACTCTACACAACTCTGTTGTCTCCAGGCTGTCTCCTGACATCCTGCCTAGTTTCTCATAGAACTGGTCCGTGGTTTGTATGCCAGAGCACATAGTTGGAGCATAGATGCTCTAGATGTTAGCGAACCAGAGGTAGTTGAGAGGTGGAGGGAAAGCAAGCATTCTGAGCCCTCCATCAGTGGTTCTATCACAGACAGAAGGGAGTTCCTTACTGCAAAGCCTACACCATTAATACATGATTCTTTTGGATGCCCTCACCAGAAATGGTGTAGTTTTTCTCTCAGAGGCTGCCATTCAAACACCTCTGGTCTTCTGTGGAACACCAATGTCAGTGCTTAGCGTTTTCAACTCATGGTCAATGATAGCCATCTTCTGTGAGTCATTGACCTGCAGCAGATCAGTGGACAAGCCAGGACATAGCGCCCTGATGCTCCAGCTTGCTAGGTGCAAGAGGGTTTCTTTCTTTTCTTTTTTGCCTGGTGCAACTTTATTCTTATTCTTATAGTGACAGCCTAATTCACAGTATAGTTAAGACTGCAGCACTTGGAATTAAGCAGAGATGACACTGGTAGTCTAAATTGGCTTAAGCCCTTCATTTTAACTGAGTTGTGGATCAAGCTGTATGTATCCATAGCAGCTGGATTAAATTTGTGGGTTTGATGAGCTGCTGTCACCTCCTGTCACATTTGCAGTCACTTTTGGCCTTTTACTCTTGGGCTGAACATCCATTACTTATGAATCAGGCATATCTTTCACAGTCTCTATGTTGCTGCTGACTGTTAATATTGTACATTCAGAAGGGGAACTGGCTGTGCAAAACATGCATGTGTAAAGCCATGGGAACTTAAAATGGATGATCCACCTGCTTTGTGAGTACCTCTTACCTGTCTAAGCAACAAGGTATATGTCAATGTGGTATCAGCCATATGAACCCTTGGGGTCTACTAGCTTCTCCCCCCACACCTCCCCACACCCTATTAGGACTAGATTCCAATAAAAAAACAACAACTCTGCTTATCTCCTACTTCCCACCCATCTAGCTGTCTTTAGTAGTAGTGATCTAACAGCAATTTGTACTACAACTCCTAGACATGCCCAGCTCCTGGTAAAGTGGTACCTCTAGTTACGAACTTAATTCGTTCCGGAGGTCCGTTCTTAACCTGAAACTGTTCTTAACTAGAGGCGTGCTGTTGCTAATGGGGCCTCTTCCTACCGCTGTGCCTCTGGCACACAATTTCTGTTCTCATCCTGGGGCAAAGTTCTCAACTCGAGGTAACTTCCAGGTTAGCAGCGTTTGTAACCTGAGGCGTTTGTAACTCGAGGTACCACTGTACTTGCATTTGCACAGTTGTTACACTTTCAACCTGCCCCATCCTTTAAGGAGCTCAGAGTAATCTCTTATGTTGCCACAGCTGGTGCAGAAGTAGTCCTCTGGGTTCATGTATTCCAGCCTCTTCTTTCTCTTCTCCCTACACCAAGCCTTGTAATGTCCTTATACTTCCTAGCCCTAGTTAACAGCAAGTCCCTGTTTGCCTTTGCCTTCATCATGGACAATGGGATCCATATGTATAGAGTAGAGGGAGCTGGCAGTCCTGCAGCCTAATCCATTAAGGGTTGGGAACATTACACCTTCATTGTACCAGTAAGACAGGCCAGGTTTGCTTCATAGCGTCAGTGCATCAGGTCCCAGACAAATGTACCAATGCTTGTATACAGCTAGACTTGCAAAATTTGTTTGCTCCATCTGCTTCTTCCCCTGCATCCTACATACTAGCAAACCAAATGTTAAACTTTCCTTGAGGTTTAAACATTCTGCTGGAAAAATGGGTTTAAAAACCTTGGGTCTCCACGCATGCTAGGTATTTGTTGAATTGATACCAACGTGTTTTAAGTGAAGACCAAAATGAAAGAGAGGCCATGTTGGATAAAACAAATGTGGGTGCATCTATTGTGCTGGAATGAACAGGAAATACCTAAAAATCAAGCGTTATATGCAAATTGTTACTCAAGTGATTTATTTTCACCTAACAATCTAGGTGCTTATACAAAGGACTCCCTACTTCTCCTGTACCCCATAGCAAACAGTGATTGAAGATGGGACTCAAGAGTCATATGTAAATTGTTGCTCAAGTACAACTTTCTGCAGGAGAGCTATATGCTGATGGAGGCTTCTGCTGGACACCTTTATAACGCATCATAGCTCTTAAGATATCACAAGTGTCAGAAAGACTCCATGCTTCACCTGCATGTGTGTACTCACTTCAGAGCAGTACCTAAGAAACAGTATTTGACATTTTAATAATGTAACAGCCATTACCATGCAACTGCTTACCCACAAGTAAGCAATGAGAAGAATGTGAGCCATTTTGCATTTTTATTCATGTGGTCCAGAAATGAAAGCACTGAAGTACCTCAGAGGGATAGAGTTTAGGTTCATTTTTCATCTGTTATTTATCTAGATGTATAATTTATGTCATAATTTGTTTCTTTATCTCTAAGATCTGCACTAAAAACTTTAACTACAGCATTCTGTATCTGTTTAGGGTCCAGTATAGGAGCATTAGGATTCATTCTAGAAAACTTGATAGTCTCCATATATAAGCATCAGCTGATGTCCAAAGAACATCATTGCTTTTGCTTGCTTGAGGAGGCCTTAATCTTTTATTTCTTGACTAACAACATGTTTTCTCCAAAACTGCTTTGGAAACGCAGGGGTGTTTCAAAAGCAATTTCTATTATGGTCTGGGCAGCAGTCAAGAATTGCTGTTTGAAGAAGAAATAGCATTTAAAAAAAATCTCACTGGGTACATCCAAGGACTTTTGGGCAAAGCATGGCTCGGAATTCTAGCCATGACTTATTTTAGTATCTAATTCAGCCTTCCCTAACCTGATGCTCTCTCTATGCTGGCTGGGGAGTTGTATTCCAAAACATCTGGAGGGCACCAGGTTGTGGAAGTCTGATCTAATCTTTCACTCTGAGGGTAAGAGATGGTGGAACTAGCAATTTTGTTTTGAACAGGACTGGTGGGGAGAAGATGATGAGAACACAAAACTGGTTGTGAATGAGATTTAATAACATGCTGCCTTGTTCTGATTCATGTTTTTACCCTCTGGGATTGAGAGAGACCATTTTTAAACTTCACTTAAATACTTAGGGCTATATTGGAGGGTGGAGAAATTCTCTTGCAAAGCCGTAGAGTGGTGCCAATTAATTTAATTGCAGGTTGAGATAGAGGTTTGAAGGAGGCTACAGCCTCTTAGCTTTAGAAATAGAACTTCAGCTATTCCAAGTGTAGCTCAAATCATACCATGTAGCCTGCTTTTGAAAAGTAGAATGGCTGCAGAGGGACTTCAAGGGAATCTGCAGCAAATCAAGCCAATCTGCATTAGAATAAATTTCATTTCTACTGAATAGGCTCCCCTAGGAAAAGCTGTGTTATGTCCTCTAAATGATGGTCATCACAATGTAACACAGATGGAGCAGCATTGTGGTTATTAAAACTAAAAGGATGGATGAAAATTGAGTTTCTAGGCAAGTAACACCAAAGGGAGTTGGTCAACTTGTGTTTTTGTTTATCTGAAGGGCATATTTTGAAATTAACATTCCAGAGCAGTGTCTTTCCTTAAAGCTTTAAAATCTATTTAACACACCCTCAATTCTTTGGAGCTTTGTATCTGTGAAATTATTTTCCAGCCATAACAACCAGTTTTGTTTGTTCCCTATTGACTGTGATTTGCAGTCATGGAATCTCAAGTCTGTGAATTCTTCAGGGGTTTGCATAATTCTGATTTAGGTTAGTGCCTAAAGGCAGAGCTAGACTTCAGGCAGCAGTGGTGTGGGACACCTGATTCATGCCAAATGGTTGCAAAGCAGTGAAGCAGATGGGATGCAGTTTTCAGGGGTGAGGAGGAGTAGAGAGAGAAGAGGACAATAACCCTGTCCTTAGAAGCAGTGAGATCTACTAAGGAAGCTATACTCCATGTTCCATTCTTTTCTGACGTTAGATTAATATTTACTATGTTTAGACCCTTTTCAATTATGGCTCCAGAACTTTGCAATGCCATTCTTCCGGCAGTCCATCTTGTCTTCCTCTTTTGCTGTTCGTTGAAAGCAAACCAACCTGGAATATAGGATTTGGTATTGAGCAAAATAAGTCATTGGTAAAAAAACAGTTTATAAACTGTTGGTATTGATAAACCCACACAAATCATTCAAGCAAGTGGTGTATCCTTGTGCACAATATAATGACTGAGGAATAGGCGTCATAATATAATAGAAGAGGAACTGTGATCTTAAGGAAGACCATTTTGTAGCCTTGTAGTAGTTGACTTTTGCAGTTCATAGTATTAATAGTTCAAGAAATAGTGTCAGCCATAGTCAAAATTCAGTCAGATGCAGCCATGTTCCTGCAACTGCAAGCAAGAATTTGGGTGCGAGTTAGGTAGAGAGGCATAGTAATTTTCATTCCTTTGCATGATGGAGCCAACAAATTGCTTGATTCAAATTTGGATAGAGCCACCATGGGTGATGTTTTTAATAAGCTGCAAACATTTGTCAGCTTGTACCTTTAACTGCAGCAGAAATAAAACATTGCTCATCACATTATGACATTACACAATAATGCACTAAGGTGTTCTGTGTGCTGGGCTATGCGCACTGTGACAGCTTTGCAGATAAAACTGCTCAGATAACTCAACTTTAGGCACATCTTCTATAATGAAAGCATCTAGATCCTCCTTGTGTGCAATTTTCTTGAATGAATCTCATTTATGTACTGCTGAGGTTGGGGACAGAAGTGCTTGGATTTCTGACCAGCCTGCCCAATGTTATCCTGTCAAGATGGGCAATTGCATCGTATTCTATAAATATTTCCAGCTGAAATGCTCTGAACTGCCTCTGATAACTCTTCATAGCTTAATGGCCCTATAAATATATGCTGAGCCTTGCTGCTTTCTGTTTCCCAGTCTTGTCATCACTTTAATGAGCCCCCCAAATGAACTGAAGCACATTCTCAATGAACTGTTTAGTTGAGATGAAAACTGATTTTTATAACAAGCCAGTGGGAAGGTAGCTTTTCTGCATTGGGGTTGCAGACCTCTTATTGCAGTGCCCATACCCCTGAAATCTGTAGAGCTATCCTTCTAAGTAGTTAATAGCAAAATACCATAATTGCAGCTAATTCAGGGAAAACATTTATACTTTATAAATAAACATTTTAGTACATCTTGCATAATTGCTATGTTTTGTGCTTTTTAGGCCATGAATATAGTCGTTCCCTTCATGTTTAAATATGCAGTAGACAACCTCAACCAGATGTCTGGAAATGTTCTGAACCTGAATGATGCACCAAATACTGTGGCAACCATGGCAACAGCTGTTCTGATTGGATGTAAGTGTGATGCTTTAATCTGTTGACAGGTGCTGACTTTCTTTGGGAAGGTTTTGGAACATTAACGAACATGACCTTTTCATTGCTAACTCCGCTAAGCATCTGGAAGTTTCCCCCCACTTTGTTCACTACCAGTTCCTGTAACTTGTTATTTATTTATTTATTTATTTGTTTATTTAATACCAGTTCAATACTAAAACAATGGTTATAGCAGTAATCTACCATAATAGCAATTCATTCTTTGGGCTTGTTAAAGTCAGCAAATGAAATGTGGATTTTAAAATGATTGAACTTTCGATTTAGTAAGTAACACTGGCAAATATGTGAAATAAAATGTTCCATCTATTAAGGACTTATTGAGGAGCAGCAATATATGCATCTTAATAGTTTTTGTTTTTTTAAACCAGATGGCATCTCACGAGCTGGGTCTGCTTTATTTAATGAGGCTAGAAATGCTGTATTTGGAAAAGTAGCCCAAAACTCAATCCGAAGGATAGCAAAGAATGTCTTCCTCCACCTGCACAACCTGGACTTGAGTTTCCACCTGAGCCGGCAGACTGGAGCATTATCAAAAGCCATTGACAGAGGAACAAGAGGCATCAGTTTTGTGCTCAGTGCCATAGTATTCAATTTGGGCCCCACCTTGTTCGAAGTGGCACTTGTTAGTGGAATTTTGGTATGTATGGCTTACCAGAAGCAACAGTAATTGTCACTTTTATTGATGTACATACAGCGATGCTCTGTTATAGCAGCAACTTTGTTGATCATTTGAATGTGATAAGCACTAAATTGGCAAGCGTTGGGTATTGAGATAGTTAGGCATAATTTGGGGAAGACAGTCCTGTTGGCCAAATTGGAACCTCTGTCAGGAAAAAGTTGGCCCACCTCCTGATGTGCAGTCTTGGTGTAGAGGACCGGGCCAAAGTTTCTCATGCAAAACAACTCTCCTTCAAATGGCCACACTTTTATCTGAATGGCTTTAGAGGTTTTTCTGCTAAATATCAGACCTGGAACATAAAGACAGTAGATGAGAAAGTACACAGTGCATTCCCTAGAAATCAGATGTCATATTTCATTCACAGAATTGTAGAGTTAGAAGGGACCCTAAGGGTCATCTAGTCCACCCGGCTGCAATGCAGGAATCTCAACTAGATCACACATGACAGGTGGCCATCCAGCCTCTGCTTAAAAACCTTCAAGGAAGGAAAGTTCACCCTCTCATAGGAGTCTGTTCTGACATGTTACTACAAAGCACATGCATCTGAATCAGCTTTTGCATTGAGTTCAGTTGTCAGCTTTGGTGTGTCCCTTCACACATCCATATCATTGAAGCAAAAAATCTGAATAGAGCAGTTCATGTGCAAAGTGCATCTGTGTATATTGGAGTACATGCAGGGCTGCAGAAATGACCGTAAGTTTGTACTATGCACATTTGGACCTTTCAACTGCCTCAAATGCAGTTCAGCACATTGTCTGCCCCAGCCTAATGCCTGGTGCCCTCCATATCTTTTGGCTTACTTCTCCCATCAACCCAAGCATCATATAGCTATGTTCACTGGAACTATACAGGGAGCTGTAGTACCAAACAGCTAGAGGGCACCAGAATGGGGAAGGCTGTTGTATTAAGGAGATGGATTACCCATATCACTATTTTTCTTTCAGTCATCCCACTGTGCTTCTGGTTTATCTTTACAGAATCATTTCCCTTTTATTTCATGGTACATCTTGTCAAAACAGATTTGTCTCTGTCGGCATTGTAACCAAAATGATAGAAAACCATTACTGACATTCTCCCTTCTTTCTCTTTCCTCGTTCAGTATTATAAATGTGGCGCACAGTTTGCACTAGTAACCTTGGGGACATTAGGAGCATACACAGTATTCACAATAGGAGTTACACAATGGAGGTAAGGCATTTTCCCTAACTGGTTAGGATTAGCTGGTTTATAGAGCTGTGGTGAGAACAAATCTATATGCAAACCTTTTGTCTTGCAGAACTAAATTTAGGATAGAAATGAATAAAGCAGATAATGATGCAGGTAACGCTGCAATTGACTCGCTGCTGAATTATGAAACTGTGAAGGTGAGCCATTAACGTTTTTAACTTTTCATATTGTTATTAAGTAGGATAGACTTTATTATCCATTTATGTATCTTGATTTTACTCAAAAGGAACTTGTATCTGCTTCCTTCTATTAATAATGACTTGCAGAATTAACCCCAGCTTATGTAGTTCTCCAGAATTTTCATATATTTTGTCTTTCAGTATTCTCTCCATTTATGCTATTATCTTCAAACAAAATGACATTTTAGTGGAGAAATATAGTTTTATAAACCTGTTGGTTATCTGGGTTTGCTTACCATTTTTCACTTACATAAAAAAGATCCTCCTGTGTATTTGGCCTTGTCCCTCTTGATTTGCTTTTCAAGTTGCTTCCAAAACATGCTTTGAGCTAGTCATCCATGGTATATGTGGTGTAGTTGTGAGAGGATCAAATGTAGGACCAGGTTCAAATCTTCACTTGGCCATGAAGCTCACTGTGGGACAGCAGTTGCTGTCCCACAGCCTAATCTTGCCTCTTGGGATTGCTGTGGCAATAATATTATGGTAGGGTGGGGGAGGATCCCTTGAGGAGGAAAGGAGATAATATTGTGAATAGTATTAGAATAAATTTAAAATGTCATGGGTGCAAGGCAGTAGCAGCTGTGACTGAGTAGCTGTCGGCCATCAAGAACAGGAGACAGGCAGGCATGACATTTGATGCGTCCAGAGCTGGAAAGTCGGGTGCAGGGGCTAGGTTGCTGAAGCAACAGTAAACTGCTTTATAAAGTGTTTAGCTAGTTATGTACTAAAACGCCCTCCCCCAACCCAGTACCCCCTGCCACCGCTTTGGATTACAACTCCCATAAACTCCAGCAAGCCCAGCTGTATGAACAAAAGCAATCTCAAGAACACCAGATTGGGGAAGGCTATATTAAAGAATAATTTATGAAGTACAATCCTAAGAATGCTGAGACTCCTTACATTCTTTCCCCCCTTACTTACTAGTATTTCAATAATGAAAAGTATGAAGCTCAGCGATATGATGGGTTTTTGAAGACCTATGAAAATGCCTCACTGAAGACTACCACTACCTTAGCTCTGCTGAACTTTGGACAAAATGCTATATTCAGCATTGGGCTAACAGCCATCATGGTACTGGCTAGCAAAGGAATTGTTGCAGGTACCCTGTTTGTGTCTAAAACTCATGTCATTTTTATGTTGCATGCATGCTTGGATTTTTAAAAAATGTATAAAGTCCTAAAGAGATGCATTAAATTCCTTAATTGCAAGCAAGTGAACTAAAAGACTGAATGACCTTTTAAATTTTGCTTTCCTTGCAAACAACATCTGTCTGTCTCTTGAGACAGTTCTTCAAATAGGTTTACTTTAAAGGACTATATTTTGGTTTTAGAGCAGCTTTATCACAATCAGACTGCAGGGATTCTTAAAATTCTGGAAAAGAATCAGTTCATTGGTTGTGGAAATCTTGTGGCTGAATCATCCAGATAGCACCTAGCATTCAGTACCACAAAGTAGTTTTTAAGAAGTATCCACTTCTTGGTCATGGGTGGAAATCAGCTGACATGTCCTAAGCAAAGACAATATGTTAGGATTGCATTTAACTTGTGCATTTACCGTAACTTGTTCAGTTTCAGTCATATGCTGTTGAAGGCAGACTACTTGAAATTGTGCACATTAAATTCCAGCAGGGTGGAAAACTTAAAAGCTCTTTTTGTGCCAGGTTCACTTGGGGTGAACCTGCTCTTGGAGGCTCTTACAGTATCTTGCCTGGCAATCTGAGTTCCTATAAGATCTCACACAAGCATCCCTGGGCTTCCAGAACTGATGTGATGTGCAGGCCTTGCCCTCCAAGCAAGGCAGAGAACTTAAAAACCATCTAGAAAGTAACTTGCACTCATACCTTAAAAGTAGAGGATTAATTAACTGGATAAATTATACCATGTTTTGAAGTTGCTGCAGCTTGTGTTGAAGAGCAGAACTAAATGACTAAAAAGTGTGGTAAATGTTTGGCAAGCAAACATACTCTAAGCCCAATTTTTTTCTTTTTTCTTTTTAATTAAGGTAACCTAACAGTTGGCGATCTGGTAATGGTGAATGGACTGTTGTTCCAACTTTCTTTGCCCCTTAACTTTCTGGGAACGGTGTACAGAGAGACGAGGCAAGCGCTAATAGACATGAATGTCTTGTTCACACTGCTTAATATAGACTCAAAAATTAAAGTGAGTATTGTGCAGCAATAAAACTGTTAGCCCTTTATGCAAAGCTAAGCAAGGTCTGGTATGATTTCACATGGGATGGGGGAACTACATGTTGAGATTCCTGCATTGCAGGGGTTGGACTAACTGACCCTCGGGGGTCCCTTCCAACTCTACAATTCTATGATTCTGTGATTCTACCCATAAAATGCTGCTTAAAACCTTTGCCAAATATGTTAGAATGAATTCAGTCACCTTGTGGAGTTATTTTTGCTTCGTCTGATAGCTATTTTTCTTCTGAAAAGGGAATGCTACATGTGAGGAACTTGTGTTTGTTGTTTTGGAAGAATGGTTAGCGGAGACGCTTTATTTGAACCTGTGTCCCTGAAAGAGCTTTTCTCCCCCCCCCCTTTTTTTTTAAAGCCAAAGGAGTGTGTTTGTCATTGTCATACTTTGTGTGCATGCCAGGCATTGAAGTATTATTTTATCACTTTAATTAATGATGCAGAATTTATTATGCAGAACGCTGCCTAGAAGCCAGACTATTATATCAGAAATTCTTGAGCTTTATAGAAAAAATAGGGGGCGGGGGGCGGGTAGAAGAGACTCTTACCTGTGTGACTGAAATGGCTAGGTTCTCTCCCCCCTTGGAGAAAACAGTGGCTGTAGCTTGCACTGAATTAGATCCATTGTTTAGCTTGCTAAACTCTTTGAAATACCTTCTGGGCAGTGTGTAAAGCAGCGCTTTTCTTTCAATAGGATAAAGAGCTGGCTCCACCCCTGCAGATCACTCCACAGACTGCTACCATCGCCTTTGATAACGTGCACTTTGAATACCTTGAGGGGCAGAAAGTCCTCAGTGGCGTGTCTTTTGAAGTCCCTGCAGGAAGAAAAGTGGCCATTGTAGGAGGCAGTGGGTCAGGGTGGGTAAACAGATGCGCAAAATTCTGCATCATTGATTTATTTATTTATTATTTTAAAATCATGATAAAGATACACCAAGCAAGTAACCCAAGTTATAACTTTGTTTCTCTTTTTTTGTTTTTGTTTTTGTTTAAAGGAAAAGCACAATAGTAAGATTATTGTTTCGCTTCTTTGAACCTCAGAAGGGGGAGATTTACATTTCTGGCCAGAACATACGAAACATCAGTTTGGACAGCCTGAGAAAATCCATAGGAGTTGTACCTCAGGTATTGTACTACTTCTCCTTTGGAACCCATAATTCCCTGCAAACATCTGATGCTGTAGCCACAGCTACTGCAGTGTTGATTTGAAAACAGGAGCAATGAAGCAGCTCAGGATGACAGTCCAGGGCACAAAGGAAGAACAACCATAAAGAGTTTCACTGAACATGGGCAAGAATTACAGTTTTCTCAGTCTTTATTTAGATTTACAAACTGCTCTTCAAACACATTTTCAGGCTGTCATACCATAAAATATTGCAACATAATGAAATAGCCAGTAGACTGAAAATAAGCTGTAACAGCTACTCTGTAAAAGCGGCATCCAAATAGCAAATCTGCAAGAGTTAAAGCAAAATAAAAAGGTCTTTATTTAGCAGAGTGGTCTTTCAGCAAGCCTCTGTGGGGAGAGAATTCCAAAGCCAGGGCACCACCTAGTAGCCACCTCAGATGATGGAGGAAGCCAAAGGGCCTCTGATGAATAGAGAAATACATGCAGGACCATGTGGAGACATAAGATCTTCCAGGTACTGCTGGTTACTACTTTTAAAAAACATATTACGTATAGTTATTATAAAAACACTAAAAATACCAGTGACATGGAAAATAAGAATATTTGGTAGACAGAAAATAGAAATTGTGTCCAGATCTTGTCTTCACTTTTCTAGTATGTTTTGTCCATTTCAAGAAACTTAAATGAAGTTTTTGAGTGAGTTCCACGAAATTTTATTGCTTTTTATTCCACCACTCCACACAATGCTGCCCAAGGCAAATAAGATAAAGTACAAAATAAAATAATTCTATAAATTACATAATAGTATATAGAAGAGCAAGCAAGAAAGCAGGGTCATAAAACACATCAAAAAGAAGCAGCAGAAGATAAAAGGGCTTTAATCACCATCATAGATGAGGCCTAAATGGACTTCTCCAAAAAAGGGAGTTGCAGAGCCTGTCAATAAAGGCCTCCTTGGAAATCCCTCTGTTCTCTGTGGTTATGTAGTTAACAGAATCTTGGTCTCTTCACTGGCAGACTCACATCTTCTTTTAAGACATGCTTGCTAGTTTCTTGCTTATGTTTTTCAGGTATCAACTTAGATCAAGTTTATTTGACATTGCTGTTTTTAGTTTGTATTTTTGCCCTTATGCATCTTACCATCCATTTGTTAATGTGATCTCATTTCTTTGTGTTTTTGTATCATACACTGTTGGTTATCTTACCTGCTTTCATTTAAGCAGCATAAAGGTAGAATTCAAATATTTTAAAGAAAGTGAAAAAATGCCAAATTTTCATGGTTTGGGAAGCTCTGATAATTTAGTAGTATCAGAATGTGAATGAAGCTATTTCAGCTAACCCCATGAGCTTTCGGTGCTGCATCTTAAATTACATAATCATTCTGATTTCTGCCAAAACAACAGAAATTATCTATTCATTCTTGTCTCTCACACACCCCTTTTGCTTTCTTGGAGGAGAATTATCCTTGCAGCATCTTTAACCTCTCATTAAAATGTCACTGGAAATGCTGTTGCCTGAAGGGGCTTAGTGAAAGGTTCCAGACAATTCACTATTGGCATTTCAGAAAACCCTCTGACTTGTCAATTGGCATTTCATGTTTTGAGAGGTATTGTTCTGCTTGCATGTGTCCTAGGATTCTGTTCTCTTCCATAACACCATATTCTACAACCTCTTGTATGGCAACATGAATGCCTCTGCAGAAGAAGTCTATGCTGTTGCAAAGCTGGCAGGAATCCATAATGCTATTCTCAGAATGCCCAATGGGTACAGCACACAAGTGGGAGAGCGAGGTCTGAAGCTGTCAGGTAGGTTGACAAATGTGCAACTTTTCTCCATGTTTCCAGTCTTTCTGCTAGCCTCAGGCTTATTGCACAGTATGTAGCTCACCCCAGCTTTTGGTAAGGTGAATTGCTTTGCAGTAAGGTAAATGCCGAGTTTATTATTAAATGGTAGTCCAGCTGCCTTGAAATTCCAGCACTGACCATGAAGTCAATTAGAAGCCTGTGGTATAGAGAGCAGAGAGCTACCATTATTCTTCATTCCTCCCCACTCCCAAAATGTAATGTGGCCAATAATGCAACTGTGTTCAACAAAATATTTAACTAGAATTTAGATGATTCATGGCTGCTCTGTGGAATGAAAGATGTATGCTTTTTAGTCTTAGGCAAGTATAAAGATACTTCATAGTGCATCTGATCTGAGTAAAAATGATTCGCTGTAAATGTGCAAATTCTCTATAATAAATACTAGCCTCTGTTAGGAGGTCATGTTGAAGATGAAGTAATTTAAAGACTGGAATTATTTTATGGTCCTAGTAATGTGCTGTTTGGCTGTGTGTAAATGTGAGGATTAAATGTCAGAATTGGGCTTAAGGGGGATGACGATAAATGGTGCTGGGTTGGGAGCCCATTACCCCTATCCTCTGCCCCTTAGCACTGCCCTTTTAGCTTTTTTGCGAATTTCTTGGATATCAGACATGTTGGTTTCATGTTAAAGAAAATAGTGACTATTTGTCTTGTGGGATAATATCTCTAGGATTCTTTGGCGTTAAACCCTAAATACATTGTTAAGGAGGGGAGCATTCTGTTGTAAGTAGATATTATGCAATACTGGTAGATTTCCTTTTATTTGCTTCACTCTGCTTGGTTGAGTTTTTTTTCTTCCATAGATTGGTAGGCAGAAGGAGGCTAGAGTGCTTGGTTTTTATTACATATTTGGGGGGGATTTACGACTACATGGCTCTAAAGTGTTTGAGATAGATGAACCTGAAATGAAGGACATTGATCTTTGTACAGTGTGAAATAACATCTATCCCATGTCAACAATGTAAATTGTTTTTTTTTTAAATAGTTTTTAATACTGCACAATACAGTGTTTTAATATCAGTGTTGTGTTTTAATTGCAGTAGTAGTAATAATAGCCCTATTCAGATGCTGAGCCCTATGTAATGGAAACTGTAGGGTGCCTGAGACTTCTAAGAAACAGATTCCATCTTCCACAGCATAGTAGTGGCCGCAGGAGATTTGCTTCTCTAACTGGAGAAAGCTAATGCTGCATATTTCATATAATTAATATGCAGCATTCCTACAGTGGTCCTGGTGTACATCCTTTCAACATAAAAAGAACAGGGACTTCATTAAAACTCAAGAATTGAATAAGCTAAAAGGAAACTGGCTCTTTTTAAATCCACTTGTTTTTAAAATATCTCCAAGTATTTGCTTGCTTAAGTCATGAATCTGTTTGTAGTACAGTGGTACCTCTGGTTACAAACTTAATTCATCCTTAATTCATGACTGAGGGCTGCTGCTGACACCACATAACACCAGTCTTGAAAGACCTACATTGGCTCCCAGTACGTTTCCGAGAACAATTCAAAGTGTTGGTGTTGACCTTTAAAGCCCTAAACGGCCTCGGCCCAGTATACCTGAAGAAGCGTCTCCACACCCATCGTTCTGCCCGGACACTGAGGTCCAGCACCGAGGGCCTTCTGGCAGTTCCCTCACTGTGAGAAGCAAAGCTACAGGGAACCAGGCAGAGGGCCTTCTTGGTAGTGGCGCCCGCCCTGTGGAACACCCTCCCTTCAGATGTCAAAGAAATAAACAACTACCTGACATTTAGAAGACATCTGAAGGCAGCCCTGTTCAGGGAAGTTTTTTATGTGTGACATTTTAATGTATTTTTAATCTTTGTTGAAAGCCGCCCAGAGTGGCTGGAAAAACCCAGCCAGATGGCTGAGGTACAAATAAATTATTATTATTATTATTATTATTATTATTATTATTATTATTATTCCGGAGGTCCGTTCTTAACCCGAAACCATTCTTAACCTGAAGTACCACTTTAGCTAATGGGGCTTCCCGCTGCCGCCGCCACCGCACAATTTCTGTTCTCATCCTGAAGCAAAGTTCTTAGCCCGAGGTACTACTTCCGGGTTAGCAGAATTTGTAACCCGAAGTGTTTGTAACTCAAACTGTTTGTAACCCGAGGTACCACTGTAGTTACTTCCTCCTACATGTACCCAGCACTTTTTATATAATCACGTAACTGGAAGAATGATCCAAACTGCTTCCACACCTGCAGAACAAAAACACTGGATGACTTGAGTAAACAAAGGTGGAAACAGCAGAGAAAGAAAAAGAAAAAATCTCTGGACCCGGGGATATCTCCTTTAGTGTTGAGTAGTGTGAGGCCTCAACTGGAATTCAGCAGATCAGGCATTGATTTCTGATCAGAAAAGGATTCTAACATTTCTGGTCCTGAGACTTAAGTGATCCCAAAGAACCAAACTTGTGCCACCGCATGCTCTGCAGTTTCGAGGTCTACCTCACTCCTTCAATCTGAGCAGCTCATTACGCAGCTCATAATTTTAATGATAGAGGAAAACCACTGTGCGCCCCCCCCCCCAGTAGTTAAGTTCTCCCTCCTGCTTACTGGCCATTTGCTCCCTCTGCTTACAGGTACAAGCTGAGGAAGGCTGGGCCTTGTCAGCATTGGCACCCAAGTGCCTGCCAGTTAGCTTCTCTAATGTCTTAATTTCACAGGTTGGGTTCTAATAGGTCACTTATGACAACAAGAGAGGCCATCAATATGGCAAAAAAGATACATTAAGAACATGTCAGTGACTTTCTAAATGTATGATGCCAGTCTCCTCTGGGAATCAGTTAACTTATATTTGTGACTTCCTAAATGTTGAAGTAGTTTCTTTCCCAAATAGGTTTTATCTTACACAATATCAAACTCAGTAAATAAGGATTTCATTTGTAATATATCAGTGGCTCAGTGCTAATTTCTTCTCTTTACAAAATAGATTTTATCTTGAATAATTGCAAACACAGTAATAAAAAGTCCACTTGTGATATACCAGTGGTTCAGTGCTCGGATGTTGTTCCAGTAATCCAACATTTCGTTGCTAAAGAGCTTAGTCATTGAGCTGTCAAAATCAATTGTAACAAAATTGCACTGAATTAACAAGTAGAATTTGTTGTTTAGTCGTATCCGACTCTTCGTGACCCCATGGACCACAGCACGCCAGGCTTCCACTGCCTCCTGCAGTTTGGTCAAACTCATGTTAGTAGCTTCGAAAACTGTCCAACCATCTCATCCTCTGTTGTACCCTTCTCCTTGTGCCCTCCATCTTTCCCAACATCAGGGTCCTTTCCAGGGAGTCTTCTCTTCTCATGAGGTGGCCAAAGTTTTGGAGCCTCAGCTTCAGGATCTGTCCTTCCAGTGAGCACTCAGGGCTGATTTCCTAAAGAATGGATAGGTTTGATCTTCTTGCAGTCCATGGGACTCTCAAGAGTCTCCTCTAGCATCATAATTCAAAAGCATCAATTCTTCAGTGATCAGCCTTCTTTATGGTCCAGCTCTCACTTCCATACATCACTACTGGGAAAACCATAGCTTTAACTATACGGACCTTTGTCGGCAGGTGATACGTTTTTGTGGTATTTTGCTTTTCAGTACAAGAATGTCCCGTCTGTCACATGCATCTACTTTCACTTGGGCTTTATGAATAATATGCTGGGGATATCCTCTATTTGCCAGGGCAATCTCTAGCTCACCTGCCGCTCGTTGTACACGTCCAAAGTAGGGGAGTTCCTTTTTCTCTGCAAAAATTGGCCCAAAGGTAGGTTACGTTTCAGATTGTATGGATGATACAATTTAAAATGTAACAAAGTGTTATGGTCAAAACACTAATGAGGGGAGTAGTTGATTCATCCAAGATAAAAAGTCAGGAAATCCATTGGCATTTTTAAAAATCAAAAAGATATCAATGAACCTTTGATAGAAAGCCAGATCTGAAGCAAAAGGATTATTAGGACTGTACACAAAGCAATGCTCAAAATCAGCCATAAATAAATTGGCTATGGAAGGAGCCATGGGACTACCCATGGCAATACCCTTCACTTGGAAGACAGAAGGTATCTCTATATATAAAGAAATTGTTCTCTAAAGCTATGTCTAATAAGTCCATAAGAAAATGTTTTGGAGGATTTGAAAAGGTATGTTGTTCTAGAGAGTCATACACAGGTGCAGGCTTCCTCATGAGGTATATAAAGATTTAAAATCCAGAGTCACGAGGAGAGAATCAGAAGGAATTACCACTGATTCAAATTGTTGAACGAATCCATGGAGTCCCTAATGTATGACGGAATCTTAGGTATGAATGGTGACAGAAAATAATTTACAAATTTAGCCTAAGGTTCCAGAATGGAATTACTACCAGAGACAATAGGTCTTCCAGATGGGGGAAATCCCGCCTTTTGAATCTTAGGTAAAATGTAGAAACAAGGTATTCTAGGAGATTAGTTAATCAAATAACCACCTTCTGTAGATGTAATGTAATTTAAAGCCAAACCATCCTGAACAACCTGTTTAATAGGTCTGGTGAACCTGTTAGTGAAGTCACATGCAATGGGGATGTAATATGTGGTATCAGAAAGTTGTCGCTGTATTTCAAAATCAAAGTCTGTGGTATTTAAATATAATGAAAGTAAAACTTTCTTCATTTACTACTTATTTAATAATGATGAATCTTTCCCTTCATTTCATTATTGTTAGGTTTAAACCTTTAAACAGTGTGCTTAAAACCTGATTTATTTGAAAATATAAACCTGTGAAATTATTTTGGGCAGAACACAGCCAATAATGACTGCAGTCTTTTGTGTAGTTTTGTATGCTTGGCACTAATTTTATAGGAGTTGCACACTCAGAACATTGTAGGATTTCAGTCATGAGGATTTGAAGGTGGAGTAAGGATGAATTTAATTGTGATCTGAAGCATAGAAACTGCAGTTATAAATAAACAGTTTGCAATATGATATGGAGAGCAATAAGCAGCAACTGCATTTCTAGGAAAACAGATGTTTAAGGGCTGCATTTCATGTTATACCATTGCTGCACAGAAAAACACCCTTGTTTTATTAAAAAACCCAATTTGTAACCATTTGAAATGAGTTACACAGAACCCTAGTTACACAGAAATCGAGTTACCATTAGCCACAGTTAGCCTTGATAACATAATACTGCACCATAATTAGAGCAATCTGGGGTACAGGGCAGAAATGAAATCCACACACCTCCTGCACACTTTTTAGGCAAACACCGTGTTTGAATCAGACTACCAGAGTGTCATGAGATTGTCAAATGAGAAACATTTGCACAATATTCTCAGATGTATGTGCTGGGAATCCAATCTGTTAGTAGTGCATGTATATGCAGCAAAAAGTATGTGTGCCTTTTCATATGGTCAATACAATTTCTTATGCACACTAACTTTCCATGGAGGCATTTGGTCACATTTGAATTGACCCTTGAACACAAGAGTTCTATGAACCCATGCTGAGCTCCCCATAGTGTCTGTCTGGTCCGTTACATGTTAAAAAAATCCTTCTCACATTTTAATTTTTTGTCATGAGAGTGACATAGAATGTGAAACGGACATGGGAGGAGACTAAGGGAAATAGGCCATTATGCATTATGCAGTCATGGCATACTCTTTCAAATACAGGCAGTAAAAAATGCAACACACTTCAGACTAGGTTGTTATGAAGGGGGAGAAAAGCAGAATTTTCATCTTGGGTGAATAGTTCAATTTCTGTTTATTGCTCAGCTTCAGCATAGCCACTTAAGGCTCAAAGTGAAATGAGATTATTATCCTCCTAAAGTGGTTTGCTAAAACAAGTCAGTGTTAGTTAGGAGGTCATATCACCAAGAATATGAAAGAATTAAATGGAAGCCTTGTCAAATCTTTGAAATGCAGCACAGGAAGGCAGATGCATATATAGCCATTAATTACTTGCAGTGTCCCTAAAGCCCCAAATGGGTGTATTTATTAAAATAAAAAATAGCACAACTTGTATATCCAAAGTGGCATGGAAAAGTTGGCCTAATGGTAACCTTAGTGAATTGGGAGAAAATTGCACCCTGGATACACCTGGTTCCTCTATGGCCAGTGTTTATGCTCTCAGCTATAACTGGCAACGTGTGTTGTGCAGGAATAGACTCTGAGATAGGTGCTTTTTTGCTAATATGTGCTCCTCTAAAAAGCACAATTTCCGCATCACCTACAGTTGTCAGTCATGCTGGATGAGCCCACCTGATACTCAGAAAACCCTGTTTGAATGCAGCCCTAAATAGTAGCTTAGCTATGGAATGACAGTTGATTGTACGTTTTGACTTTTCTAGAAGAATTTCTCATTCATTCTGATAAGACTTGCTGTTCCAATGCTGCATTTGTTTTGTTCGTTGTTTGATTACACTTAAACTATAGTTCATATGAGTTGCTTGGAGTCTTTGAGAGCTTTGAAGGAGCAAAGGACATTTCACTGGGTGGGTGAAGAAAATGTGCTGGTGTTGGGTTATTCAAGGGTAAAAATAACCCTCAGTGGGTTTGTTTAATCTTTTCAGGTGGAGAAAAGCAGAGAATCGCTATAGCCAGAGCAATCTTGAAGAATCCTCCCATTATCCTCTATGATGAAGCCACTTCATCTTTAGATTCAATTACAGAAGAGGTAAATTAAGCTACAGAACACAGTACTTTTCCTGCTTCATCCTTATACAATCCTGCTTTGCCACTCTACCAAATTCAGAAAGGCTAGAAGTTGGGTGCAACCCTTCTTGAGCTGGATGCAGAAATAGTTGGGACCTGTTCTAAACAGGTTCCAGCATAATCTCTTGTATTCTGTGAAGTACTTGGGATCACCTGTCCTGCTTAGTGTGATATGAAGGGGAAACAGATAGTTGCTACTTAACATTCGTAAAAATAGTTCCTGTAAATTATTGTTGCAAAACCTTTTCATGGAGCATCCTAACTGAAATACAGGTTGGGTGCACATAGACCTCTGGCCTGGTATCACTTTATATTCACAAGTAGAGCTGTTAAACATCAAGATGTTGTGACACACAAGTCATGACATTACTGTAGCAACTGCACCAGACTTCCATAACTGTTAAATACAGAAATCTCAGCACCAACAATAATTTTCTAAATCAATCATCCTGTCTGTAGCAAATATGAAGTTGTTGGTTGCTAAGTGTCTCTGTTCACTTTAGATTACTTGAAGTAAATAACCTGTTGACCTCCACTCATAAGGTTGCCAGCCTGCTGGCAGTCAGTTGAGGCACATGGTCCCTTCTAGTGTGTAGTAAGTTAAAATATATACCTTTCAAGAGTAACCTCATTGGATTCTAGTCACAGATTCAAATGTGAATTTCTAGTGAATGTTCTACTTCTTGCCTTTTCATTTTGATATAATTATTGTGAGGTTGTCAAACGAAGCTGAATATTTACACAACACAGCTGCACTTTAAAAGCATCATGTTAAAAAATCACGTCTTTCCCCACCAATGTGTGCACCAAGCAATCAGCAAAGTAGCAAAATGTATGTCTTGTGCTGCCCAGGTTCATTTTTAAAGGAACTGCTTTTCTAAAGGAAGCAAAAATAAACCACTCCCTGTGCACACACATTACCCTTATTTAGAAACTAGATTTAGAAGCCCAGCAAAGCCCCTGTTGGGGTATCTAGAATAGTAAAGCTTTTGTAATATCTGTATTGGAAGTTTTCAAAGTAGCTAGCCCCTGAATCCTTGCACTTTCATTTCTCAAACTAGCCACCTCTTTCTTATGTAGTAACTTTGAAATTGCTGGTGACCCTTCTTAACAAGTGATAAAATTATTTTCATTTGATACCTTTCTTAAGATGGTCTATCTGCCCTGAAAGGCATAAAATGTCCAATGCTTCACATATCTTTAATCTTACAGAACATCTTGAGTGCCATGAGGGATGTGGTGAAACACAGAACATCCGTTTTTATTGCACACAGATTGTCTACAGTGGTTGATGCAGATGAAATCATTGTCCTGGATCAGGTGAGACTCTCTGAAGTTATGCAATCTTTCTTAAATTCCAGCCATGCTAAAGAATATAGCCCAGCTTTCTTTAAGGTCATTTCACTAGAAACACGCTCTCCATCAGTTATAAATATCTGAAAGTGTGTGTGCATTTTCACATACACTCAAGGACATAGGAGCAAACTGGTAATATTGCCTACTTAGTTTCACTGGGTGATTGGTGGTGGTGGAAGAAGCATTGTGTGTTTCATAAACCCTAGTGCATTTGTTCTGTTCTTACTCTGCTGCATTTCTAATGTGCATCTACACAAAAGCATACTAGGAATGTGACTACTTTTCAAAAGCATGCAATTGTTTTGCCATTCAATAGAAATTTGACAATAAGATCATATCCCCATGGACATTTCTTTTGCAGCAAGATACTCTTCACTAAATGAGAAATTTAATACACCATACCTTGCTGCAATTGGATCATCTCTAGTATTTTATTTTATTTTTTGCTTTAAATAAATTGTAACCCACATTTCCACAAAACTCCCCAAGGCAACTTGCATCATATTTGCTAACAGCAAACTCCACTGTCCAAATGCCAGTTCCGTGCACAAGGGGGGAGGTATCATCAGACTCAAGGGGAACACTGAGGTTTGCAGAAGTAACAAAAATAGATTCAGAAAGAAAACTGAGGTGGGTGAGGGAAAACAGCCTGATGAGGATCAAACATGCTCAGCAGTCACAAATGTTGACTGTTGGAGTCGGGAGACATGGTAGACAGAAAATCAGGTTTAGGAGAGGGAAACGGTGTATCCCTGAAAAGCCTCTGGGTGGGGGACCCCAAAAGGAGCACTCAATATATAATCATTCTGCTTTGGGTCCCACACCCACTTATTTTTTAAAAAACACAATGTAAATTCAATAAAATAAAGACCAAATGACTTTTAAAAAAGCAGTGGGGGGAAATCAACAAATTCTGGGGGAAAGTAACAAGATAAGTGGCTCTTACAGTTTCCGGTTCAACAATGAATTCTTCATTATTGCTTATTTAAAACTTCCGTTAAATATACGAGTTATGCAGAAGAATTTAGAGCAGAGAACTTCTAAATTCTTCATTTCAAATTTCCAAATGCACTTTTGTTGCTTGTTTTAGGATTACTATCTGGCAGGATAGGGCCTGTTTGAATAATACTGTATGTACTGCTAGTCTGTTATGCTAGTCTGCTGCCTTCCTGGGACCCAAATATGGGGGGGGGGTGTGCAGGAAATAAAGTGGAACAGTGTTTGTTCCTTCACTGGTGGGAATGGCTGCAAGGGAAACCACTTGAAAACCTTAAGCTGCTCATACACAGTTCTCTCCCATGTGCATGTGCCCTCTTTTTTTTGGATCCCAACAGATTCTGTTTTAGTGGAGTAGCTTTCATTTCTGTGATTTTCCTTGATGAGACGATTAGTAATAGCAGCCCAGTTTCTTTTAAAGTGCCTTGCACCACTGCCGCTACCAATCTTTTACAACAGAGTGCTGGGTGTGAGACAGCCATCTTTTCCCATTGTCTCTCTTCTATGTATTTCTGACCCCAGTTTTTGTAACACCAGTTTTTTAAAAAGGATCTACAGAGATGGATCCTGCAAATTTCAGGCTGGTTAGCTTAATGTTTGTCCTGGGAAAACTGGTGGAAATTGTGGTTAAAAATAAAGTAACCAAGCATATAGAAGAACAAGCTGTAATGAAGCAGAGCCAGCATGGCTTCTGCAAGGGCAAGTCCTGTCTCATGAATCTATCAGATACTTTGAGAGTGCCAACAAGCATATAGATAAAGATGATCTGGTTGACAATAATGTACCCGGACTTTCAAAAAGCTTTCAGCAAAGTACATCATCAAAGACTCCTGAGTAAGCTTAACTGCCAAGGAATAAGAGGAAAGGTCCTCTTGTGGTTCAGAAATTGGTTAAGTTGCAGGAAGCAAAGAGTATGTATAAATGGACAGTTCTTCAAATGGAGAGGTGTACAAAGTGGAATCCTCCAACGATTAATATTGCAACCTGTGCTTTTTAACTGGTTTATAAACAATCTAGAGTTAAGAGTGAGAGTGAAGTGGCCATGTTTGCTGATACTAAATTGTCTAGGATTGTTAAAACCTAAAGAGATTGTGAAGAGCTCCCAAAGGACTTTTGCAGTTCAATGTAAACGAGTGTAAAGTGATGCATGTCAGGGCCCAAGCATCTAAATTTCACACGGGGCCTGAACTGGCAGTGACTGGCTAGAAATGAGACCTTGGGGTCATAGCAGTTAGCTTGATAAATATGTTGACCCAGGGTGCGGCAGCTGTGGGAAAGGCAAATTCCATGCTAGCGATCATTAGGAAGTTCAAAGAGGAGCAAACAAAATGATTGGGGGTGGAAAAACTGCTATGAGGAAAAGTTGCAGTATTTAGAACTTTTTGGTTTATAGACAAGACAAGTAAGAGGCGACATTATAGATGAGCTAAGATGTAAGAAGGGCATGGAAGAAAGGAGAAAACACTGAGTATGCACAAGTAGCCAAGGGTGCTCTTTCCTTATTCAAAATCAGGGTGGCTATATGTGCACTGTTTATTCCCTCCTGCTCGAGTCTGTTTTGATCACTGCCTTCATGTTTTTTTAAAAAAAACAGGGTAAAGTTGCAGAGCGTGGCAGGCATATAGATCTCCTTACCAGTCCCAGCAGCCTCTACTATGAAATGTGGCACACGCAGAGCAGCAGGATGCTGAACAGAAATACTAACGAGAGGTGGGAGGAGAAAACCAATCACCTGTCCAAAGACGAGGAAAGGAAAAAGCTGCAAGAAGAGATCATCAACAGTGTGAAAGGCTGTGGGAATTGTTCTTGCTGAGTGTGAGCTCAATTCCTGTCCCCTTCTTCATCCCAACCCTGGTTTAAGGGTGGCACAAATTCACACTGAAGCTGTTTTCTGCATTCAACAGAAGAAACAGTTCAAAGATTTTGTTGTCCATGTTAAAAAATAAAGAAAAGGCTTTTTCCCGTGGAACACAAGTTCTTTAACCAAAGGATGGTTTTACATCTGCCTCCCCTTACCTCAGATATTAATGAAGTCATAGGAATCAAGTCAAAACTGCCTCAGAACATCTGATTGATAACATGTTTTTGGTGAAAGACATGTATACACTTTTTCAGCAATTGTTTGTAAAGTGCTGTAAATCCCTTTGCTCTGGCCAGAATATAATAATCTGACCTGCCTTGTGAAATGTTTGCGTTATATTGCTCTTCACCACTGATGGTGGATTAGAAATGTTTTTATATATCAGTTTTAACAAAAGCCAGTTAACGCAAATGTCTCTGTTAGTGAAGAAAAAGATTTTTTTTTAACATTCTTTAATGATCGTTGGGTTTGTTAGAATTTGTATCCTTTTGTAAAGAATAATGGATTTCAAGCCTGTAGCAGCAAATTCAAAACAGAAAGATTTCTGCTTAGTCCCTTAACTCATTCCCTTTCTTATAGCACAAGGGAAAAATACATATTTCTGGGGGGACTAAGATCCCAAAATTATGAAGGGAATGGCTCTTTTTAAATGATCAGTGTACCTTGCAAGGTAAAATAATGAAGGTTAGTTATCTCCATTCTCTGCTACTCCTGGAAGTGCAGAAGTAATTGATTCTCCCCCCCCCCAATAATTTTTTTATATTTTTAAAATACAGTGTTATCAAACAGGATCTGATGACAGCACACATAGTCCATATACAACTATAGACCACTGTCAAACAAAACAAACATAAAATAAAACCAAAATAAATAAACTACATGTATATGACTGCACAGAAGGCAGCAACTGGAACTATTTATAGTATAGACACAGTGGAAATTAATTGAAGTATTCAAATGCCCTGAGACACTGTATCAGCTGTATTCATTTGTAGGCCCAGTGGGGTCCTTGGCTATGTACTTCCTTTTTCTTTAGTCCTTGAGGACTCTCGGCTTCTTCATTAGTTTTTCCAGCAGGGCAATATACCACACAGTAGTTTACCAAGTAGTAAGATTGACCCTATCTACATTTTTCCAAAAATCTGTGATGGTCATTCTTAAGCCTATTTAGTGTCTGGGTTCATATTTGAGCAAAATTCTATGAATATTTAAGTTACACCTTTTGAATAGTGTGAAGAAAAGAATTAAACTTTCAGGAAATGATTTTGTTATATTCCAATGAAAATTCAATACAAATATTGTCTGTTATTGTTTTACCAATAAGTCAGTTTTCTGTTGAGCAATGCAGCATGTCTTCAAATCTGTGGGCACCGTTAGGAGTCCCTATCATTTGGGCCCAAGTAGGTTGTTAAGTGTTGATGAAGAAAATGTATTTATGTAATAAATGGGTGTATGACATGACTTTGATTAAAAATATACCATTCTCATAAACAGTGACTCTTCTAAACTTTTCACATATTAGGTTGATGACATTTAGTCCAGATAGACTTACCTGTTACTGTTGAGTTCTAGTTCTGTGGCATTTTCTTTGTTCCTATTGCAGGTTTTTCTCCTTAAGGAAGCATCTGGTGGAGAGTTGTAAATAAAGAAACATGTGAGCTTTTGAGCACATTCTGTATACTTTGGGCTTAAGTACAGTTTAAAAACTGTAAATGTGTTCTCATTCATTACCTTTACCCTGAAGAACTATGTTACTTTGTTAATATCCTCAGTTTTGTTTAAAAATAGTAGTAGTTTTGCATTATGGATGGTCTTTTGTTATTTGCTACAAAGCTGGCATTGATATATTTTTTTTACACTCATTTACAACATATTAAAAACTTATATTGGATCTGGTAGGATTCCATCTGAGCTCAAATGCCATTTCTATATATAAGTTATACAAGGCAATTTTGGTTTTGCCTTTTGAGGCAACTGGATGTTGTAATGTAACACCAAATCTTGCCACGCAAAACACTGAAGCTGTTTAGTAGTCATGGACAACAGCTGTAAACATTGTAGAATCTCTTGGTTCTATAAACATCTCTGCATGTTCTAATGATGCAAAGATGGGTCATTTTGCCATAGCTCAACCAGATAACAAAATAAAAGCATGTAACATCAAAGTGGGGCAGGCTAGATAGTGGTAAGACCTGCAGGATTTTCCATTTCATTGCTTGCCTCTTGCCTGCAAGCTGAAGTATGGAGTACATGATGAGCCCGAAGCCAATACCTGTTTTTCACCCAGGTAGAGTCCTAGTTATTAACTGGTGTCTGATCTGTCCCCCTGTATGCCTTTGTAGAGGGGGGCAGTTACGGCTTAAATTGTTTGCTTCTTCTAACAACTTAGACATAATTCCTAAATAGTTGCAATTAATGGGCAAACTCCTTAAACACAGAATGCCGTGAAATAGCCAGGGGAGAAAATACTGTTAACCAGCACATTGGCTGTTGATAGGCAGACCTCTCTGGAGATTCTTTTGGCTTTTATTCCTGACTGCATTTTTATTCCTAATGACATCATTAAAACAACAACAACATTGAAATTATTTCCAGTCTTTATTTCAGTTGCAACTTGTACAGTAGAGATAGTAGTGCCCCCCCCCAAAGCACCCATAGTAAAATTGTATACAAAACATTCATCAGGAAGTTACTTTATCATAATTCATTTATTGTGTGTGTAGATAATTATTACTAGAATAAATTATTTCTGAATGCAAATGGGTGTCCTGTTAACATGGCTTATTATAGTAGCCAGCTTCAACAACAGTTCCAAGAGGGAAAACCCAACATTTTCTCTGTCCCTTGTACAGAAGAGAAGCCCTGATCACATCTACCCTGACAGAGCAGCCTTGCAATTATTCTGTAACGTAAGTGATATGAGAAGAAATTGTGGTGTTTTGAGTTCTAATAGTGGTTGGTGGGAAATCTTGCATGACTGTTTGGAAGAAGGGAGAGCTTTTTATGCGCCTTGTCACCTCCCACAATGATCTGTCTCATTATCAGAAGTGTGAATGTTGCCCTGCCTAATGATTTTAGACCACACCTTTTAATCTAGCTATGGTCACAGTTCGCCTTTAGCCTATCTGTGCCAGGGAAGATGTTGAATCAAAGCTTTGTAATTGTGCAGCCACAAAGTATTTAGATCAGAAAGATGTTATTGGATAGGAACCTGCTTTTCTGAAAGTAGTAAGGAGACCTTCTCTCTTCTGTTCTCTCACCTCACCAAAGAAAATTCTTGAACTCAGCTTGGAAGTGGTTGCAATATTCACTCAGCATAGCTACAGCCACCTTGTGGTTTGTTTTAATTATACTTTCCTCCAAGGAGCTTTCCCTACTTTTTATCCTGACAGCAACACTGAGGTAAGTTCAGCTGGGAGATAGTGACTGGCCATTAATTGCCTACTGAGCCTCATAGCTGAGGCTATTTGAACCCAGGTCTAGTAGTCTAAGCACTACATCATACTGGCTCTCGACTGCAGTAGGAGTGAGGACAGAGCCTGGATTGAGAGGAAAGGAGCTGGAGGCAGCTGGAGGAAATTGATGGAGACCTGCATCTCCTCCTTTTTTCAGAACCAGCCAGAAAGCTGGCTGAATTCAAAAAGTGTCCAGGTAAGTATATATTCCCCATGCCAGGATATTTGATGTCTTAAATCTACTCCCCTTGCCTTAAATTTACAATTATACACGATATGCTTTGCTAGGCTTGCAGAAACAAGTTTTTAGCAGGCACGGAAAGCACAATGAAGGTGCCTACATAATGTCTGGTCAGGGAGTTCCGGAGAAGTAGGTGGCATCGCACTGAAGAATTGTTCCTTAGAAGTGCAGGACAAACATTTTGTGGCACTCGTAAAGGTTTCAGTTCCATGGATTGAAGCAGCCAAGTGGGTCCTAAGCTGCTGAGGACTTCATTTACTAACAGTAACACCTTGATTTTGGCCTGGTAGCCAAAGAGCACGTGGTGGCAATGGGAACTGGAGTGTGGATCTCCCCTGTTTAACTCTGGGGCAAGTGGTATGGTAAAGGTAAAGGTACCCCTGACCATTAGGTCCAGTCGTGGACAACTTGGGTTGCGGTTGCGCTCATCTCGCTCTTTAGGCCAAGGGAGCTAGCTGGCGTTTGTCCACAGACAGCTTCCGGGTCATGTGGCCAGCATGACTAAACCGCTTCTGGCGAACCAGAGCAGCGCACGGAAACGCCATTTACCTTTCCGCCGGAGTGGTACCTATTTCTCTACTTGCACTTGAAGTGCTTTCAAACTGCTAGGGGGGCAGGAGCAGGGACCGAGCAACGGGAGCTCACCCCATCGCAGGGATTCGAACCACTGACCAGATCGGCAAGCCCTAGGCTCTGTGGACCCACCTCTTAGTTCTTTCTCAGATTAATTAATAGGGAGCTTCCTGGCCGGCGGTGACGCAGGTTGGAAACTGTTATTAATCAGTTTTCAACATTTGTATCCTGCCTTTCTATAGGAATATTCAAGGAGCTATTTGAGCACACATGAGTTCCAAATAATAAGTCTGGAGGCATACAAATTTAATTAATTAATTAATTAATTAATTATAGAATTACATTGTCACATACAGCAGCAAGCGGGATCAATCTTGCTGAGAACAATATGTCTTGGCTGTCCACCAAATGGCGCAAGTGCCTCTGGTCAGACACACTTTTGTTTCTTTTGGTGGGACATTCTACCATCTGGGAGCCACCACAGACAAAGCCTTGTCCAAACACCTGCCATAGTTCAAACAGTTTGGGTAGCAAATTACGTTTTCTGATGGAAATTTTGCAAGGGCAGGTTGATATGCATGTATGTAATTTCTTATTCACATAGTAAATTATTGGGGGGGGGGGACCAATCTCTTGACTAGTTTTTATCAGGAGGTCTTCAGCATTTGTGAAACACTCCAAAGAAGCTTACGTAGCAGCATTCTGCTGCCTTGCTAGCTTAACTTGGGTTTTTATTATTCATGATTTCTCAAATGTCTTTGTTGCTTTTTAACAAAAGTAATACAAAGCTACATACAACAATGAATAAAACATATATATGGGGGTGTTTTTTTGCATTTTTTGAAAAAAACGGAAATCAAGTGATTGGGGGTCTTCCTTGTTTTTTTTAAGGCTTGCAAGTTGTTTACAAAAAAGTAACAACACCAGTAATGTTAACAAAAAAGAAAAGTCAACAACAATATTGCTAAGACTTTCAAAAAGCTGAAATGACAATAGACTAAGCACAAATTAAATCCACACCGACTTTCCAAACACCTGTTTGGGCTTGTCTAAGCAAAAATGTTTTTGTGAAGGCGCCTGCTATCAATAGGCAGGGACTTCCAAGCTAGGCGCTGCCACACTGAAAGCTCAAGTTCTTACAAATGCAGAACGGGTATTATGTGACTCCTGTAACAGTACCAGTTCTGCTGATTGAAGTGGTCAAGTGGGTGTATATGGGGCAAGGCAATATCACAGGTGAACTGGTCCCAAGTTGTTAAGGGTTTTATATATGAATACCTTGAACTTGGCCCAGGAGCAAATCAACCAGTGCTGATCTGTGAACACTTGTCCCTGAATCACTGTTTCTGGTAGGTTTAGGAAGAGATGATGCTCTGCATCCTTTCAGCATGTAGCACCAACTCCACCTAAGTTTTCTTCGATATATACAGCCACCATCATTGCATTCTGCCTTACATCCATCAGGCACAACCCATTGTACTAAATTGTACTGGTTTTTTATGATGTGAAGAAACAACATTTTTAAAAGCTGCCTGAGGCCATACGTAAGGCTGAATCTCAAGAACTGACATATGAATTTGCCATCCTAGCAGCCTGGCACGTTCACTACTGTTCTTCCATGCTTTGTCGCCATCAGTGAAATGGTCAAGGAGAACACATCACTCCAGCCTTAAAACATGCCCTTTAAAGTTTTTGGGTTTGTGTGTGAGGGTTTTTGTTTGTTTGTTTTTGGAAGGGCGTTACCTACAGTATGAAGAAGTAGAATGTAGTAAGAACTCTGGACTCTGGTTTGTGCATACAGCATCCTTTTGAATCTCTATTCAAGCAACATGCCTTGAGCTCAGATTTATAGGCCTTGTCCCAGGGAAATTCTGAGAAACAGAAAATAAACATGAATATAGAGAGAGAATGTAATGTGAAGGTCAGCTGCTTCTACTAGCACTAGTTGAAACTAGTAGTATATTACTGGATTAAAAATGGAAGAAAGAGAACTTGAAGCTTTTGAAATGCAGTCTTGGAACAGCAAGTGTAGAGTTAGAGAGGAAAAGCTAATAAAGAGATATTGGAGAGGTACAAGGGCTTAATGCAGAGCGCAGACGAGGCGATCAAGTATGGTAGGGCAAGCTCTAAGAAATACAGGACTAATTGAAAACATAATGGATGGTAAGTTGAAAGAAAGGAGAACAATAGGAAGGCCTGGATAACAACTCCATAAGGAAATTGAAAAGGAAAAGAAGGAGAAAAACATTGTTGACCGTAAAATGGCTTGACAGGGATAAGCCTTTAGATTTAAGCTTTTGGAGCTGGAAATGGATTGAATACTGAATACTTATACCAAATGCAAGTGGGCACTCAAAATCTGCCAGAAATCGGGAAGGAGGGTCTCTCTCTTCCATGCCACCTCGGGCTGATGGGAATTGTAGTCCAGCCATCTCTGGAGAGCCACATGTTCCCTTCTATATTGAGTGGTAGTGACTCTCCAAGGATTCAAGTTGGAGTGAAATCATAGAACTATAGAGTTGGAAGTGGTCCAAGGGGTCATTTAGTCCAACCCCCTGTGTTATAGGAATTCTTATATACGGTATATAAAATAAACGTTCATAAATGTACAAGGCAAACACATACATAAGTATATAAACTTATATAAAATAAGTACAAGAGAACCATCCTGAAGCCATTTTGACTCTTCCAGCCACCTCAAAAATTCTCTGCAGTGAGGAAGGAAATAGGAAAACCTCCCCATTGTCTCTCTGCTCATAAATCCTGTCTTAAGGGTGTATTTGTGTATGAATAGGGTGAGCCTGTGACCTGGATTCAGGAACTAAGTTTTTAGCATCACAAAAGGAATGGCCAGGCTGCCCAGGTAAAGTCATCAGTGACCATTATCAGTATCCTACCAGACAGGATTTCTGTTGTAGACCGCCCCCTTCAGTGATGCAAGTGTGATGTTTTAGGGGGTGGTGGGCAATTTCAAAAGTCTATATAAGGGCTTGCACACCATTGTTCGGGGTTCCTCTCCTCCCATGCTGCATGGGGTGAGTAGGGGACCCTGTTGCAACAGTTTAATAAAAGATGGTGCTTACTAGCTGCCTTGCTTCTCAATATTCTCTGGTTGGCCTCTGTTATTTTCTCCTACCAATAGAGAACCTACATAAGGAATCTATACAGCTCTTGAGGGAAAAGGAGCAGTTTTTTCTTATAACACCCTGCAATGTAGGAATCAGCTAAATAATCCCTGACAGATGGCCATCTAACCTTTGTTTAAAGACCTCCAACGAAGAAGAGTCCACCACATTCTGAGAGAGTCCATTCCACTGTCCAACATCTCTTACAATTAGAAGGTTCTTCGTCAGTGATTATTCAGAATCTCCCTTCTTGTCATTTGAATTCATTGATTGGGTCCTTCCCTCTGGAGCAGAAGAAAACATGCTTGGTCCATCTTCCATGTGGCAGCCCTTCAGATATTTGAAGAAGGTTATCATGTCTCC